CGGTGAAATTTGAAATTTCATGAATTTTTCCCTCTAAATCTGAAGTATTTCCACCCCTTATGCTTCTGAGAAACTTCTTTGAATTCTCTCAATCCCAATGTAAGAAAAAAAATTCAGAATCTGAAATTTTATATTGAAGTAAACAACCAGATAAATTCACTCCAGAGTAACTCTCAAATAAATCTAAGAGAGGTCCCAAAATTTTTACGAAACCCATTTTATTCTTAACGACTTCCCTTCAGCTTTACCTCCAAAAAAAGTATCTCCCATTCACCNCCCCCCCCGCTCCTCTCTAAAATGTATTCCCTCCATTATACCCCATCTCCCCTCATATTTCCCTATGCACTTTAAATTCACCACCAGGTAGTTTCAAACTGATCTGAGAAAAAAAATTCAGGAAAATATATTCTCAAATTTTCAATTAACTAAGAATATAAGTAAGTTGAAGAATTCTTGTTTCCCTGCAGTTTTAAAAATTTGAAATTCCATTGAATAAAACAAGTATAAAACAAGTATCTCCCATTCAGTCCCCCCCCCCCCCCCTTCTTGCAATTTATTCTCTCCACAATACCCCATCAAATAATAAGACATTCAGGGTAATTAATACTGAGTATTAATTTATTCTTGAATAGTAAGTTGACAAATTCTCCTCCTCTTGCAGTTTAAAAATTTTAATTTAATCAATTTGTCCCTAAATCTGAACTAGTTCCACGCATCATTCACATAAAAAAGTTCTTTAAATTGTAAAAAAATTCAAAATCTTTGAAATTTTGTATTCATGTAAACCAGATAAATTTCGTAAACTTTCAAATAAATCCAAGAGAGATCCCAAAATTCCGGCGAATCCCGTCTCATTTCTAACGACTTCCCTTCAGCTTCGCCTTAAAAAAAACAATCTCCCATTCAGCCCATTTCCTCCCTAAAATGTATTCCCCCCACAATAGCCCATCTCCACTCATATTTCCCTATTTACGTATTCAACTGTCATTTAAATTCTCCAGTGAGCAGCTTCGAACTGATGTGGCAAAGAAAATTCATGGAAATATATTCTCAAATTTTCAATTAATGAGACATTCAGCGTAATTTGGTACGAAATATTCAAGTTTTGATTGAAAATTCAAGTAAGTTGAACTATTCACGTATGAAAAAATTCAATAGAAAACCTAGCGAATTCGCTTGAACATTCTATTGAAATTCTATAGGAATTCTATGGGGTTTCTATAGGATTTCTATTGAAAAATTCTATTTGTTTTTGCGCTGGTTCTATTCTCTTCAGATGTTTTCTCTTGAGATTTTTCCTATAATAATGCTTAGGCATCATTTTTCTAAGTTTTTTGCCACTCGGATTCCGTAATGCAAAACAAAATAAAATCCTGCGCAAAAAAAAAGAATTCTAACAGAAAAAATTTCAAGAGAAAAATTCGAACAGAAATTCAAACTATATTGACTTTTTCCTGTCAAATATGCAATGGAATCAGCGCCAAAAACAAGTAGAATTTTTCAATAAAATTCCAATAGAACCTCCATAAAATTGCAATAGAATTTTCTAGCGAATTCATTAAGTTTTCTATTGAATTTCTTCATGCGTCTTCTCGTCTCCCTGCAGTTTCAAAATTTTTTAATTTAATGCATTTATCCCTAAATTTGAACTATTTTCACGCCTCATTCTCATGAGAAAGTTCATTGAATTATTAAAAAATTCAGAACCTTTGAAATTTCATATTCAACTAATCAGATAAATTTACACACACGAAAAAATTACTAGAAAAACCTTATTCTCTAGACAATTCTATTGAACTTTCTATTAGTCCTTGGCCGATTTTATCTAAATGTTCAATAGAAAATATTCTATAGAAAAAGTTACTATTTTTTGTAGAATTACTTCGGGTCAAATTTTCTGAGTTTTTTTGTTTGATTTTCTTGATGAGGAGAAAAGAAAAATAGAATGAAAAGAATTTAGAAAATTTGTGCCGAGGAAATTCTATAGAAAATATCTGAAGACAATAAGTCTAGAAAAATCCAATTCTATTGGCTTATTCTGTTGAATATTTTCTATTGAACATTTCAATCGAATCAGCTAAAAACTAGTAGAAAGTTCAATAGAAATCCAATAGAATTGTCTAACGAATTTGCTAGAATTTTCTACTCAATTTTTGACTCAAATCCAAGCGAGATCCCAAAATTCTGGTGAATCCCGTTTCATTCCTAACGACTTCCCTTCAACTTCGCCTCCAAAAAAACAAGTACTATATTCCCCATTCAGCTCCCCCTCCCCTAAAAAATGTATTCCCCCCACAATACCCCATCGCCACTCATATTTCCGTATTTACGTATTCAACGGTTCTTTAAATTCTCCAGCGGGCAGTTTTCAAAGTGATGTGACAAAGGTGTGGTTGAAGGGAGAATGTCTAAATTGTTACAACAATGCGGCATGCCCCTCGGTATTACTCACAGTCCCCTCGCACGTGCATCGTACCGCGCCACAATAAACACAAGGGACTTGGGCCGTCACATAATATACATGTACTTAAATACATAGAAGGACGGGTCAGTGTTAAAACAGCCAAGCGTCAAGCCATACGGCCATGCAGACCTCCACCAGCACTGTACAACCTCTTCTCTCTTCTTTTCAGTCCTCGACGCGGCCGCGCACCGTATCGACGTGTTACGTCGTCATTTTTTTATTTCATTTCCCATTTTGTTGAGTTCCCACTCCCACTCTCACCCCCGATAACTCAATAATAATCCATTGGATCCGTTCGTCAGCTCTTCGCGGAGATAATGCTCGCCTTTATCGTCGGATTCTTCTACTTTTACTTTCAATTATTTCGCCTGGAGCTGCAGATGGTTGTTGAACCGAGGACCTACAAGTTGTCCAAGTTTGTGCTGTGAATTCCGTGAAAATACATTTACATTTGCTAAACCCCTCAAATTATTCCAGCGGAATTTTTTTTTCGGGTAAAAGTGAATTGTTGGAGGATCGCATCATGATTTTCGTCGGAAGACGGTAGTGCTGGGGTCAGGCCTCACTTCGAGGGGGAAAAAAAAACCCGAGTGAAAGTCAACATTTGAAACCATCGGGCAACAATGCGACGATATGCGCGCGGGCGTTGGCGGAATCTCAATCGCCGAGTTTCGGGATTTCAGGATTTTTGAATTTTCTGATATGATGGGGAGCTTCGAATCGCGTTGAGTAGATTTCTATCGATGAGGGCAGTAATGCTGGCACTGTTCGGAGACAATTTAATTCATTGACCCTCTCATTCCACACGATTTTCCATTTCGAGCATCATCGCTTATTTATGATTCAGAGGAAAAGAAGGAGACAACACATTCCTTGCGACTTGGGGAAAATGGACGCTATTCTCAATTGTATATTTTTGTTTGGTTTTGTTGAATTATTGAAATTTGATGGGCAGGTATGGCGAATTTGGTAGAGTTGTACACTGTTGAAAATTTTCGGTTGAATTTTTTCCTGCCGTATTCCGGAAATTTTTATCGTGTTCAGATTCCACTGAAATTTCAGGAAGTCTTCATTTATGAAAAAATTCAATAGAAAACCCGGCGAATTCGCTAGAAAATTCTATTGGAATTCTATTGAAAAATTCGATTTGTTTTTCGCGCTGATTCTGTTGGATATTCGATAAGAAAAAGTCAATAGAATTCGAATTTCTGTTTGAAGTTTTTCTTGAGATGTTTTCTGTGAAATACTTAGGCATCAATTTTCTAAGTTTTTGTGTGTAATGCAGAATAAAACAGAATCCAGCGGAAAAAACTTGAAAAATTTGCGCCCAATAATTCCAATAGAAAAATGCAAACAGAATTCAAAATATATTGACCGTTTCCTATCAAATATGCAATAGAATCAGCGCAAAAAACGAGTAGAATTTTTTAATGAAATTCCAATAGAAATCCGGTAGAAACTCCATAGAATTCCAATAGAATTTTCTAGCGAATTCGCTAGGTTTTCTATTGAAATTTTTATGCGTGTTGTCGTTGAAAAATCAAATATTTCATTGACTTTCTGTTCAAATGATCTGGATATCAATAAAGTACTTGATTTTTCATTTCAATTATTCTGTTAAAATTCAGAAACATCAGGAAAATTCAGAGAAAAATTGAAAATTCATGTAATTTTGTTTCTGAATATTCATGTTCCACTGAAAATTCAATCAAGTTGTGAATTTTCCATCTCACTCCCACTGAAGACTCATGAATTTCCGTGAATTCTAGTTAAAACTTGAATTTCATAACCATTTTTTCCCTAAATTCGATTTGATGTCACTCTCGTGAGATTTGCTATAATATTTGCTATGAAATTTCAGAAAATTTCTAACAGTGTATTCGGGTTCTAGTGAAGGTTCTATTAGGCTTTGACTGATTCTATTAAAAAATTCCGCAGCTTATCTGCGTTTTTTTTGCAATAGAAATGTTCAATGGAATATATTCTATGGAAGGAATCAGGGGAATTCGATTTTTATGTGCAACTTGTTATGGGATATTTCCTGCAGAAATTCCTTGGGTGAATTTTCCAAGCTTTTTTGTTTAAGTTTCTTGTTTGAAAAAAGACAAAGAGAGTGGAAAGAATTCAGAAAATTTATGTCGAAGAATTTCTATAGAAAACGTCTCAATGGAAGAGTTGCATAGAAAGATTGAATTCCACTGATTTTTTAAATAGAATATGAACGGAATCAGGAGAATTCCATTTTTCTATACAGTTTTTTCAATTGACATATTTTCTATAGAAATTCCTCGCCTTGAATTTTCGATTTTTTTGTTGAATTTTTTTCATGGAGAGAAGAAAAATAGTGGAAAAACTTGGAAAATTCAGGCCGAGAAATTCCTATAGAAAATGTCTTAATGATTTCTTCAATAGAATCGGCCAACCCCTGATAGAATTTGCAATGAAAGGTCGATGGAATTTTCTACCGAATTCACCAGGCTTTTCTATGAAATTTCTTCGTGCTTCTGATGACTAACAAAATTTGAATTTGTTCCAGATCTCAATCTTTGGAATAAGAGCATTAGTCAGAGATGGAGGAAATTACGAAGGAGGTACTCAGTACAGGAGATTTCCGAGCCCCAGGAAGATCCTCTGATACAGGAGGGCCGTCAGCGTACCGTTATTCATGGTGTACGATCTACTCCAACGAGTAGAGAAGCATCACCAGCACCTAAGTCACGTGATAGAACTTCAACAAAAAAGTTGCTTCAGACGTCGTCCTTAAGATTGCCAGGTGTGTAATCAATGACTTCCTCATGATAAAAAGAGAGCATTGAAATTTCTGAACTTGTCTCACTTCCGGAGTGGAATTCACACGGTGATGATTGCCACGTCTCAAGGATAAAAAAAATGGATTTTATTGTTCCGAAGAATGTTCGTTCATTTATCGCTTTAAGTATTCAATGCTCAAGTGGGAGAGACGCACTTTTTATCAGAAGAACGATGACGATTTGATAGCAATCGTTTATAATATCATTTTCCAATAACAAGGCGGAATTTTTCATTATTTCGGCAATAAATAATTGAGGGTTTCAATCATTTCAATAGTGTATCAATGAATAATCTTATTTGAAGATTGTCAATTTGTTAATCAAACGATAATAGGAATTGGGTATTCTTCGTTTGATTTCTATACTTTCATAAAGAAATTAACAGATTGTGAATTTAGCAGAATGTAAAAAATCACAGGAAATTGGATTTGAACCCACGACCCTCAGGTTACCAGTTTGAGCCTTTAAGGCCCCACATACATCTAGAGGATACCGAAACAGATCAATTTTCAAGATTTTTTTCACAAAATTACAGACTTATCAAGAAAAACTTGAATTTACTTCGAAGATGACATATTCAAGAATATTTACAAAAAAATATATTTATCTGTTTCATCAATATTTTCATTTTCCAAGCTGCCAAAGAAGACCCACTGCAATCGTTGAGCCAACAACAAAAAAGTTTTTTCACTTGAAATTGAAAAATGAAAGACAATTAGTAAATAATATGAATTGATATTGCCGATGAGGACCCAATGAATCTTTTAACTTATTTTATTACGAATAGAACACGTATATAAAATTTCTGGTGTCATTCCAGTTCAAAATAGCAGCAGTTGTTCTTCGATAAAAACATTATTTTTGGAAAAAATAGAAAAAACTAGTCGCTATCGGCGAAGAAATTGTGTAGCGAATTCATTATGATGAATTTCATGAGGATAGGTCCACTGTAGGGATGTGAAATGACCGTCATGAACAACCAGCATCAAAAATTTGAGAAAATGACCAAAATTCCTCTATATAGATCCAAATTGACGGTCATTTTATTTTTGGTAATTTTTTCGGTCAAATTTTTGATTATTTTATTTCATTAGTTAGGCGACCTAGGGTCCCTATGACCGCCAGTAACCTTGCCGACACCGAGTAACCGAATAAAAATTTCTGTATGTCATCTATATAGATGAGAATTGACCGCCAGAATTGAATTGGTCATTTTTTAAATTCCTGACCGAATCGTCAGATTTATGGATATGGTAATTACACTTCATGACCGCGGTAATTGACCGTCATTTGACCGGTCATTTTTGTCACTCACATCCCTAGTCCACAGGTATTGCAAATGTTCTTGGCATCGTCTCGAAAAACCTAATTCGGAGAAAACGGCGGTTAAAGTTTCCGAACTCCTCTTTTGTGTGCGCACAGCATGAGCACAAACCCAACTGACGTTTTGTCTTGCACGTTTGGAATCCTTATTTCGTTTACCGATTGAAGTAAATAAATTGCTTTGTTTCGTCGAGCGTTTACAACATTAAACGTGTTAATAAAATGACAAAAATATGAGGTGAACAAGTAAGGACCATTTAGTCTTACACAAGGGCAGGCCGCCGTTCACGTTAAACTGACCGGGTCAAATATTAAACCACTGCTTCGCGTCAATGATAGGCATATCAATCAATCATAATTACCGTTAAATTGAAAAGTTGTCAATTTTTAACATAAATCTTAAAAATTTTAAATATTAAAGTAACCATCAATTTGTAGATTTAAATATCGAAATAAAAAATTCTATGAACCAATAATTTAGGTAGAAAGATTGACGATTATTTGGATAATCAAAAATCAAGTACCTAAAGTTAGAATTAGCTTGTTAACTAAAAAATTACATTTCAATATTGTCAAATATTTTATTCACCATCAATCGGAAAATTTAGCTAATAAATTCTATAATATTTTAAGTTTGTTAAATATAGTTAAACTTTGAACAATATAAGGAGATAATCGCTTTTTAATATCCTTATTTCCTTATTTCATTTACCGATTGAAGTAAATAAATTGCTTTGTTTCATCGAGTGTTTACAACATTAAACGTGTTAATAAAATGACAAAAATATGAGGTGAACAAGTAAGGCCCATTTAGTCTTACACAAGGGGAGGCTGCCGTTCACGTTAAACTGACCGGGTCAAATATTAAACCATTGCTTCGCGTCAATGATAGGCATATTAATCAATCATAATTACCGTTAAATTGAAAAGTTGTCAATTTTTAACATAAATCTTAAAAATTTTAAATATTAAAGTAACCATCAATTTGTAGATTTAAATATCAAAATAAAAAATTCTATGAACCAATAATTTAGGTAGAAAGATTGACGATTATTTGGATAATCAAAAATCAAGTACCTAAAGTTAGAATTAGCTTGTTAACTAAAAAATTACATTTCAGTATTGTCAAATATTTTATTCACCATCAATCGGAAAATTTAGCTAATAAATTCTATAATATTTTAAGTTTGTTAAATATAGTTAAACTTTGAACAATATAAGGAGATAATCGCTTTTTAATATCCTTATTTCCTTATTTCATTTACCGATTGAAGTAAATAAATTGCTTTGTTTCATCGAGTGTTTACAACATTAAACGTGTTAATAAAATGACAAAAATATGAGGTGAACAAGTAAGGCCCATTTAGTCTTACACAAGGGGAGGCTGCCGTTCACGTTAAACTGACCGGGTCAAATATTAAACCATTGCTTCGCGTCAATGATAGGCATATTAATCAATCATAATTACCGTTAAATTGAAAAGTTGTCAATTTTTAACATAAATCTTAAAAATTTTAAATATTAAAGTAACCATCAATTTGTAGATTTAAATATCGAAATATTCTATGAACCAATGATTTAGGTAGGAAGATTGACGATTATTTGGATAATCAAAAATCAAGTACCTAAAGTTAGAATTAGCTTGTTAACTAAAAAATTACATTTCAGTATTGTCAAATATTTTATTCACCATCAATCGGAAAATTTAGCTAATAAATTCTATAATATTTTAAGTTTGTTAAATATAGTTAAACTTTGAACAATATAAGGAGATAATCGCTTTTTAATATCCTTATTTCCTTATTTCATTTACCGATTGAAGTAAATAAATTGCTTTGTTTCATCGAGTGTTTACAACATTAAACGTGTTAATAAAATGACAAAAATATGAGGTGAACAAGGAAGGCCCATTTAGTCTTACACAAGGGGAGGCTGCCGTTCACGTTAAACTGACCGGGTCAAATATTACACCATTGCTTCGCGTCAATGATAGGCATATTAATCAATCATAATTACCGTTAAATTGAAAAGTTGTCAATTTTTAACATCAATCTTAAAAATTTTAAATATTAAAGTAACCATCAATTTGTAGATTTAAATATCGAAATATTCTATGAACCAATAATTTAGGTAGGAAGATTGACGATTATTTGGATAATCTAAAATCAATTACCTAAGGTTAGAATTAGCTTGTTAACTAAAAAATTACATTTCAGTATTATCAAATATTTTATTCACCATCAATCGGAAAATTTAGCTAATAAATTCTATAATATGTTAAGTTTGTTAAATATAGTTAAACTTTGAACAATATAAGGAGATAATCCTTTTTTAATATTGTTAAAATCTAATATTATTGCCTCCTATCCCTGCTTCGCGTAAGTCTCGAATCGTCTCGGTGTGACGGGAGTGGGGGCTGATCCGAGTATTAGTGCGCCATAAGAGAAGCACGCTAGCGCACGCACATTTCGGAGGATATTTTTAAAAAATAGTACAATCAAATAAACGTATTTTTGAAAATAGTACATTATGCCATTAGACCCGAACACCGCGATCTAACCGAGCGAAGCGAGAATCGAATCGAATTCTATTGACTTTTTCTGTAGAATATTTTCTGTAAATTTTTTTTCTACGTGAAGTCCTGTACCAGATTCATTGACTGACAATATAAGGATTAATATCATGATGAAAAATGAATAATAAATATTAAACCTGCCAGCCACACCTTTCACCCAAGCATCTCTAAATCCTTAAGAGTGTATTACACCCTTTTCGCCAAAATTCAAGTTTTATGAATTTCCAAAAAGTTTTAGAAAAAATGCAGGAACATGATTGCACGATCATGAAATTTCGTGAGTCATTAAGTAATGATAGAATGCAAAAACGGTATATTTTTTCACGTCAATGTGATCAATAATTTGCCAGAAAAATGAACAAACCTGATTTTTGGCCGAAATGGGTGTAGTACATCCTTAAAAGCCACCAAAATTTCACCGAAAACCCGCCTGATTCCAGGTACTAGCCGAGGTATTGCCGACATCCAGAACGTCCTTCGAAACAAATTCAGCAAGCTGAACGCAGGTATCCGAAAGCGAAAAGCATTGAGCGTCGCAGAAGTCTTCCCCCCGAAGGACGCAGTCTCGAGTTTCTACGTTCCGAGCCCCCTATCGCCGGCAGCCCCCGAGAGGGTCGACCCCCCGGAGGAGGGCCCGCTCTCCCTCTCCCTAACCACTCCCCCCACCTACACCAGCGACGACATCTACGAGAACACGAGCTTCCGGGAGCCCCTGAGAAGATGTAACTCCGAGCATCGAGATCACTCCTACGAGAACGTGAGATTCAAGACGTCACGGTCAATAGTTGACTCGGACACCGAGGCCTCACCAAAGAATCCCCAGGAGAACGTCTACGAGAACGTGAGATTCAGGAGTAAATCGGGGACTCGAAGGGGTTCGAGGAAGGACACTGAGGAGGAGATTCACATACCCAGGGTGAGCCCCAGGCGGCGAGACTTCATTCTCGGAGGAAAAGTGACGCATTACGCGGAGAATTCGAGACTGTCTAGCCACGACAGAACAGACGGGACTTCCTCCCTGGGAACTGAAGCCAGCAGTGGGAACAAGTCTTCCTTGAGGTTCAGCAGTCGAAGTTTTGCGAACATCTCAGGAAGAAGTGGAAGGGGTCAGCAGGACGTGCAGGCGTGGCAGGGAACCCACGAAGCGGATGAGGGACTCAACACAGACTCCGAACTGGAGGACATCCAGGAGACCCTGGAGGGAGAGGAGTCCCAGTTCTGTACGCTACCTCGACCGGGCAAGGGGAACGCTTCGTTCACGATATTAACAACGAGATTCTTCAAGGGGCCGGGGTACAAAGGCCTGGGGTTCAGCATCGTCGGGGGCACGGACAGTCCCAAAGGAAACATGGGAATTTACGTTAAAACTGTCTTTCCGAATGGCCAGGCTGCCGATCTGGGGACCCTCAAGGAGGGCGATGAAATATTATCCATAAATTCCAAACCCCTGCATGGAATGACGCATGCTGAAGCCATCGTCGAGTTCAAGGTCATTAAAAGTGGGGACGTTGTGCTGCATGTTGGCAGGCGTGTGCCGAAAAGGACGAAGGAGAATGTTGGGAAGAGCTGTCGCAAGTCCTGATGAGCCTAGGAGATTTTTCATTCCTGAATTTATTATTTTAGGGTAGATTGTGGTAGATTTAACATGATCCAAATAACTGAACGATTATTAATCTCTAGCCACCTTTCCAAAGATGAAAATCAAAATAACAGATGGATATTTTTAATATGAGATGATTATTGGGGGTATGTTGTCGATTATTTCAAGGGGAATTTATTTGTAGTGTCTAGTCGAATTGTTGATTCAAAATTTTTTTACTGGAGCGGAACGAACAATTTTTTTATCTCGAGGGTGAGTCCCATGCTGCATTAGTCACCCTATTGCAATATTTTATATGAGGGGGATTTATACAGATGCGTTTATTTTGGGAACAATATAGCCGGAATTTTGAGGGAGGGGGGTACGTGCGAGGAGGTAATCACTCATGAATCTCGTGATTACTTTTGTAACCCGTAATGAAACTAGATTCATTTTTTCATTTTTATATTAAGGGGGATTAACGATTCAAGTCGGCTTAGCTTTCAATTAACTGAGTTTTCGAGAAATATCCGAATCAAAGGGAGATAGGAAAATTTTCGTAATAACGTTTTTTGTGAGGCGAATTGAGGGCTACGAGAAAGGTTATAACAAAAATTTTACTTTCTCCCATAGATGTCGAGATATTAATTGAAAACTGACGAATAGTGAAAATCGAATTGAACCGTTTTACCGCTTCACAATTGAATTATTTTTCTAATCCAATATAATATCCAACTTATCCGGAAAAACTTAATTTTCTCCAATTTCTAACACGAATGGAAAAACTTAATCAATCTATGTAAAAAAATTCAATCACAATTATTCATTAATAGTTTAATGAAAATATTGAAGATCAATATTATCCTTTATTCGAGAAATTGACATATCTCATATTTCATTATTGATTGTTATCATAATAATTAAGATCCATATGTCCAATTATAAGTATCGTTTCAACAAATTGAAAATCTTCAAATTATATTCTATTTCTTCCATTGAAATAATAAAAATTCTCAATTACTCATCAATCAAATAATGTCATTTTGACGAAAATATAAAAAATAATATTATTCAAAATCTACAAAAAAAATCAGAGTGATTACCCCTCCCACTCCGAATACTTCTCACCATAGAAAAGGCATATAGCTACTACTTTAATTAGGAAAAACTTGTCTTCCAGAACTGAACAGCAAAAATAATGTGTTTATTAACGATTCCTAAAGTTAACGAACAAACCGGGTGCATTTCTTTCTCCCAAACCAGAAAAAAAGAGAAATGTGAAAAATTCGATAAAGTCTCGAGTTGAAAATATATCACGATACCATTATGTTGAATAAATACAGACGTATCTATACACCATTTTATTATAATTATTAATATTAAAATTCATTACATTAAAACATACCAATGTCTAATGATATAAGCGTACGAATTTGCCTAGAAGCAATTTTTCTACGTGAAAAATGTTTTTTTATTTCTTTATAAATAAAATTTATATAACACACCTGTATATAATCGCAAGCATAGAAATGAAAAAGCAAAAATCACTTAGATCCTTTCATTTTCTTCATCGGGTTGAATTTTTTCGTGCTTTATCGTTACAAAAAATGCTTTCGAGGGGAGAAAATTGTTGTGAAAATGGTAAAAAGTGATTTTGTTAAATAGTGAATAGAGGAAAAATAAATGAAAATAATAATTGATTAGATTTCGTTGACGTGTTGATGAATATTGTAGGCACGTCCACCTCTTCGTGACTCTCTGGGGACAAATGGTGCTTGACTCTTAGCAATTTGGGGTGTTTCCATTGACTTGGGGAAGATGAAGGTCGTCTGGCCGTCGTTGACAGGTCCAATCCTCGCGGATTCTCGCATTATGTTGTCCTGGGCACTGAGGAGCCGCTTGAAACGCTCCTCGCTGCGCTCATCTGGGGTTGTTGAGTGGGTGTTACCCAGGGCTCTGCCTAATCTCCCTTCCTCGCTGGACTCCTGGCGAACTGCTGGGGCCTGGGTGGACTCTTCCTTCTGGGCGTTGGTGATGTTCAGTTTGGGGTTGAGATTCAGGAACCATTGGGAGAACAGGGCGAAACCCTGCTCAGCTGTGGAAGATACTGCTGCGAGCAGCTCCTCTGTATTGAGACCTTCCTCTTCTTCGTCCTCCGGGGTCGGTGGAGTTGTCTCACTGTTTCCGGCAATCAAGAGACGAAACGATTTGAATTATTGATAATTATTAGGGAAAAATGGGGCAAAATGAAATAAGCGAAAGACGACTATTTGACGCAATTCAAGTAAAACAAGTGGGCAAGTACTTTCAATTGTGTTAATTGTGGTGCCTGTTTTTGCTAATGAATTAGCAATATGCTTCCGAATGGATATTGCCTTTTCATTGCACTTTGCCATTAACTGATGATATACGTCCCCATATGACCCTTATAAACCCCCATAAAACACCCATAAGACTCCCATAAGACTACCTTGCGCCAACCTTGCGCCCAACCTTGTGCCACCACTGCACCGACCTTGCGCCGACATTGGACCAACCTTGGGCCAAATTTTTTAGAATAATCAAAAAACTAAAAGCGCAATCGACACCATCTTCGAACTCGGTCTGTATAACATAAAAACGCATATTTCTAGCCCAGATTCGATTGATTCAGATAATTATTTTAGAAGTTATCGTGAAAAAACTGAATCGGTCACATACACACATACACACGCCCATACATACATACATACGGACAGGGTCTAAAAACATCAGATTCGGACTCCTGACCCCCAAATTCATCTTCACGAAGAAAACTGGAAACTTAAATTCGGAGGAATACAATGCTTCCATTCGGAAGAAAAAATTTTTTATCAACTTTTGTTCATGAACTTGTTGTTATTATTGGGAGTAGGTACTGATGAGAATAATGATTTTCTATTTGGTAGAAAAGAACAGGCGGTACAAAAAAATCACTGATATTCGAACCCCCGATATGGCGTAGCGACTACCTCCACATATGAATCCCACTCCCGTTAGATCTCGGTCTTGACGTCAACTAGTCGGCTTGACCCCTGACTCTCCAGCAGCCAAACTAAGACCTCGTCATCGCTGAGTCTATGTTCTCTTCTCATTCGAAACTCCCGAAGGTTTTTCATATATTTTTTATATTGAGACGACAATATTAATAATTTTCACCAATTTTATCTACAGTTCTCTTTTCAAGTAATATGAAATACTTCATCTATAATTCAATTGATTAGATTAGGGCGATTACACTTTTCTTTTTTTATTCGATTGAAATTCAGCATCACATTTCCCTTTTTCCGCCTCTGGGTCTCCCCCTGGGCCTTTCTCTGGACTTTGGATTTTGTTGTTTCATTTTCTTTTCAATTAATCCATTGACAAAAGCTTCTCCCGTCAAAACTTTGCAATCATTTTCCATTCTAATAAATGGAAAATTATTATTCTCATCAGTACTCCCAATAATAAAAAAATTCAAAATTTTGTTTTGCTTGAATTGTGTCAGTCGTTTCATTTTGCTCCACTCTCCCGTACGATTTTTGCTTCCGAACGAACGCATTGTATTCGTCAAATCCGAAATTTTCATTTTGGGGCAGGATGAATAATTTTGGCCTCAGGATTGGAATAAGCTACTTAGCTTTTAGACCATGTCCGCATGTGTCTGTACGTATGTGTGTATGTTCTAACGAAATCGCTAGATTTTTCTATTAAATTTTTTCGTGCGTGTAGGGAAAGGTAAGAAATTTTAACGTTGGGGCAATGAATCATTGAATCAATTGGTAATGTGCTAATATAGCAACTCCAACGAATTTTTCGAGGAAGCTGAATTATTTCGTCATCCAATACAAATAGAAATTGAAATCAGGAAAAAAATTGAGTTGGACTCAATTAGGTAAATAACTTGAAGGGGGTGACTGGGTCAAATTTTGGCCTTTGTGGGGTTCATACCAGCTGCGTCCGAGTCTCGAACCCTGGGTAATGCTAAGTGCTGGTGAGGCTTGATACTTTGAAAAATAAGTGCTTCACTACACGTTGAATTTATATGAACACCTCATAATTGAAATTTCATAAACTGCTTTTAGAAGGGAAAGCGCAGAAAGGGAAGTCCCATACATCTACACGAGCATCCACGTTATTAAGTGTGATGGCTCAAAGGAGGTTAAATTCATTTATTGCAACTAGGTTCCGACAAAATATCCGTCAAATTACTTCAAATTTAATATAAAAAAGTTGATATTTACCTATCAATATCCCGAATGAGTAGGAGGTGCTATTCTACCTAATTACCAATCAATTTAAAATACATCGTCGTAGAAATTCCATTCAGAAGCAGATTGCTAATTAATAGCAAAAATATATTGACTGACTGAAATATGTTGTGACGAATTTGAGCCGAACCATTTCTATAGAAAATATCTTAATGGGATAAGTTGTACAGAAAATTTGAATTCTATCGATTGTTCCTGTAGACGATTACCGATTGAACATTTCTCTTTGAAAAAGCAGGAAAAAAATCATAGAAAAAGTCTAGAGAATTTTATAGAAAATTCTATTAGGTTTTGGCCGATTTTATTGAGAAATTTACTGCTCATTATTTTATTATTTATAGCTTTACTGCGCATTATTTTCCTAGAAAATTTCCAATCGAAACTATTTTATAGAAAAAATGAGTAGAATTACATCTTTCTATACAAATTTTTATAATGAGGCATTTTCTATAAGAATTAATTTGTTCAGTGTTCCTCACACCATTTTTTCCTGTTTTCATTTAAAAAACAAAAAAATAGAAAATTTGAGGCGAAGCATTTCTATTGACGATACGTCATCAGAATAACTTGTATAGAAGAATCTAATTCTACTGATTTTTTCCATTGAACATGAAAATGTTTTTCATTGAACATTTCCATTGAAAAAAAAAACACGCAGATTATCAGCAGAATGTTGTCAATCCAAATCCGCCAAAAATTATAATAGGAAGTTTAACTAAGATCCAACAGTATTTTCTAGCGAATTCCCTAGATTTTTTTATGAATTTTTTTCGCACGCGCAATCATTTAAACCAAAAAATGACCTGATTTCAAGTTTGCGAAATTTCTAAAATTCATAATTGTTCATTTTTTTCCCAACTTTAAAACACTTTGAAAATCCTTAGAAATTCCATAGAATTTCAAAGATTTTCAAAGAGATTTCAAAAACATTTCCCAGAATTTAAAAAACTCCCTGACGAGAATGGGGAGGCGATACTCCCCTCGATTTATCCCACTCTCCCAATATGTTAAGGGGAGACTACTATGAGTTTTCAAAGTCATGGGCTATTGGAATTGGCATAGAAATCCAAAAGCGACTTCTGGTGATAAAAATTTGGTACTCGAAATTGAAACTCCAAAATTAAGGGTCACAAGGGTCATGAGGGTGAGAATAACGGTTACAATGGTCAGAATACAGGTCACGACGGTCAAAATAAGAATCATGAGGGTCACAAGGGTCAGATTAAAGGCTATGTGGGTCAGATTAAGAGTCGCAAAATTAAGGGTCAGAAGGGTCAGATTAAGGGCCCAAATAAGGGTAACAAGGGTCAGATTAGAGGTCTAAATAAGGGTCACAAGGATCAGGTTAAGGGTCACAAAGGTCAGAGTAAGGGTCCAAATAAGGGACATGGGGGTCAAAAACCAAGAGTCAAAAACTAAGGGTCACCCCGGTCAAAGTAAGGGTCACGAGGGTTCTAATGAGGGTCAAATTGAAGATCCAAATGAGGGTCAGATTAAGGATGACAAACATCAGATTAAGTCCAAATAAGGGTCATGGGAGTCAGAAACTAAGGGCCACAAGGGTCAAAATAAGGGTCTCAAAATATTACATTGTAAAAATCCAAATTGACTTTTGGTGATGAAAATTTGGTGTTTGAAATTAAAACTCCAAACTTAAGGGTCAGAAATGAAGGGTCGAAATAAGGGTCACGAGGGGTATAATGAGAGTCACGAGGGTCAGATTAAGGGTCACAAGGGTCAGAATAATGATCATGGGGGTCATATGGGAGTAGCCTCCTTATTTTTTTAATAAAAAAATTGCACCATTCATCTAGAATAGGCCACAAAATATTTTTGCTTATTTTACATGAATGGCACAGATTTTTATATTAAACAAAACAAAATTAGCTGTGGGAGTCAAATTTCAGAAACTAATTCGTAATTATTTTTTTACACATTTTTTCAAAAATTCCGAACACTCTGTAGCTCTAAAATTGGAGGCCCTGGACTGGTTTTAACATTTTAAGCGTGTGCGGAGCAAACGAGCAATAAACGATTAATTTTTTCACTAATTATTCGTTTTTAGATATATATAATCGATCTTCAATCCATGAGAAATCTTACTCCAATCGCCCGCAACTCTTAAAACTTATTGAGGAGAGTAGTCTCCCCTTAATTTCAGTGATCATAATTACACTATTGACGACTGAATCTGCCGGACTCCCTGGTTGAAATTAAAGCAGCCCATGTGGTAAGTAGCCTGGGGTGTTCGCATTAGAGCGGGCTCCACAACGAGACACCCGTCGTGGCCTAAATCCTGATGTTTCATTGATGTGAATTTGGCACAGAGTTGAGCTAGGTCTGATAGGAGATTCATACACGTCGGTTTATTTGCTGCGTCCGCTGTAAATTAATAAATTTTATCTCTCAACATCCATTATTACAGTGATATATTTCGCTTGACGATAAGTTCCTTAAAATCTAAATGAGCCACTGAATTTTTCGTGAAGCTCTTCTTTGAAGATATCAGGCACGAAGAAATTTAATAAAAAAACTTGACGAATTCGTCAGAAAACGCTGTTGGATTTCTATTGAACTTTCTATTAGGTTTCGATCGATTCTATTGAATGTTCAATAGAAAATATTCAATAGGAAAAGTCAAGAGATTTTTCTATACAACTTATTCTCTTCAAATATTTTCTATAGAATTTCCTCGGCTCAAATTTTGTAAGATTTTTTATTCATTCTATTTTTCTTTTCTTCTCATTAAAAAAATCAAACGAAAATACTTGGCAAATTTAAGCCAAGGAAATTGTATAAAAAATGTTTCAATAGAATAAGGTATACCGAAAAATCGAATTCTACTAAATATTTTCTATTGTACATTGAAATCAGTAGCGAACTGGTAAAACGGTTCAAGTCGACTTATCTCCCAGTTGAGTTTTTGAAGAATATTTTGGACTCTAAGCGAGATAGCGAAATTTTCGTTATCACATTTATTGTAGCTCTCAATCGGCGCTACAAAAAAGGGTATAACAAAAATTTTGCTATTTCCCTTAAAATCCGAGATATTCATTGAAAATTGGTCAATAGTCTAAATTGACTTGTACCGGTTTACCACTTCGCTACTGAAATAGAATCGGCCAAAAATTAATAAAAAGTTCAATAGAAATCCAATAGAATTTTCTAACGAATTCGCTAGGTATTTCTATCGAAAATTTTACTCAACACAAACAAAATTAATTTCAATTTTTTCCGCATCCATTCGTTTTATCTTCAATTGAAAGTCTGATGCTGTTTATAATACCATTAACTTTCNTTGAATTTTTTTGGGGGCGGGGGGGGGGGGGAGAATGGATACCCGCACGAAAAAATTTCTTAAAAATCTATTGAACTTTTTTTGAAGATTCGAGTGGTTTTCGGGCGATTCTCTTGAAGAATTCCGCAACTTCATTGAGGCGCGTTTTTTAATAGAAAATGTCTAATAGAAACTATTTAACAGAAAAAATTAATCGAATTTTATTTTTCTATGCAACTTTTCTATTCATACATTTTCTATAAGAATTTCTCGCCATACATTTTCCAAGTTTTTTCCACTCCATTGTTCTTCTCTTTTCATTAATAGGAAGAAACAAAAAAAATGAAAATTTTAGCCTAGGAATTTCTACAGAAAATATCTGAATATGGTACGTCGTAAAGAAAAATAGAAAAATTGGAGAAAGAATAGATACATACATGCGCGAAATTTCATAAAAAAATCTGACGAATTCTGCAGAAAGCTCTATTGAATTTCTATTAGTTTTTGGCCAATTCTATTGCAGAATTCAGTAGCCCCACTGATACGCGTTTTTTAAATAAAAAATGTCCAATAGAAACTATTTCTATACTGCTTTTTCTATTAACACAATTTCTGTAGAAATTTTTGAATATAATTTGCAAATTTTTTTTCCGTTTAATTTTTCTTCTCTTTTCACGATAAAAATTAAACAAAAAAGCTTAGAATTCTATAGAAAGTATCTCAATAGAATAAGTTGTACAGAAAAATGGAATTCTATTGTTTTTTCTATAGAATATTTCCCATTGAACATTTGTCTATAGAAAAAAAAGTGCAGATGAACTGTGGAATTTTTAAATTAAATCGGCCGAAATTTAATAGAAAGTTCAATAGAAATTGAACAGCATTTTGTAGCTAATGAATTATTCTATTGACTTTCAATTTTTAGAGGGGGGGGGGAGGAAAGAGCAGAACGAATAGATACATACACGCACGGAACAATTTCGTAGTAAAACCTAACGAATTCTATAGAAAATTCTATTAGATTTCTATTGAACTTCTAGTGACAATTCTATTAGGTTTCGACCGATTCCATTAAAGAATTCCGCAGCTTAACTCCGTATTATTCTATGCGAAATATCCAATAGCAACTATTCTATAGAAAAAATCAGTGAAATGTCATCGTTCTATCCCACTTTTTCTATTCAGACATTTTCTATAGGAATTCGTCAACACGAATTTTCCAAGTTTTTTCACTCCACATTTTTTTCTTTTTTCAACAATAGAATAAAACTCAAAAAATTTAAGTCGACGAACTTCTGTAGAAAATATGTCAATAGAATAATTCAGTAGCGAAGAGGTGAAACAACTCAAGTCGATTTAGGCCACACCTGAGTTTTTGAAGAATATCTCCGAATCTAAGGGAACCACCAAAATTTTCGTAATTGCCTTTTTTGTAGAGCTAATTGAGCAATATAAAATATATTTTAACAAAAATTTCGCTATCTCCCTTAAATTCCGAGATATTCATTGAAAACTCGTCAATAGACAAAATCGATTTAAACCGTTTTACCACATCGCTAGGGAATTCATATAGGGGAGAGTGGGACAAAATGAAACCGTCAAAAAAACGACTGTTTGACGCAATTCAAGCAAAAAAAAAATCTTTTTCTTAAATATTTTTTTTATCAACTTTTTTTTACTATTGGAAGTACTGATAAGAATAATAATTTTCCATTCAATAGAATGGAAAATTATTGAGAAGTTTTGACGGGCGAAGATTTTGTCAATGGATTAATTGAAAAGAAAATGAAACAGCAAAATCCAAAGTCCAGAGCAAGGCTCAGGGGGAGACCCAGAGGGGGGAAAAGGAAAATATGATACTGAATTTCAATCGAATAATCCATTGACAAAATTTTTTCCCATCAAAACTTCTCAATAATTTTCCATTTTACTGAACGGAAAATTATTATTCTCATCAGTACTCCCAAAAATAAAATAAAAAATTTTTCCTTGAATTGCGTCAAACAGTCGTTTTTTTGACTATTTTATTTTGCCCCACTCTCCCCTGAAAAACCCGAATTTTATTGTCTTTTTCTATAGAATATTTTCCGCCAGACATCCCTCTTCGTATTTCTCCCTACAATCTTCCACAATTTCATAGAAAGTTCAATGGAAATCCACCAGACTATTCCCGCGAATCCGCCACCTCTCCCTACAAAATTTGTTCGCGCCTGTAAATAGTTGAATTCCCCCTAAACTCAATAAAAATAGAAATACTTCCCCCCTTCGGTTCGGGAAGTCAACAAGAAAAACGAATATTAACCAATCTTAATGGTGGCATTGTGCACAGGATTGTCTCCATAACTCATATGCAGCGAGACATTCTTATCCTTCTGTTTGATATTGACACACGCGGGTCCACCCAGGTCGATTGTTGACGTGAGATTGAGGTCGACGCAGCAAAGGCATCCCGATGTCTGACACAAGCACTTGGACTGGGCTGTTGATGATCTCGCCTCACTATCGCGAATATCCCACGACAGAAGTGTCTCTAAAAAATCCATGGAAAATAAAATCAAACAGTTGATCCCGAATCGACGGGCAGCAGAAGCGAACATGAATCATCTCACCGAGTATTCCAGCGGAGGAGACTGCGACGACCGCACAGGAGAGAATGATCCAGAGTTTGACTGTCATACTGACTTGCCAACGATGAAAAATGGAAATAAACTCGAAGAGACTTCCGAAAAAAAAAAATGAAAAACCCTCCGGGAGAGACCCTCTCACAGACTAAATATTCCCACGAAATACGAATAAAGGGAGCGTTCCATATAAACCCCGAACAGACCCCGAATCACTCGACGAACAAACTCGTCAGACGCACGTTTCACTCTTGAGGTTTGCGCTAAACCTCAAGTTTTCAAACTTCTTGGTCTCCTTAGTTCCTTATTCACTGTTTGTACCTCATCACGATTGGTCCAATACCCCTCAAACTGGGGAGAGGGGAGTGGTACAACGTCATTGGACGGGCTCTCTGATGCTGGAGGCCAAAGAACTTCATCTGGGTTACCGGGTGACCCCTTTACAGGGGTACTATACTGTACTTAGTAACACGAGCGTGTATGAATCAAAGAATAACACCTTCGTGTTTCCTTTCTTCAAATGTTTGCATTCATTATTTTCATCACTTCAACATTACACGTTGAAAAATCATTTTGTCAGCCTGGCAAATACTCGCTTGTTGAGAGATGATTAGGGGAGGCTGGGGTAAAATGGACACTTTTGACTTTTTTAAAAATGTTAATGACGGGTTGAAATGTTGATAAAATTTCATAATTTTTATTTCAATACAAAGGATCCCCGTCAAATGATCCCCGAACAAAATGATCCACAACAAAATGATCCTCCACAAAATGATCCTCGGACGACATCAAAAGTGACAATATACTCGTCTATTTGAATAATTAAAACATTTTAACAACACCTATTAATAAATCAATTATAATATATAAATACTCCATAAATACATTAATTCCTGAGGCATCATTCCCATCACAAAATTGAGCAATAATCGACCTATTAATAAATCAATTATAATACATAAATACTCCATAAATACATTAATTCCTGAGTCATCATTTTCATCACAAAATTGAACAATAATTTTCCACATAAATACATTAAACGCTATTAACAACACGACACTATTAACAGTCTAAGTCATCAATTTCTTCACAAAAATTTCAACAACCTGAGCTGTTTACATTTCAATTTATCGATTTTATTTAAAGGAAAATAGTGCAGTATGGATGGGAAATATTCTCGTTACTACTATCGCTCATATCATATTGTTGGGGATCATTTTGTTGCGGATCATTTTGCTCGGGATCATTTTGGAGAGGATTTTTTGACCGGGATCTTTTTACCGGGATCATTTGACGCGATACCCAATACAAACAACAATTCTTTCCCTGTGTGATGAGCTTAAAATGATCTCAATTAATAAATTTGTTTCTGACTTATGAATAATGTTAAAAAAGTCTAGTGTCCATTTTACTCTCACAGCTGTAGACAAATTCTTTACCAAGAGTAACCCCCGCATATAACCGACGAATATACAGTAAAGCAATGGAAAAACCAAATGTATGAAACCTTACCGATAGTGTAAATAACCCCGCTATGGATTCTATATTTTGAAGCAATAAAAAAATAGTGGATTTTAAGGGATAACAGAAGGTCACCGTTTCCTCGAAATTTCCAAATAAATTCTTGCTCAAAGTTATTAATATTGTTGAGTTTAAGGAAGTAATAATTCGAGGTCAATCAAAGGGGCGTGTCTATTGACAGTTCTCAGGAATAAATAATAAATAAAGCTGTCCCAAACATTATTTTACAAAAGAGGGGAAGAAGATAGATTAAATCATTCGATTCGGTAACAATATTTTTCGAGTCTAAAGCATAATGATGTTTATCATCGCCTCCTGGAGATTAATGTGCTTCGATTTGCGAAAATATGGATAACTTTCGGCAGGAAATTTGTTCAAAATTTTGGTAAATTAGCGGCATTTTATTATCTGATTTCTCGTACTTTTACTGATAATTAATATAGCAACTCGTACAGCTGCATATGGAATGCCGATTGGGGAGGTAAAGTTAATTTCCACTCACATCACTTCATTACAATAGTTATAATAACAGCTCTCTATATTCTTCGTCATCACCACACCTCACAAAATGTTTCATCCTCATCGCACTCCCAACAAGTTAAAACCGATGATTTTTCCTATTTAATTATACGATACCAGCAGTTAGCTCAATTTTCTGTTTTCTCTTGTCCCATATTCTGCAATTAATCCTTTGTATATAAAATGGAAAAACCAGGCACATGTGATTGCCAATCATAAGCTTCTTGTGACGCTTTGCGTTGAAAATAAAAATAATAAAATAGCAATTCGTTTGTTAATCTAACTAAACATGTTCCTCAAAAATGAGCAAATCAATTCAGTAGCCAAGTAGCAAAACGGTTTAAGTCGAGTTATCTCGCAGTTGAGTTTTTGAGGAATATAGATAGCGAAATTTTCAAGATTACATTTGTTGTAGCACTCAATCGGCTCTACCAAAAAGGTTATAACAAAAATTTTCCTATCTCCCTTAGATTCCGAGATATTCATTGACAATTGGTCAATCGTAAAAATTGACTTGTAGTGTTTTACCACTTCGCTGCTGAATTGTCGTTGCCCTGGGATAACCCTCTTGCTATTCTAACAAATCAAACCCGAGCGAAGACATCCGCTTCCGTTACCCCAACGAATTATTTTTCTACGTGCAAGAATAAAAAAATTTAATAAAACAGATGACGTTTTCTTTATTTAATTTTTCGTAAATGTTTTTCTGTACTTTTCCGAAATTTATTAAACCAATTCATTAATTTAGAATTCAAATGGACTTGTTTTTTTGTCTATTAGAAACTATATTTATTGGGACAGCTTCGAGGGATTATATTTTTTAGGATGAGGCGGGCATTCTAGAATAGAATTCCTCCGATGATTGAGGATTTTCATTGTACGAGTCAAGGTGAACCGCTTCGGGCATCAACTTTCTTCGACCCACTGACCGGAGAAAGGGGAACTTACAGTAGCCCATACCGAAGACTCCTTAGTTTCGGTTCTATATCTATTTAAAATCTCAAATTACCTTCGCCTTTCCCCTGTAATTTCATCTAAGATTGAATTTTGTAATGGAATTTCGTCGAAATAATGGGACAAATTGGTAGTTTCGGTTCATTGCCTCGGGTTTCAAGGATCCAACACCGGAAACGATGATGTGGGACTAATGGAGTGGATAATTAATGGAATTATGGGTTTGGGAGAGCACATCGATTTATTATTCCCAGCGTTCGCCTTCTCGACATTAGAATATTACTTGACTAAATACTGTGCTCCTGGGGTGGAGGTAGGTTTGACCGACTTTTCAATGGTAACGAGCTCCTTCAGAGGTGGGGAACTTTCAGCGGCATCTTCAGTTTAACATTGGCCTTCGTAACATTCAGAGTTGAGGAGTACTTGGAGTACAATCGAAGTGTTAGACACATTTTTCTAGTGTTTACTCGGGCGCCTGGATTTTTTTTCAAGTGAGTCATTTTTTTTCATTCGTTTTTCATTCATATTTTCATCATTCTATCATTTATTCACACCATTCTTCAGATCTTAATTGGAAGAACAAAATTTATTGTCTTAATTTTCAATTTGTTATTGTTTTTTCATCTTTTTTCATTAAGTTAATTGATAAATTAGTGGGAAAATTACGGGATACGTATGGGATATTTGAAATAATTGGTCATTCGGAGTAATTTCTAAACCGAAATGTTGAGCGAGAAATGACAGACAAGCATGACAAACCATGCAGTCAAACACGCACTAGACATGGCATTGACCGCGACCGTGATGTAGGCCACGGAGTCGAGAGGCTTAGTCCCCTCTCTATTTGAGTGTCAAAGAACTGTACAGTATTTTTGAAAATTTGACCAATGACTAATGGGAAAGGGCTGTCGAAAAAGGCTTTCACATTCTGCTTTTTTTATTTCTCTTTTTCTCGTTCTGAATCTCGGGGGTCATTACTCAAGTGGGTTTCCATTGTTCAATTATTACTGTCGTCATGGGTTCGGAAACAGTCTCAGAATGATTTAATGACTTTTTACAGGAGAGAACAGAGGACTGACATAGGGAATAACAATGCGACTGTCAACTGTGTTCGAGCTGTTATTGATATTCCTGTTAATCGCTTTCGCTGCGTATGGACGAGTCATCGGTAATGGAAATTTATACTTTAATGGGATAGCCTAGCGAATTCGATAGACAATTCTATTGGTTTTTTACTGGACTTCAATTGAAAATTCTATTAGATTTTGGCTGATTTTATTGAAGAATTCGGCAGGTTTACTGCGCGTTTTTTTAAAGAAAACTTTCAATGTAAAATATTTTATAGAAAAAATTCCTAGAATTTCATCTTTCTATAGGAATTTTTGTATCGAGACATTTTCTATAGGAATTCCTGGACATTAATTTTCTTAGTTTTTTTCACTCCTTGTTTCTTCTCTTTTCATTAACAAAATCAAAGAACAGAAATTGGAAAATCTGAGCCGAAGAATTTCTATAGAAAATATCTCAATGGAATGAATTGTATAGAAAAATCGAATTCTATAGAAAATTCTAATAGATTTTGGCGGATTTTATTGAAGAATTCAGCGGATTTACTGCGCGTTTATTTAATGGAAATTTCTAATGTAAAATATTTTATAGAAAAAATTCCTAGAATTTTATCTTTCGATCGGAATTTTTGTATCGAGGCATTTTCTATAGGAATTCCTGGACATTATTATTATTTTTTTTCATTCCTTGTTTGTTCTCTTTTCATTAGCGAAATCAAAGAAAAGACCTTGGAAAATTTGAACCGAAGAAATTCTATAGAAAATATCTTAATGGGATGAATTTTTTAGACAAATCGAATTCTATAGAAAATTCCATTTGATTCCTATTGAACTTCTATAGAAAATTCTATTAGATTTTGCCCGATTTTATTGAAGAATTCATCAGATTTACTGCGCGTTTATTTAATGAAAATTTCTAATGTAAAATATTTTATAGAAAAAATTCCGAGAATTTTATCTTCCGATACGAATTTGTGTATCGAGACATTTTCTATAGAAATTCCTGGACATCATTTTTCTTATTTTTTTCATTCCTTGTTTCTTCTCTTTTCATGAGCAAAATCAAAGAAAAGAACTTGGAAAATTTGAGCCGAAGAATTTCGATAGAAAATATCTCAATGGGATAAATTGTATGAAAAATCGAATTCTATAGGAAATTCTATTAGATTTTAGCCGATTTAATTGAAGAATTCCGCAGCTTCACTGCGCATTATTTTCCTAGAAAATTTCCAACAAGAAACTATTTTATAGAAAAAATTAGTAGAATTTCATTTTTCTATACGAATTTTTTACAATTTTTTTATGAATATCGAGACATTTTCTATATGAATTCCTCGACATGAAATTTCTAAGTGTTTTCCACTCAATTTTCCTTCTCTTTTCATTAAAAAGTGGATCAAAAAAACTTTGAAAATTTGAGCCGAAACGTTTCTATAAAAATATCTCAATAGAATAAATTCTATAGAACAATCAAATTGTATTGATTTTTCCAATGGAATGAATTCCAATAAACATTTCTATTCACAAAAAATGCGCAGGTAAATATAATATAGCAAAATATATATAATATAGCTATAGCAAAAAAATAATGGAAAATTCAGTACAAATCCAATAGAATTTTCCCGTACGTGGTGACTAAGCTAATGCCTTTTTTCAGATCGCAATGAGACTTCGTTGTACCGAGTTGCGCGAGCCACAAAACAAAATTTCGGTGTATCATTCATGTCTCTTAAACAGGCGACGGAAAATGTCAACAAATACTGCACCTGCAATGAGAATATCTGCAATTGCTGCAGGAAATTCCACATTCCATTGGTCAGAGTTCAAGGACCAGGTGAAAACCCTCTCCCTCATCGTGCCATTTAAATTTCTATGTAAATTGTAAGAAACCTAACGAATATATTGGAATTTCAGGGTGTGCCTCTCTGCAGTACTTGAAGGAGAACAATCTCGCTGTTCAATTGAGTTTTGGGAAGAATATTCTAACCAGCACAGTTATCAGCGGTAAGAGTGTAACGTTGTAAAAACCTATGGAATTCCTAAAAAATTTACTCGAATTTATTACTAATTTCCGAAATCACTGAAAAGAAAATTAAAATCTCTGGCAAAAAATTTAATAGAAAAGCCTAGCGAATTCACTAGACAATGCTATTGGATTTCTATTGAGTTTTCTATTAGTTTTTGGCCGATTCAGAGTTCACCCTCTGGTTAGAGGGAGCACTATTGTAGAGCGATTAGGAAAAGTTAGTCACGTACCCCCGTTGTCATAGCACGGCCATGAATATTAGTCTGCGGCCACGGGCATAGCCATGAAATATCATTGGCCTTTGAGGACGATATGGGGGTCCATGGCCCCAAATCTTAAGTCTTCTATGGCCTTGTTGCTGGGCCGACATTTGTTGAGGAGAGTGGGGTGATCACAAGGGTCAGACGGGAGAGGTAAACGTAATTATCGCAAGGGTGTAATTGGGGTGATGAATTGAGTAATCATAAGGGTCACAAGAGAGAGACGAACGAAGTTATCGCAAGGTTCTAATTGGAGTGACGAATTGAGTAATCGTAAGGGTCACAAGAGAGAGACGAACGAAGTTATCGCAAGGGTCTAATTGGAGTGACGAATTGAGTAATCGTAAGGGTCACAAGAGAGACGAACGAAGTTATCGCAAGGGTCTAATGGGAGCGATGAATAGAGTAATCGCAAGGGTCAAAAAGGAGGGGCGAACGAAGTTATCGCAAGGGTCTAATTGGAGTGACGAATTGAGTAATCGTAAGGGTCACAAGAGAGAGACGAACGAAGTTATCGCAAGGGTCTAATGGGAGCGATGAATAGACTAATCGCAAGAGGCAAACGGGAGACACGAAGTTATCGTAAGGGTAATTCGCTTCCATTAGATCCTTGAGATAACTTCGTTTGTCTCCCTTTTTTACCCTCGCCATTACTCTATCCATCGCTTCCATCGGACCCTTGCGATAACTTCGTTCGCCTCTCCCTTTTGACCCTTACGATTACTCAATTCATCACTCCAATTAGACCCTTGCGATAACTACGTTTTCCTCTCCCATTCGACATTTGTGATCACCCCACCCCTATTGGAGGGAGCACTATTGTACAGCCCGCACTATTATTGCAGGACTAGTTTGTATCACTTAGCTTGCTCGGGGGTCTTCGAGGTGAAGTAAAAACTCTCGAAGATCGTTCAGCGACTCGAGTGGAAATTTAGTTAAGTAAGGTACTGATCCTGACAACCTGATATGTAATCAGTTACGGACCAGGCTATAGGATCAGGGACTAAATGGGCATGTAACACTTCTTAACATCCTAATAGGATCAGGCTGTGAGATCCAATCCCTATCAGGTAACCCTACGAGATCCTGATGCAAATCACCTGATCCTAGTAGGAGAAAATGTTCACTATTAGAAACTGATGTGATTTAGATATCATCTCATATCAGAATATCATCTCAGAAGGTAATATTCTGATCAGCATCTGATCAGTACTTCCGGATCCAGCGTAGCTAAGGTATTTATCAGGAATTTATAGGGTACTGTTCAGGTTTTGGATTCGGGTTCTGATCAATTATTAATCACAGCAGTTTCTTTTTCATTTGATTTTATTTTGTACGGTGCAACTTTTAATCCTCCTAACCTTACAATAAAGCAAGAATATCACTCAATAAATAGATTGATAATATTGATCATTCTTGTCCCACGTTGCCCGGAAGAGCATCCTTTGGATCCTGTCCGTCACCGTCAGCCCCCGTTCTATTTTCTTATCCCCATGATCGGCAGTTATTAATAGTTCGTCCGAATCCCTGAACGAGTTTTCCATCTTTGTACTCTGCAATCTTGTTGTTTCTGGCTTCTCTCTGAAGTGTGTCTGGAAAATTCATAAGCGATGATCATAACAATTTTCAAAATCAGTTCATCATTGTAAAAGTAATGAAAAATACCTGTGATGCAAGGCCATATAGGTAGTTCACTGAATATATTCTTGTCCTTGGTTTTTTTTTTTGAGAAACAATGCAGTAGGACATCTTTGAGTATCGGAGGCTTTAGCATGTAGCCAATATTTTTTGACAATGATTTTTTGTAATTGAGTTTGCTGAGCATCGCAACGCACTGAAAAAAAAACATGAACTGAAAACCTTGGAATTTACGCGAAAGTCATGAGAGAAAAAAAAGGCAAAATCTTACAATTTTTGGGCAAAAATGACAGTCTTCTCCCAATTTTGTGTTGAACTCCTCGAATTTGTTGATATCCTCGCAATAGTGATCCTCTAACGTGACACTTGGCTGGTCCTCTCCAGGCACATGGCGGTTAGCAACCAATGAAGCTTTGATCTCCTCCTGGCCGTCGTGAAGCTGTACTAGTTGACTTTGTACCTGGCCTAATGCCCATGTCAAGTTACGCAGATATTTGAGAACTGGATCTGATTGATCAAAATCTCTTTGTGAATTTGCCAGACGATCACTCTCTTCTTCAGTGAACGTTGGCTCGTGATGACTAGGATAACCTTCTGATTTATTAGAATCATCACTGGATTCAGCACTTATTTCCCTTAAACTCAATTCCATAGTTTTGAAATTCTAAAAATTCATCCGAAATACACAAATTTGTATCCGTATATTCGATTTGCATCAACTCCTCATGTGTACCCCAAAAAACCCCATGGCACTAGTCGTGAGTAGGGTTGGGCAAGGAATAATCCCTCGTGAAATTTAGTCACGAGGGTTACTGCAGTGATACTTGGATGAAGGGGTGGTTTTCTACCAGTTATTTACCTTTTTTACCATTTAGAGGTCAATGGTAAAAAAGGTAAATAGAAAACTCCGATTTTCAGTGAACCACCCAACCCTGGTCGTGAGCGATATTTTTCCGTAGTGATTTTCACTTTTACGAGTTCGAGGAAGGGCTAATACCAATCTCCGGACGAGGAGAAGTGAAGAGCAGTACGGAAAAAAAAATAATCTCTTGTTAGAGGGAGCACTATTGTAGAACGATTAGGAAATGTGTACATCGGTGAAAAAACATAACAATGATGATAATAAAATAAACTTGTCCTACTTCCTTGCAGGCAAGAAGCCCCGAGCGATCTGTGTGCCAATGCCGGGAGGTCTGACAAAATTCTGCGGTCGAATCTACTCGATCGAGCGTGAAGCCCAGGACCACTTCAAAGCGTGTCTCGGTCTCGAATTGCAGTCGGCATCCGAGCTCGAAGCAAGTCTCCGTGTCAGTTGCTTCAGATTCGGACCCGACGGTCTCCAACTCCGTCCAGCGGAGAGTCTCCCAGTAATCGACCCCCCGAAGCCAGACGCCGAGGATGATGACGATGACGACTACGACATCTTCGGCTTGGACGACGAAACGGAGAGCGATGAAAACCCCCCGGCGAAGAACCCCCAAGCCCCCGAGTCCTCCGACGATGATGACGATGACGACGATGACGATGACGTTCTGGGCTTCGGCGCCCTCCTCGACATCTTCACGGGAGACGACGATAGCAGTAAGAAGAAGACAACAACCGCAGCTCCACTTCTTCCCTTCACTATTCCATTGATAACAAAACCATCTCCGACAGTTTCGTCACCCCCACAGCCTATGAAACTAACGAAACCGACGGAGGAGATTCCTCTGGAGATGAAAAACCCGACGAAAATACCGCAGGTGCTGAGTACTGCACCGCCTGAGAGCGCTGAAGTGGTCGAAGAGATGACTGATCAGACGGTCAAGGACGAGACGACAGAAGTCAGTGAAGATGCAGCTGTTCCAGAGGAAGCCGTCACGGGAGAGCAATCCGGAGACGTTGAAGAGTCCACATCAGGTCCAGCACCGGAGGTAAAGCCACTCGAGGAGAAGCCGCTGGAGCCCTCGGACCCCACGACGTCCCCTGAAGTCGCCGCAACGGTGCTCACCCCCGCGAAAACCGGAGTGAAGAAGCTCGTGGGGATAAAGACAGTGAAGAAACCGAGTCTGACCGCCAACAGCCCCAACGCCATCGTCAGCGACGCGAAGCCTCTGTCGAGACCAACGAAGCCGGACCCGACTGAGAACTCCGACGAGGACGAGGAGGACTACATCCTCGCGAGTGACTCGGACGAGGAGGACGACGAGACCGAGAACACGGCGGAGGAGTCCGAGGCGGAGGACGACGAGGAAGACGAGGGCGAAAACGAGAGCGAGGAGGAGGAGGACGCGGCGCTAGCTGCCCTCGTTTCAGACGACTCTGAGAACACCAAGGACGAGAAAGTCAGTGATAACGAGACCTCGAAACCGGAGGAGGACGACGCGGACTATGGGATGGGGCTTGCGGAGCTCTTGGCGAGGAAACAATCATCGAGGAGACAGTGGAGTGGACGACAGAGTAAAGTCATGAGATTGTAATGAGTCACTGGGACCTTGGCATTTTTGATAATGCTTACATGAATTTTCTACAGATTTTTTAAATGATAAGGCAATTAATGGCGTGAATGTTCAGAAAAATTTCAATTTTCAAGGTTATATGACGATTGAATCACCCAAAAATGTTGAAATTCAAATGGAAGGTTCTCCGAAGGTGTCGGGAGTGCAAAAAATCATGAATTATTAACCAAAAGGGGACAAAAAAAGGACAGCTTCAAAAATTTGTTCCTTTTTTAGGAACCGCATGGAAAGAGTTAAAGATAATCTGAAAGGGATAAATAAGTTTTTTAAATGTTCAAAAATTCGAGGTGGTTGCCAGGTGTGAGTGCCGCCATCTTGGATACTCCCTCTCTCTGTCGTGGGGGCTTCAAAGATGGCAGCACCTCCACCTCGCATTTTTAACCATTTTTAAAAATTATCTATCTTATTCTGATGACTATCAACTCACTGCCTCTGGTTTCTATGAGAGGAAGAAATTTTTCAAGCCATCTTTCTGATTTTTGCAACCCTGGTCATCGCGCTTGAATTGAAAAAATTCACTCATGAAAGTTTTGATTGATTATTGATAATTAATTCATTAGTTTATTTAATGTTCAGTAAAATTTGAATTTTCAAGTCCATATAACAACTGAAATCATCGAAAAATGTTGAAATGCAAACGAATGTTTCTATGATCAAATGTTTCTCTCATAAAAATATCATGAATTCTCAACCAAAAGGAGATGAAAAAATCTAAAGGATAGCTTCCAAAATTTAGTCCTTTTTTAAGAAATGGATTAAACTAGTTAAAGATGATTTGAAGATGACTAATTTTAAAAACGTTCGAAAATTTGAGGTGGTTGCTAGGCGCGATTGCCGCCATCTTGGATACCCCCTCCCTATGCCGTAGGGGTTTCAAAGATGGCACCGCCTCCACCTCGCATTTTTAACAATTTTTTAAAATTATTTACCCTATCCAGATGACACTCAACTCACTGCATCCGGTTCCTATTAGAGGAACAAATTTTTTAAGTCATCTTTCAGATTTTTCCATCCCTTTCCGGCTGGAAATTCATGGCACAAATATTTCCCCGCATTTCAGTAGTTGTTTTCTACTCCCGAGAACTCTTGAAATGAATTCACATTCACAAAATTGGGAATTCAGAAGCAATTGTTAGTCGAATTTCAAAAAATGTCCAACAGTGTGATTGTAATGATTGTGAAGTGATCACTGATCCTGTATTTATGTTATTTATTTATTTATTTCTACCTCTTCTCCGTAGTTAATAATAATTTCTGATTGGGATTCTCCCGCTTAAGCCATAATAATATTGTAACGAATTTCGAAAAAAAATTATGTGAATTACCTCTGTTGATTGAATAGAATGTGTTCTCACTAAATTAACGCCTTCATTCGACCAAAACTCTCCTCCAAAAAACCTCCTCATTATTCACGATGTTAATGACGAATGCTAACGGTATCGAGGACATGTGGGTCAAAGAGAGATGCAGGAACAAGAAACTGCAACTTTCACTGAGGAATATCGGATGAATCCAACCGGATTAATCCCCGATGGTGCGTTTCTATCTCATTTTGAGTTTCGATAGTGCACGAAGTGGTTCTCAAGTGAATATCCTCCTGTTCAGGCCGAACACTCTAATAATGGGTGGCTTCCTCTGGGTTCCACTCCTCTTCGTCATCCCAAATTCAGTTTCCGCAGGTCTATGCGCAAATAAGGGAGGATCCGCCGGTGAGAAGCGTACAACGCCCAAAAAAATTTAGTAGAAAAATATAATTACATTGGATTTCTATTGACCTTTCGGTTAGTTTTTGGCGGATTCTATTGAAATGTGCAATACAAAATATTCTATTGAAAAATAAAATAATAGAATTTTTCGGTGGCACCTCTTTTCAACTAAGCGACATATCAACTGTTTTTTTCAATTTTCATTCCTTTTTTCTATTCGTATCTGAATCTGTGTAAATAGGTGCTAAGTAGCGGTTATTAGCTCCTGTGCAATTCTTTTGATAAATAAACTGTTTGTCTACCAAAATTTGGCTCCTCTGGAATTCTCTATAAATGTCAGATGCATCGTGTGAACAATTTGCTGATTTTCGAGTGACTAAATTGATTCTATTTTATTTCGTGTGAACAGCGTACACTGAGAGAAAAACGACAGAGTTCTTAAACAAGTCTTGTTTGTGCCAAGAAAATAGTTTTTTGAAATTTATCAAAATAGGATTTTTTGTGCCAAACATGCAGAGAGTGCGCCGAGACGAAAAATTTTTGTCGCAAAAATAGATTTAGTAGTTAAAAAAAAATGCATTCTCTGTGCACGCAAGAAATGTCATTTACAGCACTACGCCTTCGTTATTCGATACTCCCATACGTATTTTGCTCCCGAAAAATGCTTGCTTTATGCGGAACAAGGGATATTAATATCTAATAATCACAGACAAGAAATGAACCCTTAAATGAAAGAATAATAATGATATGATAGCAATTTCCTAGCTTAGGGATAAAATATTTCTTGATAAATTTTGCTCTATATGAGATATTTTCATCCTGAAAAAGCACACCGTCTCGTATGAATTATCTGCCTCTTGAGTCAAATATTTCGTTGTTATTGAAAGCAGAGCAATTATTCATGTTTGAAACTTTCAAATTAGAACCAACTAATTCTTTTTTGGCAACTTTCAACTAGCGATTTTGTTGGCCCAAACAAGACTTGTTTGAGAACGTGTTTCTTTTCTCTCAGTGTAGGTGTGTGGGCAAAATTTCGGGATAGATTTTCTAAGAACATCATCTGTTTGTCGTGTTTTCGACTATAGCACTTGAAATAATGAAAGTACGTGGCTTCCGATTTTTCTACACAATTTATTCTATTGAGATATTTTCTATCGAATTTCCCCGGCTTAAATTTTCAAAATTCTATTTTTCTTTTTTTTATCAAGAACATGAAACAAAAAAACTTGGAAAGTTTGAAGCGAGGAAATTCTATAGAAAATATTTCAGTGGACTAGTTGTATAGAAAACTCGAATTCTAGTGACTTTTTCTATAGAATATTTTATAGTGAACATTTAAATAGAATCGTTCAAAAACTAATAGAAAGTTCAATAGAAATCCAATAGAATTGTCCAGCGAATTCATTACATTTTTCTATTAAATTTTTTCGTACGCACGGAGAGCCAGCACTGAAAATTTTATTGAGTAGCACGTGAATTTTTGGCGTTCTTAAGTGAAATTTATAAGAATTCTTTAGAAATTTTACCTCAACAGAACTAGAATTTTTTCTAGCCGGTGGATTTATTTTTTGCTAGTACCAGCACTAGAATTTTTCCGAAAAATTTCTCTCCGTGCGTTAAGAATCAAACCAGAAGAGTGAAGAAAAATCGTTAATGGTCTTCTTTTTTCTAGATGTCACAATTAAACACTCGATTTATTTCGACATTAATTCGAAGTCCCCATTGAAGGTGGAACTCGACGATTCTAACAGGTCCCCCACGAATCCTGTTAGATTCGTGTCAAGGGGCTTGCCGTGTTCCTGCCAGGGGCTCGTCTGCGGCTGTTGCGCTGGAATAAACCTCGCGGCCTTCAATTTTACTAGACGAGCCTGCATGGAGTTTATCATGGTGCCTGAAGAATTCGCCATGGACGTTCGGTTGATGATCGATGATGAGGAAATGTTCAACAATCGATTGAGCGGTAATTAGTTTTTTTTATTGTATTGGAATCCGAGGAAATTACAGAATTATTATTAATTATTCATTCTTCGGGATTTTCAATATTTCTTCGTCCTTAATTTTTCTTTCAATCCTTATTCTATTTTTTTATGATTTGTACTCAGGTACAAAAATTTACACAGAAAAAGCTAGCGAATTCGCTAGAAAATTCTATTGGATTTCCATTGAACTTTCTACTAGTTTTTGGCTGATTATTTGCGCGTTTTTTTTCAATGGAAATGTTTAGTGGAAAATATTCTATAGAAGGAATCAACAGAATTCAATTTTTCTATACAATTTATTCTAGAGATTTTTTTCCATAGAAATGCCTCACTCCGAATTTTTGTTTTTTTGCTTGATTTCTTTTTTGGATGGAAATAAAAGACAAATAGTGTGGAAAAACTTCGAGAATTCATGTTGGGGAATTCCTATAGCAAATATCTCAACAGAAAAAGTTATATAGAAAGCTGAAATTCTACATATTTTTTCTATAAAATAGTTTGTATTGGAAATTTTCTATTAAAAAACGCAGAGTAAAACCGCGGAATTGTTCAATAGACTCGGCTAAAAACTATTAGTAGAATTTTCAATAGAAGTTCAATAGAAATCCAATAGAATTCTCTATCAGATTTCAGTTGATTCTATTAAAATATTGTGCAGTTTATCTCCATTTTTTCTTTAGAAATGTTCAATGGAAATTACTTTGCATAAAAAATCAATAGAATTCGATTTTTCTATACAACTTATTCTACTGAGATATTTTCTATAGAAATTCCTCGGCTCAATTTTCCCAAGTTCTTTTGTATGATTTTTTTTCTAATCAACAGTGAAAAAAAAATGAAATGGAAAAAACTTGAAAAATGTCAAGGAATTCCTATAGAAATTGTCTCAATAAAAGTTTCTATAGAAAGATAAAATTCTGCAGATTTTTTTCAATCTGTTGAAAATTTTCTATGAAAAACGCGCACTAAACCTGCAGAATTCTTCAATAGAATCGGCTAAAAACGAATAAAAATTCAAAAGAAAACCAATAAAATTTTCTAGCGAATTCATAGAAATTCGAGTATTTCTATGAAATTTTTTCACGTGTGTTGAAATTGTGTCATGAACTCAAGTTCACGAATGTAATTCAACGATTTGACTTCATATTGGAATTATTTTCACAATTCTTCAGCGAGAAATCCACCTCCGGTCTGCATGCCTCTGTACGCCCTTCCGATCGTCAACTTCTGCGTCAGACTCTTCGACATTCGTGTAGTGGACTCGTCCCTGAGTACCTGCATGGACTTCGAAACAAAGGTGGCACAATGGCCAGTGTTCATCCTGCATTTCGACTGCGTTCGAGTCGGAGGGAACGGGCTCTCCTGGGTGAGGCCCAACGCCACACTCTACTCAGAGCCGACCGTAGCTGACGTCGACATCTACGACCAAGTTGATTTCAATGCCGCGGACCTCGAAATTAGTAACAGCACTTCCGGTTTGAGTCCGGAAGAGGAGGACAAAATAGGAACGCTTAAGCTTTAGTTCTAAAAACGATAGAGATAATGATAATTAATATCGTCAAATTAAATTCGGTGTCACGTATGTAAAAATTTAATAGAAAAACTTAGCAAATTCGCTGGACAATTATAATGAATTTCTATTGAATTTTCTATAGTAGTCTTCGGCCGATTCTATTAAAATGTTCAATAGAAAGTATTCCTACTGTGACATGTGGAGATATTCACACGTCGATTTTATTCAATTAATATTTTCTAGATGGAAAAAGTTCAAAATGCTCAATAAGCAGTCTCACGGTGACACCTGAGTCCAGCTTTTCAGAATGGAGCTGTTTGATTGTCTTAGCCATTGTCAGTGATGGACATATGGCCGTGTTAGTTAGAAAAACCATGAGAACACTTATTTAGCATTTTCGGTCAGCAACGACTTTGAAGCTCTGGAATAGGGCAGAGTACGGCAGGAGTTGAAGATGGACGGACGTCCTCTCCTAGCCAAAAATCTATAGTAGATCCGCGTCGAAACCGAGCCCATTTAACAGTTGATTTTATACTTTACCTATCAATTATCTATTCAATATACTGTGAATTATTAATGTAACAGTGGTGCTCGATTGTTTTATACGAAGAATATCTAATCAAATCCTATCCTAGTCACGTCACGTTAGATCTTGAGAGAAATCCGCGTGAGCTCTGACCGTAGCTAGTTGAGCAATAGTTTTTGAGTCGACTGGCGACTCAATTAAGGGAGGTAGAAAACCTCTCACGTCACACTATAAAAAAATTCAATAGAATTCAATAGAATACTCTATTCTTTTCAAATTTTCCAAGTTTTTTATTGCTCTAAGAAAATTAGTGTAAAAAACACTAACTTCGGAAATTTGATCCGAGAAAATTTTATAGAAAATATTTCAATAGAATGAGTTGTAACGAAAAATCGAATTCTATTGACTTTCTACAGAATATTTTCTATTGAATATTTCAATTGATAGCCAAAAATTGATAGAACGTTCAACAGAAATCCAAGAGAATTCGCTAGGTTTTTCTATTAAATTTTTAAATAATAAAATCTTAAATTTCACGGGGAATTTTATGGTATGGGGCAGTTTTTTTACCAACACGAAGACGAGAGTTTCCCAAATTATTTATTTGTTATTTTATTTATTAAAAACTCAACTGCCGAAGCCAATTGTACGGTCAAATTATTATACAATAATAATTTATTCTTATTATACGGAAATAAATAATATTTTAAATATCATATATTATTATTATATAGAAACAACTAAATTTACGCATATATAAAACAAAAACATGAGATGCCCGATTGTGTTCTTAACGAATAATAGCCTAAGTCCAAACAAGTGAGCCAGAGAAGGCTTAGGTCGATCTTTTAGAGTTGACAAACTTCGGCGCCTTATCAATTATAGGGGAGATGGGTAACATTATAATATCCACTGACCCATCATAAAAAAATCAAGAAATTCATTCACTGCATTACACATAGTATAGCGGAGAAATCGAGTTACCTTTAGCTCGAATTTACCTTTGGATTTAAATTTTTAGTCAAAATATGAATATTCAATTCCAAATCAATATTAATTTCACTATTATTATTCATTTCTACTTCGATTAATTTTTATGTAATAATTGAACTAAAACTCACAGTTTTTATTGATTTTTCCAGCAAATTGTGAATTCCTAATGTCGAAATTTCTTGAAATTTCAGTAGAATTGTCATTTGTTGTATTGAATAGTACACTGTTAGACAAAAATCATAAAATTTTGTATTTATCTGAAAATTTAATGGAATTCCTCGTTTTTGAGCCACAGGAAGATGAAAATTTCCCAATTAACTTGAATTTTTAATCCTAATACGAACATTCGACTACTTACCGTAATTTTTCTGCCTCCTATTAACTTTCATAAAAAAATGCAATTATTGATTTTCCATCAAATGTTGTAATTTCCAACGACGAAATTCCTTATAATTTCGTAAAACTCTCACTTGATGAAACTTTCCACCAAAAACATCCACCACTGTTGAACATTAAAACTCTTGAAAAGCGATAAAAGCCCGTATTATCTATTCCCACATTTTTCATTTTACCGTTAATGTATATTTGAATAAATATAATTAATGCTGGAAAGTCGTTTGAAGATGAGAAAATAGTTTAAACTGAAATTGAAGTTGAGTTTCACTTGTGAATCTGGGTCATATCCGTGGGTGTTTCGAATCAGTCGGACTTAAGGCGTCATCGGAGAAAGACTGATTGGAGAAAGAACTGATCCTTCGAGTCCCATCAGCATTAAAATCGCCGTCATAATGCGGGGAAGCGTGTTTACTCTGCTCATCATCGCTTATTTATTTGTCGTGGCAAGTGGAAAAAGTGAGAAAAAAGTGGAAGAGAATCTGTTGAAAGGCCCGAAGGACCTCTCGCAGCTGATGGACCTGAAATTACTCCTGGAGAGGGCGAATCCTGGTGGAAATTCGACGGATTCGACTCAGGTCTCGGCCCAGCAACAGGGGCCGTGCTTCTGCGCCGCTGGAGTGTGCACCTGCTGCTCCAGAATACTCCTGAACACGTGGAACCAGAAGGCATGTGTCAAGGTCAGCTACGATCCTGATGAATTCAGCTTCACAGCGACAGTCTCGATGAACGACCGTGTGCTCTACACACGCGCTGTCTCGGGGAAGAATCCAAGGCCTATTTGCGTCCCGGTTCCCAGGATACCCGCTATCAGAGCCTGCGTGAGGTTCTACAATATCTACTTTCAAGGGAGAAATGTTCATGCCTGTGTCAGCATGGAAGGCAAATTCAGCGATACGACGCTTTTCAAGGTACAAGATCTATGCGCGCGCTGATCTATTCATTTGTTGAAATGAAGAAATAGAATTCATTGAATTTCATTTTCTCATGAATACCTTATAAATATTGATAATGAACCAAAGAGAATTCGACTAATGATTGAAGTGAATAGCGAAGTAGAGTAAAAGAATCTATAAAGAATTTTCCATTTTCAATTAATTATCTTCAATTTTTTAAAATAATCGGTCTCAATAAAAGGACAGAATTTATTAATTTCACCGATGATATATATACATGTGAAATATATATATTATATATATATGACGTTAAAAAAAAAATTTACCACTGAAGAATTTGAAAATGCCGCGTGTTTTTTTTTGTGAATAACTTCGTGTCACATATTGACCAATCAGAATTAAGGATTAGCGGTCAGGCAGTTTCGAGATATTTCGATATAAAACAACTTCACGTTTCTTTCATCTTTAGTAAATAGGAATGTGGGATGGAATTTGTTGGGAAGGGGTGGGAAAGGAAACACGTAGCGAATTGGATCGAAAGTTTTATTGAATTTCTATTGAGTTTTTGGTTGATTTTATTATTATTTTTATAGATTATCTCCAATAGACATTTTGTTGAAAAAATTAGTAGAATTTAAACTTCCTATAGACATTTTCTGTAGAACTCCATTTTCTATAGAATAGAGTGAAACTTTCTTCCACTCTATTTTCCTTCTCCCGTCATTGAACAAATCCGACAATAAACACTGTCGAAAGTTGAGCTGAGGAAATTCTATAGAAAATATTTCAATAGAATAAATTCTAGAGAAAACCGAATTCTATTTATTTTTTCTACAGAATATTTTCCATTGAGAATTTCTATTAAACAACGGCACATATAAGCTGCAAAATTTTTCAGTAGAATCAGCCAAAAACTATTAGAAAGTTCAAAGATATCCAATAGAACTTTCTAACGAATGCTAGGTTTTTCTATGAAACTAGCTATGTGTGCACGGAGAAAAAATTCCAGAAAAATTACTGTGGTAGCACGGTAAAAGAAGTTCATTTGGACGGGCCCGGAAAAATTCCCGTGATAGCACAGGAATTTCTGCCGTGCGCTACAGAAATTTTTCTCGGATTTACCGTGAAATAGTATATTGTGTTACGAGTGCGTAAAGAACCACTTTTTCGCACGCACGCGTAACACATCCTATTTTTTGTAATACCTGCCGAGTTCACTGTTCGGAACCGTAGTGGGGGTAAAGTGGTTGCTTCTGTCCACGGTGTGCGTAAAGTTCAAGGTCGTGCGTAAAGTGAATTTCGAGTGCATAAAGCGAAACTTTACGCACGACCTCTGAACTTTACGCACATTGTGCGTAAAACAACCACTTTACACACACTAAACGGTTTCGAAAAGTGAACTTTTGAGGCAGGTATTACAAAATATCCTTGTACTCCACAGCGAATTTTTCGGTACTGGCACGGTAATTTTTACGGGTTTGTCAAAACAAACCCATTTTACCGTGCTGGCACAGTAATTTTTCTAGAATTTGTGCCTTTGTGTGGCCGGGCTTCGCCCGGGCATAATAAGGGAAACTTGAATACCAAGACTATTCGAATATCAAGACGTCATTGAAAACTCAAGAGTTTTGTCGATTCGTTTTTTCTCTGTGAACCCAAAGAATTTTCTCAAATTTTCTGTCAAACTGAAAATTTTCTCAAATTTTTCATCCGAAAATCGAAGAATGTTTTTGAGTTGTTTAGAAAACCCGAGAATTTCCTGGAATTTTCTGTATTATTAACGGATTCTCTCAAATTTTCTACAAAACCCGAGAATTTCTTCAAACTTTGTAAAGATCTCAAAAATATTCTCGAAAACTCGAGAATATTCTAAATTTTCTACAATGTTCCAAACTTTTGTAGAAAGCTCTAGAAGTTTCTGCGGTGCATACTCACCTATAATAGTAAAAATAGCACTGAAATCCATTCAACCGTTTTTGCGCGAATCGTGGTCAAAAAATGGGCAAAAGATTTATTAGAGGGGGCTACGCCTCCTGCTCGCTTCGCTCGCCAACCCCGGGGGGGACTTCGCTCCCCCCCCCCCTCCTGTGTGGCTATGCGGGTATGACCATGGCGGTCTGTTCAATACTTTCATTGTTAAAATTCTATTGTGAAATATATTCATTGGCCATCAAATAGAATAATCCACTCAAACCACTCAAAATTTCTGTTTCTGCATGGATTTCTCTCCCCCCCACCCCCTAAAGGGAAGGGGATCAGGCTCCATCCAACGCCTGTCCAGTGAGGCACAACCACTCAATATTTTCCATCCATTCATATATATTCTAAAACTCCATTTCAGTAGTGAAGCGGTAAATCGAGTTAAGTCGATTTTGACTATTAGCCAGTTTTAGCTGAATATCTCGGAATCTAAGAGAAATAGGAAAATTTTTCTCATGACTTTTTTTATAACGCTCTGTTGGCTCTACAAAGAAGGTCATGACAAAAATCTTTCTATCTCTTTTAGATTCCGAGATATTCGTCAAAAACTAGCCAATAGTAAAAATCGACTTAACCCGGTTTACCGCTTCGCTACTGATTTATATTGGACATAACCCTTATGACCCTTACATCCCCATGACATTTATGACCCTTATATCCCCATAACCCTTATGACCCTTAGCAACCCTATAACCCTTATTACCCTTAGCAACCCCATGACCCTTATGACCCTTAGCAACCCCATGACCCTTGTGACCCTCATGAACCCTGAAAATTTTTTAGCGTTAGGCAACACTACTTTTTTATTTTGAACCCTATGCCCCTAAGGGTTACTATTTGTGACCATTATTTTGACCCTTATAACCCTTATGACCCTTAGCGTGACCCTTGTTTTGACCCTTAATATCCCAAGGGACCCTTAATATCCCCATAACCCTTATGAACCTTACATCCCCGTGACATTTATGACCCTTATATCCCCACAACCCTTGTTCCTGACCCTTGTTCTTGACCCTTATGTCTGACCCTTGCTCCTGACCCCTATGTCTGACCCTTGCCCCTGACCCTTATACCCGATCATTGTCACTGACCCTCATTCCTGACCCTTATATTACGCGTCCCCTGAAATTTCCCTCTTATTTTTTTATTATATAGAGAGATATTAATTCCGTCAGTAGGCGCGCTCGTTTTAGTATCTGACTCGCACTGCAGAGAAGTTCCAAAAACACTACAGAATCTTTTGAAATTTGTACTTTTTAAATTCGATGTAGAAATTTCTTTCGCAGTGATTCGACCCTTCCTCATTCATTTATGATTTTTTATGTTAGATGGGACTGGACTGCATACGACTCGGAGCCAATGGAGTGGCTCTAGTGAGACCTGAGGACGGTGGAGGTATTGGCCAAGTAGAATTCCTTCCAGAAGATCCTGACGACGGTAATGACCCAGACAGCGAAGAGTACGACGAATACGATGAAGAGGATGACGATGATGATGACGACGACGACGATGATGACTATTAAATTAGTAAAAAGGCGAAGAAAATCGCCGAAAAATTACAGCACAATCTCGATAATCGAAGAGCGCAGTTCTACTTCGACAACTACTATCTGAAATGGAGGCAAAAATCTGAGGGAAGGCATAAATTTCCGCTCTAGACCGTAATTTCTCACTAAATAACGGTAAAATTTGTGAATTTTCGATGAAAAAAATCTGAAAAAAACTTATAAAATCGTTCCACCGATTTTCATTGTAATCGTTCAAATTTCAGTTCTTTTAAATGAATGGATGGAATTGAATCTTTCTTTCAAATGTAGGTATTATTGAGTCCTATCGATCGCCATTAATTAAAATTTAATCCATCGATTAGTTTTTTTAATTTTTGAATTTTTTCGAAAATGGTTTGTCCCACGATAACTAAAAAAATGTTCTGAATCGATTGAATGATGACCGAAAAAATTTGTTGGAACGTCCCTTTGACCGAGTTCGAAGATGAAGGCGATAGCAATAATCGTTATTTTCATTTATTCAAAAATTTTCAAAAATTTTGTATTTTTTGAAAATCAGAATTCCGGGGACACCATTGAATATCATGATTGAAATGAATTCAATCATAGCTTACAATGTTTGTTTTAATGCCATTATGTCAAAGTTGAAAGATGATTACTATAGTTATATTGGTTGATTTGATTTTTATGATGATTGTTGAAAATTTTGAATTTTTCATGAATTTTTCTGAAATTGAGCATTTGGATGGTTTTTTCAAATGCGATGTTTCAAATTTATTCAAGTATGTGTAAATAAATTTTTTCTATTAAAATTATATCGAAGGGCTGAGGGGAGACATAGAACTGTAAAAAAGGCAATCGGTTGTATAGAAGAAAAGGGATAATAAGAATAATGAGGTTAATACCACTTAACTAAGTTGAAAAGCAGAAAAAAAATAGGTAAAAGGAAATCTTATTCAATTTAATAAAATGAAATAAACAATGAATTCGGTAGCGAAGTGGTAAAACGGTATAAGTCAATCTTGACTATTTGCCAGTTTTCAATGAATATCTCGGAATCTAAGGGAGATAGAAAACTATTTGTTATAACCTTTTTTGTATACCTGATTGAGAGCTACAACAAATGTCATTACGAAAATTTCGCTATTTCTCTAAGATTCGGAAATATTCTTCAAATACTCAACCGGGAGATAAGTCGACTTAAACCGTTTTACCACTTCGCTACTGAATTATACATGATCGAAGTAAATGATGTGCAAAATATGTACTCGGAAGCAAATTGATAATTTATTAGCAAAAATAACTATACTATATGAGGTATTCCATGCCAAGTGAGTCAACGGCTAACCCTCACCCTCTTGAAAATTGATAGCGATTTTTTCTACGATTAGGAGGCTTGAAAAACTATCTCTCAAATTTTTTCAGATGTTTTTGACAGCCCAGTTCGGAAATATGATTTTTTTCAAATTGTTCCGTTTTTTTACAATAACTCGAGTTCTACTCATCCGATTTCGATTTATTAGGGAGCAAAATTTTGCATTTTTCATCTTGTATTAGAATGTTTTTGTTAAAAATTTTTCCAATCTTTAGATGCTCGAAATAACGAATTTTCGAAAAAAAAAATAGAAAAACTTGAATTTTGTCAATTACGTCACGGTCGATTATTTTAATTTTTTTTTTCAATAATTCTTATAATGAAAACGAAAATTCCAAGCCATCATACATGTTGGGTTCCATCCAGAATCTATTTTTTTTTAATTTTTTCTTTTTAAAATTGCGAAAGTTTGGTGAAAACACCTTAAAACGACTTTAATCATGTATCGAAAAAATATATAATATGTAGGTATATATTTTAATTTACTTCATACTGTTTATAATCAAAGTCAACCAATGACATTTTGGGGTATTTTGACCGAATTCGCGGAATTTTGAGAATAAAAAAATTAAAAATAAAATAGACCTAAGACGAAACCCAACATGTATGACGGATCAAAATTTTTGTTTTGACTATAGGAATTTTTTTATTTTTTTTTATTAAGCATTTGAAACTTATTAACAAAGTTTATCAGCTATAAATTGATAATATATAGAATTAATGTCTGGACTGTATTGATTCCTTAGATTTTGAGTTCACAATCTTTGAAAAATTTATCGATGGCATCAATGATAGAGGGTCTAAGATCATGTACAATGTCTAACATTCTACAGGATAGTGTACAATATTTAGCAATTTTTAATATTTATAGGAATTACTGAAAAAAAAATTAAAACAATCAACCGTGACGTAATTAGCCAAATTAAAGTTTTTCAACTTTTTTTTCTCGAAAATTCGTTATTTCGAGCATCTAGAGATTGGAAAAAATTTGGACAAAAAACATTCTTATAGGTGGTGAAAAATGGAAAATTTTGATCACTAATCAATTGAAATCGGATGAATAGAACTCGAGTTATTGTAAAAAAACGAACAATTTGGAAAAAAAAATCTCCGAACTAGGCTGTGAAAAAAATCTTAAAAAATTTGAGAGATAGTTTTTCAAGTCCCCCAATCGTGGTGAATCGAGGGTGAGGGTCAGCCGTTGACTCATTTGGCATGGAATACCTCATATACAATACAAAAGCAATTTCCCGCTTGTTTACTCAATGTTTCTCACAATTCTTCATTTCTCTTTTTCCCCGCATCAATGTTCTAGTTTAATATCAACCATTATTTATTAATGCCATGTAAATATCATTAAATGTATTCGCAAATTAAAATGAAACGTGTTCGACTTTCACTGGGATCTCGATTGTCCGCTGATTCTGCGAACAAAACGAGCAGAATAATTGCATCCACTCTCCCTGAATTACGTTTTATTATCTGTATTTCCTGTATTTCACATGGTTATTCCGCGAAAAAAACGTAACACCGAGTCAGTCGGTCAGTGACATTTCGTCGAACATTATCTAGACGTTAGTTATTGTGAACATCTCTGCAGTGGATTGACCTTTCTCGAGAGAATGTACATTACTTCATCGATAAGATTCATCATCCTCTTGTTGGTGAATCTCTGCATTACTCTGGGATTAAGGGAAAGGGCTAACGAGGGTAGTAGGCATATTAATCCTCGGCGACTGGGGGGAAGGCAGAAGATGTTCCTTTTCTACAAATCCAATGCCATCAACGAGAGACCTTGTAATTGTCCTACGCAGCAATCTTGCAGCTGCTGTGAGGATGTCACACTTCTGCTCATCAGAGCGCAAAGAAGACGTGAGTTCACTTCATTTTTCGTCATTTGAAATCATTTTAGTAATGGAATAGTAGAAGTTTGGACGCATTAATGGTATTGTAGAATTTTTATAGCCAAGTTTTTCGCAGATTTTAGAAATAAGGAACTTGCATGATTTTTTTCAATTTTCTAATCTCAAGTTTGAGATCTGAATAATTCATTTTTTATTCACAAACGTACGAAATATTGCTATATTTATTAATTAATAAATTAAAACAACTGATTTTCAGTTAATTATCATAAGACATCTGAGCAATATTTCTCCATAATTTTCACCGTTTGTTATCCATATGTTATGAGGAATGTGTGAATAGGGGAATGAGAAAAAGTGACCTTCATGAGCGTCAGAAAACCGCTAGACAATTCTATTGGATTTCTATTGAACTTTCTATTATTTTTTGACCGATTCTATGGAAATGTACCAGAGAATTCGATTTTTCTATACAACTTGTTCTGTTAAGAGACTTTCTATAGAATTTCCTCGCTTCAAATTTTCTCAGTTTTTTGTATTGTCTTGATGAAAAACTTGGAAACTTTGAGTAGAAGAAATTCTGTAGAAAATCTCTCAATAGAATAAGTTGTATAGAAAAAGCGAATTCTATTGACTTTTGCTATAGAATATTTTATTATTGAACATTTTAATAGAATCGGCCAAAAACTAATAGAAAGTTCCATAGAAATCCAATAGAATTGTCTAACGAATTCACTAGGTTTTTCTTTTAAATTTTTTGATACATGTATTCAATGAAAAAATAACAGCCCCGGATTTTTTTCAACTTCAAAAGACTGTAAAGTTTCTAGAAATCTATTGAAATTTTTGAAAATTCCAAAAACTCCCTCACTAGAAGCGAGTGACCAAGTTTTTGAAAAAAAAAACGATAAAAAATAGAATAATTGGGAAAAGATAGACACTAGAAAGGAAGGAAAAAATGATGAAAAATAGAAGAATATAAGGGTCATAAGGCCCAGATACAAACCATAAGTTTTTAAATAATTTTTAAAGGTTCTTGACACTAGCTAGAGTCACCCAAAAAATCACTCATCAAAAATCTAAAACATTTTTTGTCATTTTTCTATTCATAATATTTTTAGGAATCCATAGAATTTAAATATGATCTATTCTCAAAATTCCATGTCATGAACGAAATTATTTGAATGAGAACTTCATCTTATTTTTTACCAATTAGTTTGTGCTAATTTAATGTATCAACGGAATGGCCTAAACATTGATATCTCGCTGGATTCGAATACTGTGAGATCGATGACTGTAACAAGTGAGTATATTTTCATTTTCCTCCTATTCCAATCATCCATGGATGAAAAAATTTCATAGCGAAACCTAACAAATTTGTTAAAAAATTCTATTGGATTTTTATTGTTTATTGTACTTCTATTTGATTTTAGCCGGTTTATTTTATTGAAGAATTTCGAAGCTTTGCTGTGCGTTTTTTTTTTCGATGTAGAAACTATTTTATAGAAAAAATGTCTAACATTTCATCTTTCCGGACAACTTTTCCTGTTGAGATATTTTCTATAGGAATTCCTAAACTTGAATTCTCCAACTTTTATCCACCCTATTTTTCTTTCACTTTCATTTAAAAAATCAAACAAAAAAACTTGGAAAATTACTGAATAAATTATGTTATATAGAAATTCCAGTGAAAAAAATACGCAGATAAGCGGAAGAATTTTTCAATAGAATCACTCTTGAACTACACTGTTACAACTTTTTGCAATTTCATGGAAGATATTATAGTAAATCTCATGAGAGTGACATTGACTCGGATTTAGGAAAAAAAATGGTTATGAAAGTTCATGTTCTAAGTAGAATTCACGGAAATTCATGAGTTTTCAGTGGAAGTGAGATCAAAATTTCACAGCGTGATTGAATTTTCAGTAGAACATGAATATTCAGAAACAAAAAGACATGAATTTTCAATTGTTCCCCGAATTTTTTTCAATTTTCACAGAATAATTGAACTGAAAAATCAAGTATTTTATTGATTTCCAGATCATTTGAACAGAAAATCAATGGAATATTCAATTTTTCAATGACAAGATTTCCTAAAATTTCCGATATTTGGCACGGAAAATTGAGACGAAATTTTTTAACAGTGTAACAGAAACTTCAATGGAAACCCACTAGGAAATTTCTACCGAATTTGCTAGTTTTTTCTAAGACGATATCGTACCTTCATAAATAACAAAATTAAAAATCAGATTACAGACCCCTCAAAATCTGCACCCTGATACCCGGAAGTTTATTCTCCGGAGTCTGCCTCAACCTCATCGAGTTGAACGCATTCCCACGATCGCTAACCGTCTGCCCGCGATTCCAAATAACGACAAAGGATCAGGAGTGGAGGATCAATTACACATGCGTGAGCATTTCGACAGAGCTGCCAATGGCTAATGGAACATCACCGATGAATGGAATGCCGAGTATGATGGGTTCTATGAGTTCAATGGGTTCGATGGGTCCGATGGGTCCGATGAACCAAATGATAATGAGTCCTCAAGGCTCAACCACATCATCCCCAGGTACAACGCCTGGTCGTCCTGCACAAGGAGGGTCACCTGGAGGACAACCTGGAGGGGCACCTGGAGGACAACCTGCAGGGGCCCCTGGAGGGGTACCTGGAGGACAATCTGGAGGGGCACCTGCAGGGGCCCCTGGAGGACAATCTGGACGTTCACCTAGAGGACCACCTGGAGGGGGACCTGCAGGGGCCCCTGGAGGACCACCTGGAGGAGCTACTGGAGGACCACCTGAAGAGGAAGCATTTTCAGAGATGCCAGAATCAACAGGAGCTGAAGAAATGCCTGATGACACTTCCATCGCAGTTTCAGGAGCTCTCACTGCGCCGAATATAGGGCAATCGTGGTTGAAATCATATGGAGCCAAAGATCGTACAAAATACTTCCCCAGTCGTCTTCCACCAGCTTATGCAGCCAGTTTTGGACATAATTTCACTTCAGTAAATTCGTAAAATTGAGATGATTATAACGGGGTTACAGATCTTAAAGCGGTGCGTTACTTTATGGTAAAGATGTGCAATCTCGTTACTTTTATATCCAGACAGTAGTCGTTATAATATGAGGAAGTATTCGTTCCTCAATACTCGTTTCTCGTAACTTCTTTTTTTATCGATGATTGAAATAAAAAATAAAAGTTTTATAAGAAGAATCAAACAAGGTAAAGTGGCGGGGTTAAACGCGGATAATGAAACCATAATTAAACATTTTATTAAATAAAATATTTCCGAAAAAACTTTTTATATTAGTTGAGGAATCTTGTGTCATATCCTTTGGAGCTTTTAAAGGATGAACTGGGATATTGGGGAAAATAATCGACGAAATTCGCAAGTCTTGAATGGATTATCGTTATTGTTGTTCTGTCGAACTGTTAATATTTGCGTCCCTCACGTAATAAGTATCGATTGGTTTCGATAGTTTTGTTTTGAATTAGAACGATTCATTGACAACTCATCGTTAATATCAGTAATCCAGAGAGTGTTTCAGTATAATGGGAAATTAATGCAATAGTTGGTTGATACATGAGCGTATAAATATACCTGCGAAAATACTCGGTAAAGATGAAAATAAAAATATCTGGAAAACAGAAAAATCGACCCATTATAAACTATTATTATTCTTACATAATAATAATGCGATAAAATTTTTAGTTTCCAATTCTCAATTTCCGTCGTTTATTCTATTCATTCTATCAAAAGACAAGAATAGAAGTCAAATTTATGGGTATTCTTCCATTATTGAAAAAAATGTATCAATTTTAAAACTTTCCAGAGACACTGAAAAGTTTTTTTTTTATTTCTTTCCGCCTACGTTTTTTTACAGTTTCTTCGTTTCTTCTCATTAAAATTAGATCATAACATTATAAAATATTCATATACCCACCCATATTCGAAGAAAAAACTGTGATTCCAAGTTTTCACCGACACAAATAAAGAAAAACAATTTTTTGCCATTTTCTAGTTGACATTCCTTTTTAAAAATTTTCAGTCTTCCATTCGTGATTTTTGCAATCCATTGTCATTCAGGTAATTCTATTCATTCTATCAAAAGACAAGGATCGACAAGAATCGAATTTATGGGTATTCTTTCATTATTCGAAAGAAACTCGATTTTAAAACTCTCCGGAGACGTTGAAAAATTAAACTTTATAATTCTTTCCGCCCACTTTTGTTTGCATTTTATGGATTTCTTCTCGCTGAAATATTGATATCTCTCAATACTTGAAGAGAAAAAGTGATTCGAAGTTCCCGCCGATATAAAAGAAAAATAAATATTTTCTAGCCGATTACCCCTTTCTGATTCTGTTTTCATTTCCTTTTCATAATAATAATTCGTATCCGACCACAGGAATGAGGAGTACTGATATCCTTTTACCATATGGAGGGAAAAATTGATTAAAAAATTTTTCAGGAAACATGGAGAGATTTTTCTATTACCCGAATGAAATTTCGAATGACTTTTGTTTTGTGTTTCTTTTGATCACAAAAAAAAAACACTTTTGATTGATCTTTAACATAATTCCTCTTCATGCAATGTTGTAACTTGTAAATGAAGGAAAAATACATATAATAGGAATAAAAATGGATAAAATTAGACACTTGAGATTTTTTTTAAATTATTCATAACTCAGAAACAAATCAATCAATTGAGCTTAGTTTAGGCTCGTCACAAAGGGAAAGAATTATTCTTTGTATTGAAGAAAAATTATTAAATTTTATCAACATTTCAACCCCTCATTAACATTTTAAAAAAAGTCAAAAGTGTCAGTTTTACCCCAACCTCCGCTAATTCAATTGTGAAGACAGAAATGGAAATAAAATAAAATAAAATAGCATAAATTAATCTGGCGACGGGCGCGATGCGCCCGTTCGCTAGTTCCCCTAATCCACAGACTATTTCAATCGAATGGTAAATTAATGCAATAGTTTGTTGAAACTTTTAAACGATTGAGTCCGTGAGAAAATACATAAGTGTGTAAATATACCTGTGGCGATAATAATTAACGACGAAAATAACAAAACATGGAAAGCAGAAAAAATGATCATTTGCAATAACAATAATTCTTTTCACTAAAATATGAAAATGTTTTTTTTTCAGAAGACATTCAAGTTTTGTTATTGATGACATAAGACGCCAAAAAATCCGGTTCCGATTTTGAAATTACAGTTTTAATTTTTTTGAATGTCAAAGAATGAAGAAACAATAAAAAATCTGTTATTTTTCCTGAAAATTGTTATAATCCCCTTTATTAAACTTAGATAATCATCGACTGCGTTGCAATTTCCACTTATAAATGGGTGCAGCCTCCTTGGTGCCTTGCCTCACAACCTTGGGCTTCTCCACCCCCTTGTTCTTCAGGGCCCTACGAACCTCGAGCTTCTGCTGAACGACCATCAACTCTCGTTCACGATCAACCCTCTTCCTCAGTTCCACGTACGCCATGTGCTTCTGCTGCTCAATCTTGGCGAGCACCTTATCATCGACATCAGGGAGCTTCATGTCCTGGAGTTTCGACAATCTCGGTCTGTTTATCTTGCGATCGATCAAGTCAGGATGCGTGTCGAGCCTTTTGGCGAGATCAAAGTTCCTGGCTTCTTCTCCACCATCGACGAAGAAAATGTGCTTATTTTTAGTCTCGTTGACAGCGTCCAGCATGTGCAGCTGGCTCTGCAATTTATTTATTTTAACACTCTCTAGATGACGTTTGTACGCTATGTATTTTAGATCTTGAGTTTCCATAAGTTTTATCTGCTCTGGGGTGTGCTCGTCCGGTTTGTCTTTCTCCCTGTGCACTCCATCCTTGATTTTTGAGTTTATCATGTGGAAGTGGAACTCATCGGGATTCTTGTTGAGTGCACGCTTTCGCAAGAGCTTTAGTGTCGATTGTTTCTCGTGGTAATCGTTGGCACGGAGCTTGTAGTCTTTTTTCTTCTCCAGGAGACCCAGGTGCTGGCGGGACTCGGGCTGGTGACGCTCGCGGTGGGTTTTTTGGACTGATTTTGCGGCTTTCTTCCAGGATGACATCTTTTTTATCTGACGATGATGATATATTCATTATTTTATTTGTTTCACGCATGAAAAAATTTAACAGAAAAACCTTGCGAATTCGCTAGACAATTCTAGAGGATTTCTATTCAACTTTCTATTAATTTTTGGCCCATTCTATTGAAATATTCAGTGGAATATATTCGATAGAACAAGTCAATAGATTTCGATTTTTCTATTGAAATATTTGTTTATAGAATTGGACAAAAACTAATAGAAAGTTTAAGAGAAATCAAATAGAATTGTCTAGCGAACTCGCTAGGGGTTTCTATTAATTTTTTTTAGGGCGTCTTATTATTCATACTTGGGTCATTCCATGTCAACTCAACCACACTGGATTTTTTTGTACGAAAAAAATCATTCAATGTTGCATTTCGAACTACTATATATAGATAGCATTTCTGCCAAATTTCATTGCCCCACCATTGTTTCTGAGATAATGATTACGAAATTTTCGCATCCTATTGAAACATTTGATCAAAAGTTTAAGTTTTTTTAATCGAATTAAATCAGTAAATTTTAATTTTTGTACATTACAATAGGAAAAAAATCGAAAAAATTTTTGACACCTTATAGAAAAATTATCGAATGTTTTGTAAGCAAGTTCGATTGTTGAGATCAGGAAAATATTGAAAAAAAATAATATTTTGCAAAATGTAATTTGGATGATACTAATTAGTTACGAATTTTGTCAAATTTTTCTCATGCAATTTAGTTGTTTATTCTTACGGCTTTTTAATTAAATTATTGAAACTATTGTGAGATTGATAGAATAATTGGTATTTCTGTTCGTGTTTCACATTGATGATCAGGTTGATTATATGAACATTCTTTAATGCTTTAATTAATTTGGGATTTAGAGATGTTTACATCGGATACCTCTTGGTTTACTCTGGTTTGATCGGGTATTTATAAGAAGTTTAATAACAATTAATTGACAATGAATGATACTGCTTCTGCACTGAGGTTATACGAACACACGGAAGGCCACGCGACGAGTTCATAATAATAAACTAACTTACCAACAGTCGATGCAAATGGAAGAGCGATTGGTCGTAAGATAATACTTTATCGCCGTGTCATGATATTTTATGTCATTGGGCCCGGAAACCGCGATCTAACCGAGCAAAGCGAGGTTACAATCGCGGTATATCGGGCCCTATGACATAAACCTTTTTACGCACTCGTATCGAAATATACTATGTTTCAAATGTCTGAGTTTTGAATTTTTCCGGGGAATTTTGGGGTTTTTGTCTCCTCGTGGCTGCACTGCCCAGTGTCATGGCGGCTTCCGGATTTCAGCAACACTGCGCACCTCCTCCTCTGTGGATTTCTTTTCCGGTCGGGTGACAAAATGACGGGCTTTAGTGAAAAGGTTTGTAACAAATGTTTTCACGTTTTTACCAATTTTTCATCGGAATTCCGGGTAATAAACTGCCACCGATGAATCACTAATTATTTATCGACGTTTTGAAATAATTTGAGAGGGGGATGTTGATATTTAATCAAGAAAATTCTCAGTTTTGAGTTGTGCTGTTGATCGCTGCCATACACGTGTCCCGATGAAAGCTGAAATCATTTAGAAATGTTTTTATCCAGGAATTCTTGCCATTTGCAGTCATTTTAACTATTTCTATCTTTTATTGTCTTGTGGTACATTTATCAGGATCGTTGAATTGTTTTCTGCGGTTCAAAAATTCAGAAATTTGTGGGAAAGTTTTCTCAGGGAATTTTGGTTAGGAACGCATCCATTCATGAATGAAATTCACACAAAATGTCTTTCAATTTTCTTTCATCCTTTCATACATTCATTTATGTGTTTTTTTCTATTTTGGCGACTAGTTAAGAGGATTGTGGATGCATACTCATTATTATTTCATTCCAGCCAATTTTGATCGATGGTCGTGGCCATTTGTTGGGCCGCTTGGCGGCTATCACAGCTAAGACCATCCTCCAGGGAAACCGAGTCGTCGTTGTACGATGCGAGCAATTGAACATCTCCGGCAATTTCTTCAGGTAATTCAACTTTCTTAAAGTAGTATAAACATAACTTAAATTTTGAAGATGAAGATCTGAAAATAAATTCTGAACGGAAGGTGATACGAATAAAAACATTCTGATTGAGTTCATGCTCAATTGGCAGTCTAGTATTATTGATAATAATTAATTTAGAAGTGCAAAAATGAGTCTTATGAGAAAATGAATTTTTCGAGATTAGAGAGAAGATTGAAATGTCGAAGACATATAAAAAATTAGAAAAAAAAATGAAAATTTTGATGCCTAATAGGAACATTATTTTAGAGAGAATTTGATGATTTAAGAAAATAATTGATTGAATTTGATGGAGTAGTTTATACTCTCGTCAACACTGAGAAAACAAATATTTTTGCCAAATATTCATTTACTTCAGAGAAGTATTTATTTTTTCAATACGGTAGTTCTTCTGTCGACTCATTCCCAGGCAATTTTCATCAGATTTCAATTACGAGAATTACATTGCTCTAAAAGATGACCATGAGTTATGACCTTGAGTAAACTCCCTCAATAATTATAAACATTAAGAGATTAATCGAGATTCTTTCCTCTAGAAAATAAGAAATTTAGGAAAACTGAATAATCATTGGAGGAGTTCCTCCAAGGTCATGTGCATCATAGTCATTCTCTAGAACAATATGATTGTCATAATTGAAACCGAATCAGGCTCGCTTCGGAATGACGCGATTGGAGAAACACAATTTTGAAAAAACAAATGCTTCTCTCAAGCAAATGAATATTTAGCAAAAATCATTTTTTTTCTCAGTGAGTGTTAGAATTCATGTCCTAAGGAATTATCAATGATGAATAATTTTTTTTGGGCATTTTAAATTTATTTTTCCTCACTACACTCAACGACTTACGTCAAATCGGGACATAATCCTTTAATTCCGTCGCATTCAACATCGACGCAGACTTTTCTTGATGAACAATAGGTCTCTTTTATTTTATATTGTAGCTTTCCTTTATTTCATGACGCATGTCATGTTTTGCATTGAAACTATCTACAAAAATTGTAAATTCCACATTCTAATTACATGATGCCCATATTGAATTCTACAGAATTGTAATGTGCCATTCCAATTACTCCTTGTGCAATTCAATCTCGTAAATGTCTAAATTATCGTATGCGAATCGAGATGTTTAATTATGAAAAATAACGATTTTTTAAAATTGAATTCCACAACAAATCGAACATTCCCAAGTTTAAATTATTAAAAGTGAAATTCACATTTCACAATATGTAATTCGTTTGGTACTTGTTTTGGTGCAAAACCCCAAATGTTAAAAAAAAGCCCCTATTGTACTTCATAGATCATTCTATCGTGAAACTGTTGTGTCGACGTTAAACTACCCATTTAATAAATGAACTCCTCAACATGATTATAAATAATCTTACCTACATTATTTGAATGTAACATGAAACACGATTGCAAAATGAATCCTCATGTAATCTCACCAACTTCATTGCATTTATTAAGAATAAACCTAATCGTTCTGCGTTCTTCCCCCAATTTTCAGGAATAAATTGAAGTTCATGTCTTTCCTTCGTAAGAGATGCAACGTAAATCCAGCACGTGGACCCTTCCACTTCCGAGCTCCCAGCAAAATTTTCTGGAAGACAGTAAGAGGTAATGTCTCATCTCCTTCGATACTCTTTGATATTCGAACATTTGTTATTCTTCCATGATGATCGAAAATCTTACCTACATTATTTGATGTCAAATGAAAAATCTTACGTTCTGAGATTATTTACCCCCCAATCACGTCTATTTCTCGTTTTATTCGTAGAATTGATGAATTCTCTTTTTTTTCAGGAATGATTCCACACAAGACTGAGAGGGGAAAACAGGCTCTTAGACGTTTGAAATGCTACGAGGGCTGCCCACCCCCCTATGATCGCAGAAAACGTCTCGTTGTTCCTGGCGCCATGAGGGTCATGTGCCTCAAGCCAGGCAGAAAGGTAAAAATCAATTAAAAACGTAACGAAGAAATTGCATTTTTTACACTGAATTCAACGAAACAAGTGGGGAATTGCTTTTGTCTCCATAGAGAATAGTTATTTAAATTAACGATATACTTTCCAATGGTCATTTTACATATAATGATCTTCTATCGTATGGCAGTTATCGTTTTATGTTATTTTGATCAATTGAATTATATTTCTTCTCTAATCAATTGTCTTACATTTCTTGTGAAAATTCTTGTATAAATCAAATGAAAGGATGATGCTATCTATATAATCTTGAAATTTCGAGAAAAAGATATTGACAAACTTATTTTATGCATAATTGAATGAATTCACATTCAGGGAAATTTTAGAATAATTCGAAATTTGCAAAAATCATCATAAAAGTCAAACCAACGGATATAGCTATCGTTATGATTTTCTAACTTCGACAGGGTGGCATTGTAACAAATATTTTAGACTATAATTGAATTAATTTGAATCATGATATCCAAAGATATCTCAAAATACAACATTTTTAAAAATTATTTTATAAATGAAAACAACATCGAAATTGTTTTTTAAGCCATCATTCAATGAATTGAGAACATTTTTTTTGTCATTATGGGACAATCGATTTGTGAAAACATTTAAAATTCTAGAGATTATTGTATGATTTGAATTTCAATTAAAGTCATAGATAAAGCTCCATAATACCTACATTTGAAAAAAAAGTGATTAAACTCCATCGATTCATTAGCGAGCAATTGGAAAAAATACTTTGTCCCATACATGCATACACACATACATATGAACAGGATGATACAACACAAAAAATCAAAAACTTGAATTGTAACTATTGCAACGCTTCCATTCCGAAGCAAAATTGATTGAAGAAAATGTATTTACAATGATGGCAATGGTAATTTGCGTCTGAGGATGAATGAAAGTTCATAAAAGATGACAATTTCAGCTGAGTAAAATGATGATCAAATTCTCTTCAATCATTTTCACAATTTGACCTCGTCAATCAGGCAGCTAATGAATTCACTTACATTTGCAGTACTGTCACGTGGGTCGTCTGTCCCACGAAGTTGGATGGAAGTACAAGGCGGTGGTTCGCACCCTGGAGAACAAGAGGAGAGTCAAATCTATCCTCGAAGTACAGAAGAGAGACAAGCTCAAGGTAACAAATGATTTTCCCAATTCAAAATTCATTGCAGTGGTTATAAAACGAATTATACGAATTTCACTTTCAATTTTTCAAAAAAAAAAAATCGAGATTTTCTTTAGTGCATTTGTATTTTTTTATTTTGAGAATTTTCAATGATGTCTTATGGTAATTTGCGCCTGAATCACATGTGATGATGATTTTATCTGCTGAGAAAAATTTACTAGTGACAATTATCACTCGAAAATGAACGAAAAATTCGTTGATTTAATGCATTAATTTTTTTCATTACAGAAACTCACGAAGGAGGCTGGACAGAAGGTCGCCAAGAGCGCTGCACCCTACACTGCTATCATCAACAGTTTTGGATACAATTAAGGATGTCATGAAGATAATAAAGCCTTATAAAAAAAATTTTGATATTTTTATTCAATCTCTTCCAAATTTATTGAAACATCACACGAAAATCAAATAAATGGGTTTCAGCAATATTTTTATGACCGTTCATGTATGTCATGATTGTTGATGTTCAAAAGATGGCCTGAACGGTCCTCAACAATTTTAGGGTAGTTGGAATTGACGTTGAAATTTCTCAAAGTCCAAATTGTCCCAACGTTTCGACTTCCAGGGAAGATTGACTTCGATTCTAATTAGTCTATACCAGCATGCGTATTTTTAACGATCAGCAGGTGTAATTTTTTTTTGTGTGAAACAATTTTTTCAATCGATTTAGGAGAATAAAGAAATCTCTGAAGAGGACTTCCCTGGGAGTCGAAACGTTGGGATAATTTAGACTTTGAGAAATTTCTTCGTTAATTTCATCTACACTAATATGTTGGCGAAAAAGGCAAACAGCGATGGAAATACGGCATACCGCACACCATATACAGACTTCAAATGTATTTTCAATCCAGAAGAAAAATGTAACACAGTAACAAACATAAAAAAACGAATCGAAGACCTCGGAAGAAGAAAGGGAGTGCAATATTTCGACAAACATTATAGTGAATCATTCCGTCCCTGGGACCAGGGAAATAAATCATCCAGAGAACTCAGAGTAAACAGAATGAGAACGGACCACTATCACGTAAACGCATCACTCGAAAGAATGACAATAATTTCGGATGCAATTTGTACCTCCGAGGGAGAATCCCAGGTCATTACTTCCAGGACATCTCTGAAGTAAACAAAGTCCAGGACTTCTCTGAAGTAAATGGATATTTGGAAAAAATATTTATTTTCTCAATGTACCCTTAAATTGCTAAGGATCGCTTAGGCCATCTTTTGAACATCAACAATCGTGAAGAACTGAATTTATTTACAGATGAAGATATTTATTTACATGAATTCATGGGCATTCATTATGAAACTCAATTACTCGTGCATGGAATCAACAGTGAAGACAACGGTTCCAGCCTTGTCGGTGTCCTCTTCGTCATGGACCTCGTGCTCCTCATCAGTCTCAGTGTCTGAGGAGTCACTTTCTTCATTTTGTGGTCGATAAACACCTGCGTTTGACACCTCACCAATTGGGTACATCCCCAGCTGCTGGGTCAGACGCTCAATTGCGTGTTTTGTTTGTACTTCCTGGAATGACGGGCAATATAAATTTATTAATTAATATTTGAAGCAATGATTTCAATCTTGATTCTATAAAATCGAGATTTTTAATTGTGAAAACATCTCGAGAACAAGTGTTTCCAGAGAAAAATGTCAACAAATATTTCTTATAGGGAATTAATTTTAAAAAAAACATTTGTTAGTATTTTTCTATAAAACCATCGATTTGCTAAATTAGCAAAGATCCATTATGGATAATTGCAGTTTCCCCCTAAATCACTGAAAGAAATGGGAAGTTTTACCCTCAATTCCTCTTTAATTAACATTCGAAGTAATGATTTTATTCTCGATTTCATCAAATCTACGTTTTTAATTGTGAAAATATCTTGAGAACAAATGATTCCAGAGAAACCATAACCATTTCTTATAGAGAATTATATGTAAAAAAAAAGTTTCTTGACATTTTTCTCTAGAACAATCGATTCTCTGAATTTTTAAAGATTTATCATTTATATTTCAACTTATTATACTATTTTTTTTCACTGAATCATTGAAAGAAACGAGAAGTTTCACCGTTAATTGCTTCTTAATTAACATTCAAAATTATTTTAAACTTGTTTCCATAAAATCTAGTTTTTTAATTGTAAAAATATCTCTAGAACAATTGATGCCCTGAATTATTAGGGATCTTCAGTTTATATTTCAAAGTTGTTATACTATTTTCCCTCCAAATCATTGAAAAAAGCGTAAAGTTTTACCCTCAATTTCTCCGCCTGAACCTTCTGCAGCTTCAGAGATTCGTTCAAACTGAGATGTTTCACAGCCCCGTGGACAATCAGAGGTGGAGTAGCTGCTGTCACCTCCCAGTGTTTATCCTTCTTACGTACTTTCTCCTTCATTGGATCGTGCACGTTACTTCTCGTTGTTTTGTACGGCTTGAACGATTCTCTCGTGGCGTTCCCTTCTTTCTCGACTTTATCCACTATGTATTTCACGTGCTGGGAGGATGATAGATCATTCTTAAAGGACTCTATTTCTTTAAGATCCTGGTCGTTAATCAAGGTCTCTTCAGGGAGGAGGATTACTATTTTCTTTTTGTGGACTCCTGTCCCTGTGGGCTGTGAAAAATATTAGACATAGGAGTTACTCAACTCCGAAATGAGTTAATTTTTCTATATAACTTATTCTGTTGGAGTTCTTTCTATCAGAATTCTTGGGCATGATATTTCCAAGTTTTTTCTTTTTGTATTTTATTACGAGAAACAAATAAAAAAAAAACAGAAAATTTACGCTCCAGAATTTCTATAGAAAAATAAAATTCTATTGATTTGTTTATATTATAAACAAATATTTCTTAATAAAATACAAGAACAAATGGCATTTTTCAAAAAAATTCTAATCAAACTTCAAAAGGATCCAAATAAAGTTCCAATAGAAATTCAAGGAATTCCTTAGAGAAAGCGCTCGGAGTCTATTGAAAAATTCTATTTATATTTTGCAAAAATTCTATTAAAAATTATGCAACGTGTCCCACGTTTTGAAATAGATATTTATTCGTAGGAAAATTGCCATAGATGTTATTTTCTTGTATAACTTATTCTCTTACGTTTTTTTCTATAAGAATTCTGGGCACGATTTTTTCAATTTTTTTCTTCTTTCTTTCAATTGACAATACAGCAGAAAAAACTTGGAAAAGTTACGCTCTAGAAATTATATAGAAAAATATAAATTTATTGACTTCATTTCAGATATCTCTTAACAAAATGACAGTAAAGTTGCATAATCTTTTATCCTTTGTAGAAATGGCACCAGAAAGCAAGCAGAATTCTATTAAAACTTCAAGAGAATTCTTGCAGAGCTCCAATAGCAATTCAGTACAAAATTCTAGAGCCTTCTCTACGGAATTCTATTGAATTTCGAATGGAACTCTGTAAGAATTCTATTGAAAAATTCAATTAGCTTTTCTGCTAATTCTATTTAAAATTATGCAACGTTTCCCCGGCTTTTAAATAGACATTTATTCACAGAAAAATTTCTATAGCTGTCGACTTTTCTCTATAACTTATCCTCTTGAGATTTTTCTGTAAAAAATCTTGGGCACGATTCCCAGTTTTTTCTTCTTGGATTTTATTCCGTAAAAAAAAATAAAAATGCCGCACAAAAAACTTGCAAAATTTACGCCCAAGAATTTCTATGGAAAAATAAAACATTAAAGAACAAAAGAACCTGTAGAACATTAAACAACACCTTTAGAACACTAAAGATTAAAAATTGATGTTAAGAATATTAAAAATAATGAAAATTGATACTGAAGAATGGAATGACTGAAATAAAATCGACCGTTCTCTTCAACAGCTTCGTTCATACTTGAGCGAGAATTTTTAAAGGATCTTCTTCATCATCGCTGTCCAACTCCACAATCTTCCCATTAGAGTTTTTCTCAGTATATTTTCCAGTCCACTCCAACTCATTCATCGCATCTCTCCCCTCAGACGCGATGTTCAATCGGGATAATAAATTAGCAGCTTCTTCCAGTTCATTCCTGCGCGAGAGTTGTTGCAGTAATTTCGCTCGGAATTTCGAGATTTTTTCGCCTCTGTCTGGTAGTTTAGATGTAAAAGATCTGTGGAGAATCCATTAATTAATTCATAATTCAACAATACAAAGGGATCAGAAGGATTTACTTGTTTTCTAGAAGTTTATTCTGCCTCTCCAATAGATCTCTGATTTCGATGTTGGTTTTACTCTCCAAATTGTCAATAAATCCTTGGCCCTCCTTCTTGGATGCTGCGACTTCGCCAGGAATTCGTCTTATTATTTTATCGTACGACATTTTGATGAATATTGATGCATCTCATCCTATAAAATGTAAAAACATTTCCTGAGATTTTTTCTTTTGATATTTTCCAGCGAATTCACTAGATTAATAGATATTGCAACCCTTGGGGAAAGGTAGGGTAAAATATAAAATAGAAGCGAATTCCTTATGGAATTCTATGGGATTTCTAGTGAAAATTCTATTAGTTTTTGGCCGATCCTATTGAAGGATTCTGCAGCTGCGTATTCCTGGATCCTGTTTTTTTTTCTAGAAAATGTCCAATAGAAACAATTTAATGAAAGAAATCAGAAAAGTTTGATCTTTTTATAAAACTGTTTCTATAGAGACATTTTCTATAGGAATTCCTCGAGATGAATTTTTCATGTGTTTCTGACTCTATTTTTCTCCCTTTTTCATTGAAAAATTCAAAAAAAAAAATTGGACAACTTAAGCCGAGGAATTTCTATAGAAAATGTCTAAATGGAATAACTTGTATAGAAAAGTCGAATTCTATAGATTATTTTCCATTGAATATTTCTACTGAAAGAAGCGTATAGATAAGCTGCGAAATTTCTCAATAGAATCGGCCAAATTCCAATAGAAAATTCTATTAGTTTTCTATTGAAAATTTTATCAGTTATGGCCGACCCTATTGAAGAATTCTGCATCTGTGCCTTTTTTCTCGAAAATGTCCAATAGAAACAATTTAATGGAAAAATCACAAGAGTTTGATCTTTCTATACAACTGCTTCTAGAGAAATTTCTGAACATTAATTTTTCATGTGTTTCCGACTCTATTTTTCTTCTCTTTTCTTTAAAAAACAATCCACTTTAAGAAAATCCAGTGTAATGATTTTTGAAGCCTCTATTCCGGTTATTAAGTAAATTAATATAATGTCTATGTGTATTTTTTTATACTTTAATTTGTTTTTAACTGTAAAAAAATAAATATAGATCTGTGAAAAAATACGTGTATAGGACAGTAGAGGAGGTTGGGGTAAAATGGACACTTTTGACTTTTTTAAAAATGTTAATGAGGGGTCGAGATGTTGATAAATTTAATATTTTTTTTTCAATACAAAGAACAATTCTTTCCCTTTGTGACGAGCCTAAACTGAGCTCAATTGATCAATTTGTTTCTGAGTTATGAATAATAATAAAAACAGTCTAGTGTCCGTTTTACCCCACCCTCCCCTATATATGTACATAGTACATAATACATTCCTAAAAATAAAAAAGAACGCAAAAAGCAAAAGAGAAACTAAGAAGAAAATGAAGAGGATTATGACGATTCCGAACAAATTATTCACAAAATTAAATTCTCATTGTGGAAAACTTTGTTGAAACCATTCATTTTTCCTGCATTATTATTGAGATAAAAATTAATGAAAGTGAAAAACGATTAGTTTTTACTATTCTGACACTCATGAAAAACAATACGCGCGCAAAGCGCGCGTCCTGTTTTAGTCAAACAAAAATACTTGGAAAATCTGAGCCGAGGAGTTCCTATAGAAGATATCTCAATAGAGTAAGTTGTATAGAAAAACCGAATTCTATTGACTTTTTGTATAGAACATTTTAATAGGGGAGAGTGGGGTAAAATGGACACATTTGACTTTTTTAAAAATGTTAATGACAGGTTGAATTGTTGGTGAAATGTTTTTTTTTATTTTTCAATAAAAAGAACAATTCTTTCCCTTTGTGTTGAGCCTAAACTGGTTTCAATTGATGAATCTGTCTCTGAGTTATAAATATTTCTTTAAAAATCAAAAGTGTCCATTTTACCCCACCCTCCCCTATAATCAGCCAAAAACTAATAGAAAGTTCAATAGAAATTCAATGGAAATGTCTAACAAATTCGCAAAAAAGGCTTCAAAATGAAAAAAAAAATCAAATTCCTCTGCCAATCTCAAGTAATTCAGTAGCGAAGTGGTAAAACGGTGCAAATCAATTTTGACTACTGGCCAGTTTTCAATGAAAAACTCCGAATCTAAAGGTGATAGCTAAATCTTTGCTACAACCTTTTTTGTAGAGCCGATTGAGAGCTACAACAAATGCAATTACGAAAATTTCGCAATCTCCCTTAGATTCAAAAATATTCCTTAGGGGAGGGTGGGGTAAAATGGACACTCCAGACTTTTTTTAAATTATTCATAACTCAGAAACAAATTTATCGAGCTCAGTTTAGACTCGTCTCAAAGGGAAAGAATTGTTCTTTGTAAGGGAGGGTAGGGTAAAACGGACACTTTTGACTTTTTTTGAAATATTCATGACGTGTTGAATTGTTCATGGAATGGAATAATTTTATTTTTCAATTGAAAAATAATGATTCCTCTTTGTGATAAGCTTGGACTGAGCTCAATTGATAAATCTGTTTCTGAGTTATGAATATTTCTGAAAAAGTCAAAAGTGTCCATTTTACCCTGCCCTCCCCTATTGAAAAAAAAAATTATTGAATTTCAACAACATTTCAACGCCTCATCAACATTTTAAAAAAAGTCAAAAGTGTCCGTTTTACCCCAACCTCCCCTAAAAACCCAACTGGGAGATAAGTCGACTTAAACTTTTTTATCATTTCGCAACTGAATTCTCGCTTAAAACGTTCCACCTCTCCCTCCTAAACCAAAATTGAGGTTATCTTCAGTCCCCACATCCCCAATTCCAAAAATTGATCATCAAAGAATCCACGAGCACTCACAATCCCCTCGAAACATGCCTAGCCCTCCAAAAATCACCACCCCAGCAATTTCCCAGAGTAAACCTCCAGATTCTCCGAATAGACAGGTTGTAAACAGCGAGCGACTGCCCCCTAGAACCACAACAAAGCAGTCCCCCTCGCCCACAGAGCCCACACGCCAGCCAGAGACAGCCAGAGACACACTGATCTGGTACTGAGAGTCAAAAAAATAACGACAGGACGAAAAAAACATCGATCAACGATTCACGCGGGCAATAACATACCAGACAAGAGCATTAGTGGACGTGAATTGACGTGAATGCAGAAGACTGTTTGACGTATCGGCGTTGGAATAGGGGGGGAAAAAAAAAATCGATTATCATTCGGTTAGTTTTCACCCGTACGGTAGCCACTGTCAATCAGAGGAATGACTGGTCCTGATTGTGCACCGAATTTGTGTCCCAGCCGGCTCTGATCCTGTGACAGCCCAAAAACCCGAAGAATCTCCCCCAGTGGTCGTTGAATAATGAAATTAATTGGATCGCAGGGTTTCAAGTGAATGGGGGGAGTTGATGGGCAAAAGCTGTGATGATCGTGCAGGATTTACCAGTGAATTCGTGATATTTTGAGATGAATTGCAATGGGGGAACTACGGTGTACAGTGAGGAACGCAAAGCTGGAGCACCTGGGGACAACAGATCCATCATCACGTGTGAGTTTTTGGTGATGGGTTTTTATTCATTTTGGATTTCTAACCAAGATGGGCAGTTGGGTGGTATCGGGCACTGTGAGACGCCCCCGGGGCTGTCAGTCTCAATTTCTGGGGCATGGGTGATGAATAAATGTCGAGGTTTTGACGTTTTGAGACCTCTTCTCGCACGAAGAAATTTAATAGAAAAACCTAACGAATTTTGTGGAAAATTGTATTGGATTTCTATTGAAGTTTCTGTTAGCTTTTAACCAATTCTATTGAAATGTTCAATAGAAAATATTCAATAGAAAAAGTTAATAGAATTCAATTTTTATGTATAACTTATTCTTTTCAGACATTTTCTATAAAATTTTCTCGGCTCAAATTTTCTGTTTTTTTCATTCCAATTTCCTTTTCTTCTCATCAAGAAAATCAAACAAAATACTTGGAAAATTTCAGCCGAAGAAATTCTGTAGAAAATATCTCAATAGAATGAGTTATGTAGAAAAAGCGAATTCTATTGACTTTTTCTAGTGGATATTTCAATAGAATTGGCCAAAAACTAATAGAATGTTCAATAGAAATCCGATAGATTTTTCCAACGAATTCGCTAGGTTTTTCTATTATATTTTTTCATCCGGGTTCTAGAATCTTTCATTCATTTTTTTATTTTATTCTAAAGTCAAGTTGATGGCTAACGATGCATTTCAGTCATGAATTCCAGTCATTTTGATCGCTGAAAAGGTATTTTTAAAATAAAAAAAATTATTTTATGAATTTCACTCTACCAATCTCAAGTTATTGGAGAGCGAATTCACTTATTAGATTTTTCTTGTTTTATTTTTTCATGAAATATTGAATATATCTCCTTCCTACATTATAGAGATAATAAATATTTCTGTTGCGCAGGAAATGTCAGAATGTCGTTAAAGTTTTCGTTGAATGAAATGTAAAAATGCAGAAAATATTCTTGGAAGGGGAATAATAGTTTTCATTGAAGATATTAATGATTTGTTGTTGAGACACCTCCGGGAGCAGTCAATCTCATTGTCGGGGGCATGAGTGATAAATAAATGTCGGAACTTTGACGTTTTAAAACCTCTTCTCGAGTCTTTCATTCACTTTTCCTGATTCTCTAGTCAAGTTGGGTAGGAGAACTCAGTAAATCCGAAATCTCTGTAAAGCTAGCAATAGGATTCCGACGAACCTCCCTAAATCGACAGTGTCAGTGAAGCTAATGATACGATTCAAACGAATCAACGCTCCTCTTGATGGTTAAAAAATACCTTTAAAATGAAAATAAAAATATTTAAGGCCGGAATTTCCACTGGATGTTACATCATGTAGGTATCCCCAAAAATTATGATTGCACAATCAAAAAAAGTAGAAAAAAAACTGAACATTTTCAAAGAGCATTTTTAATAAAGATTAGGAAATAAGTCCGATAGAGAGGAAATTGTAAATGGATTATTTCTCATGGCAACTAACGATCTGATAGGCACTGGCTATTGAGACAAATGACGATTGAACAGCCATTAGACATCATAAATTATTAATTTGCAATGTTCTCCCAATTGGGCTTATTTGCCAATATTATTCAAAAACTCTTTTTGAAAATGTTCATTTTTTTCAATTTTTTTTATTGTACGATCATAATTTTTGAAGACTCCGGGGCTATAAAACAGAATGGCAATTGAAGAAAATTTCAGATTATCAAAATAAAAAAACCAACAAGATCACGTTCGAAAGATAATACACACGGGGATTAATTCCACTCTATCAATCTCAAGTTATACTTTGATGAATTATTAAATATATCTCTTTTCTACATTATAGAGATGATAATAAATGTTTTCTTTGCATATGAAATGTCAGAATGTCGTTAAAGTTGCCATTGAATGCAATATAAAAATGTAAAAAATGTTTTTAAAGGACAAATAATAGTTGAATGTCAATTGTTTCGTTTGTTCCTCTACTTTTATTGAAGACATTAATGATTTTTTATGGTCTAGATGCCGGAGACGAGGCGTTATTCTCAACGATAGAGAATAATCTCCTCCAGGCGATACCTCTGGAGAGCGTGGAGTGGCGCAGATCCTTCGGACGTCCCATTAAACAAATTAAACTCAATGCATCATTCGTGCAATTCTCACGTGATGTGTTGCCCACCGAGAAAGACTGGCACTTGATAAAACATCCGATACTCCATATCTACTGGAGTGAATGCTCAGTGAGTTTTGATAATTGCTCTCTCACGCACGAAAATAATTTCGCAGAAAAACAATGAGTTTGGTCGAAAATTCTATTGGATTTCTATTGAACTTTCCGTTAGTTTTGGCCAATTCTATTGAAAAATTCCTCAGCTTATTTGCGCGTTTTTTTGGAAATGTTCAATCTTCAATAGAATTCGAATTTCCTGTATAACTTATTCTATTGAAACATTTTCTATATAAATTCCTCAATTCAAAATATTCGATTGTTTTTGTTGGATTTTTTAATGAAAAGAGAAAATACAAAAGAGGAAAAAACTTGGTCAAATTCATGTCCAGCTAGTCCTATGGAAAATAATAAATTCCATAGAAATATATGTTATTCAAATATTTCCATATTCATGAAAAAAAAATTCTAAAAAGATCGAATTCTACTGACTTTGCACAAAATAGTTTCTATTGGACATTTTCTATAATTAGAATAGGATCTTCTACTAGAAAATTTCTTTGTTCATCTGCGGGTTTTTTTCGTGCGTGCTTTCGTTGGTGTGAAACATTTTCATTTGTTTTTCATTTCTTATTGTTGCAGGATTTGGATGTGTACAAACTAAATGTGAAGGACGATATCGATAGTTGGCTGAAAATTCTAGGACAATATGGCATTCAGGACTGGATGATTGTTATCGTAGAGACTTATGATATTAAGAAAACTAATAAATTGATACCTAGGACGACAGTCCTGGATAAAATACGCAGTGATTTTGCTGCGAAACATGGGGACAGGTAATAATTTACAGGCTTTATCAGGACTGATTTTTAAGGCGTGAGAATTCGAATGAAATACGAGAAAATTCCACGAAATTTGGGCATTGGAAATTCACAATTTTAGGAAAAAATCAATGAAAACTGTAAATTTCAGTTCAATTATCCCATGAAAATTAATATAAATTAGGAAAATTGAGGTAAATGTAGTCTCAATTAAGTGACAATTTAGGTGAATTTGGTGCTGAATTTAGCTTTCTCAAAAATTTGGAATTACATTGAAATTTCAGTGAAATTTAATGATTTTTTCCACGTAAATTGCATTTAATGTAGCTGACCTTAAAATTACTAAATTGTTAAAAATTCTTGGCTGATATTTCCCCTACAATTATTGAAAATTTTTCTCATTATAGTTCCTTGAAATTTGAAAATTTCGACCATTCTATTAGTTTTTGGCTGATTCTATTGGGATATTTTCTATATCATTTCCCCGACTCAAATTGTCCAAGTTTTTTTCATTCTGTTCTTCTTCTCTTTTCATCAGGCAATTAAAAATTGAAAAACTAGAAAAATGTGACGCAGCAAACTTCGGCAGAAAATATTTCAATAGAACAAAAAAACTAGGAAAACTTGAGCCGAGGGAACTCTACAAAATATCTCAATAGAATAAGTAGTGTAGAAAAATAGAATTCTATTGACTTCTTCTACAGAATATTTTCTATTGGATATTTCAATAGAATTTTCTAACGACATGGCTAGGTTTTTCTACGAAATTCTTCCATACCTCCATGAAATTCCACTCATTCCCCTCAAACCCCCCTAAAAACTGCTAATTTCCGCCAAAACCCGGTGCTTTCAGATGCCTGTCCGTAATAAACCCAATAAAATCAGAATCCCGTTCAGCCGAGTCATGGCGAGGTTTGATAACTCGAATCCGCCACCTGACGCTCACCGCCTACGACAAAACCCTCTCAAAATTCGAGGAGACAATTCGCGAGCAGCGCGAGCGTCGTAACGACCTCTCCTGGAACTTCTGTCGTTACTTCCTCCTCCAGGAGGAGCTCGCCTTCGTCCTGGAGATGCTGGGTGTCTACGACGAGGCGCTGGTGCAGTACGACGAGCTGGACGCCCTCTTCACCCAGTTCGTCCTCAACTCTGACGTCGGTGAGACCCCAGCCTGGCTGGGTACCTTCCAGAGCCCCCTCAACACCTGGGCAGGCGTGAAACTGGACAATCCAGTGAGCCACCTGCGCACCCTGATCGCCGAGTGCACTTGCTCCCTCCTGGACCTGCGAAGCTACCTCTTCTCGAGGCAGTGCGCCATGCTGCTGCTGCTGAATAAACCCTGGGAGGCAGCCCAGCGTTGTCTCTCCTTCGTCTACAACACTCTGAGTGAACTGAAAATCCTCGAGGTGCAGAGGCCAAAGGGCTCAGTCGAGTGTTGGGCATTTCTCAGCGCCCTGGAGGTCCTCCAGACCTGTCAATCAAGAATATCAAGCAGTGATAATGGACAACAACTGGACCTGTGCTCATTGCACACAGCTGGATTGTGGGCCCTGGCCAGTGACAAATTGGGGGAACTGGGGAGACTCTGTGGACTCATGCCAGGGAATGAGCCCACAAGTCAGCAACTCCACACTGTTGTCTACCTCATAGCAGGCATGGGTGACTCTAACGATCAAACAAAGGGGAAATTGTCTCCGATAGACAGGCTCAAGGGGGCACTGTCGTCCAAGGAAGTCTTCAAGCGTCAGTATTTGGAGCACACAGAGCTGGCGATGGGGACTTACAAGCACGTGGGGAGGATACGTTCGGCGAGATTCATTGGAAGAGAGTTGGCGAAGTTTTATGGGGACCTCGGGGAGAATCAGAAGGCAGTGGCTTTTTTGCTGGACGCCTTGAACACGTACGTCGACGAGGGCTGGGAGGATCTGGCCGCTCAGACACGACTGGAACTTGCACAGTGCTACAAGCAGATGGACGACATCGAGAGGTACATCAAGATCTGCAGTGCCATCGCCAGCTCGGAGGTCCTCCACGTGACAGCCAGGAGCACCTACTTCGAGGAGATGATGGGGTACATGAAGATGCTGTCTTCACCCCTGCTCACTGAACTCGAGGACACCTTCACGATTATTGGAGTGAATGTCAATGTCTCTGATAAAGTAGTTCAAGACTGTATAGTTAGCATCGAGGTGACGATCAACTCGAGATTACCGAGGGATGCTGAGTGCTCGAGGGCTGCGATATCCACGGAGGAGGTGAAGAGACCCAGTGCTCCTCACAAGAAGAAGGGGAAGATTGCTGAGGCGAAGCCTGTGCTGCTCACCAAGTGGACGATGGACGACCTCAAACCCAAGAACCCTTTGCTGATGTCACTGTCTGTTCACTCGTACTTTGACTGCAACCAGGACAAGACTTTGCACACTGCTGGGGTCATCGATAGGAGGTTTGCGCCTGTTGTCACCAGGTCTGACAGCTCCAAGCACAGGAAGCCATCGGTGGACGTCAGGGGTGACTTCAGCAAGGCATTGACGTGTGAGAGGTTTACGCTGAAACCTGGGAGGAATAGGTTCACTGTCACCAAGAGGGACGATCAGCCTGGATTCTACAAGGTCAATCAGCTGTCTCTGATTGTCGAGGGGAAGGTGGAGTACAGGTCGGGGGTCATCAGTCCCAGGTTGTGTTACGAAGTGGCCAAGACTCAGCCGAGTATATCGGTTAATAGCAGAGACTTGGTGGCTGGTCTTCCTCAGGATGCTGAGTTAATCGTCTCCAGTGGGAGTGTGAGGATTGAGGAGGGGGCTAGGTTCAGGCTCTGGACGTCCAGGGGACTCATGATCAAGATGGCTGAGGGGGGCACCATGGGGGGAGAGCTGGAGGTGAATTCCCCTGGGTGCGAGCCCTTTGGCGTCGTCAGGCTGAGGCTCAATGTTTTTGCTGATCTTCCACCGAAGAAGGACTCCTCCTCCATGGAGCACAAGCTCAACATTCAGACACCCTGGGGCGCTGAGGTGTCCATTTCCCTGCACTTTGGGCCACCTCTCATGTCCTCTATGCATCTTCACACTGCCAAGGAGAGGAAGTTCGTGCAGATTTTGGTGACTGGACTCACTGCACAATTGCTCCAGCTGAGGGAGCCGGAACTTACGACCAGCAGCTCGGTGGACGTGGGGTTTAAAAGTCTTAATCCGGTTGCAGGACAGAAGCTTGTGATTGGGAATGGGGTGAGGGTGTCATTCATGTGGGAGATGGAACTGGGGAGGGACGAGAGGAGGAGCTCTGTGTCGATTAAGGTGGATTTCAGGGTCAAGTACTGCTTGCTGGAGGATGGGGGAGGGGAGGAGGGCGATGATGATGATGATCCGTTGCATATTAGGAAGCTGGGGAGGACGGAGGAGGTTTATTGCTACAGGTGCAACTTCGATGTGATGGACTATGTGGTGGGTTCTTTTGAGATTATTTTTTCGTGAGTTTTGGATGATATCACGCACGAAAAAATTTAGTAGAAAAACGTATCGAATTCGTAAGAAAATTCTATTGAATTTCTATTAAACTCGCTGTTAGTTTTTGGCTGATTCTGTTGACATGTTCAATAGAAAAGTCAACAGAATTCGATTTTTTTGTATAACTTATTCTTTTCATATATTTTCTATAGAATTGGCTCGACTCAAATTTTCTAAATTTTTTTCATTTTTTTTTTCTTTTCTTCTCATCAAGAAAATCGAACAAAAAAATTTGAAAAATTTGAGCCGAGGAAATTCTATAGAAAATATCTCAATAGAATAAGTTATACAGAAAAATTGAATTCTATCGACTTTTTCTACTGAATATTTTCTATTGAACGTTTTAATAGAATCGGCCAAAAACTAATAGAACAGTTCAATAGAAATTCAATAGAATTTTTCAACGAATTCGGTAGGTTTTTCTATTAAATTTTTTCGTCCGTGATGGTGATTCTCATGCATTGAAGATCAATTATATATGTCTACTAGGGAGCAGAAAATTTTTTATAGACAAAATCAGGAGAATTTCAGATTTCTATAGAAATTTTTCTATTGAGACATTTTCTATGGGAATTTCTCGACATGAATTTTTCCAGTTTTTTTACGCTCTATTTTTATTGAAAATATAAAAACTTGGAAAATTTGAGCCGAGGAATTTCTATAGATAATATCTCAATAAAATAAGAACCATTCAATTCCTTGGATTTTTTATATAGAAAATTGTTCATTGAACTTTTTCTACTGAAAAAAAGCACAACAAAATTTTATGGAAAAACCCAACGAATTCGATAGGAAATTTTATTGCAGTTCTATTGGAAAGTCTGTTACTTATTCTATTGAAGAATTCCGCTGCTCTACTGCGCGTTTTTTTTTTAATTTCCAACAGAAACAATTCTATAGAAAAAATCAAAAGAATTTGATCATTCTATATAATTTTTTCTATTGAAATATTTTCTGTAGGAATTCCTCGTCATGAGCTTCCGAAATTTTTTCCACTCAAGTCTTGCTCGTTTTTCATGGAAAAAAATCAAAAAGGTAGAAAGTTTGAGCCGAGGAATTTCTATAGAAAATATCTCAATAGAATAAGTTGTATAGAAACATTGAATTCCTTCGCTTTTACTTATGAGAATTGTTCATTGAACATTTCTACTGAAAACAAGGACGAAAAAATTTCATGGAAAAACCTAACGAATTCTATAGAAAATTCTATTGATTTTGGTCGATTCTACTGAAGAATTCCGCACCTATACTGCGCGTTTTTTTAAGAAAATGTCCGACAGAAACTATTTTATAGAAAAAATCCGCAGAATTTGACCTTTCGAGACAATTTTTTCTATTAAGGCATTTTTTATAGCAATTCCTTGACACGAATGCCATAAATTCTTTCCACCCCTTGATGTATGCAAATGATCTCTCATTGACCCATTTATTTGCAGACAATGTTCATGGTGTCATCGAAAGTCGAAGCCAGTGGAACCGGAGGTGAATTTTGTCGTGCCGGTAGCATGTGTCACCTATGTCTAACCGTGATTCGTGTGTTACCAAACACTAATAGCACCCCTCCACCCCAACTCATGTACGAAGTACTGGCTGATCAGTCAATGTGGGCTGTTTGTGGTCGTACTGCAGGAATTGTTACCCTTGATACCCAAGACAGACAGAGTGTCACACTTGATGTTATGCCATTGACTAGTGGATATCTACCACTTCCTGTTGTACGATTGTCACGTTACATTCCAGCTATTGAAACCAAGAATGGTTGGTGATTTCATTGTTCATCTTCACACTGAGAGAAAAACGAAAGTCTTGTTTGGAACAAAAAATCGCAAATCAATAATTATCACAACACACTGATTGTGAGAAAAAAAATTATTTTTGCCAAATATTCATTTACTTGAGAGAAGCATTTTTGTTTTCAAAATCGTAGTTTTCCAAATGAGTCATTCCCAGACGAGCGGGATTAAGTTTCAATTATGACAATCATATTGCTCCAGAGGATGGCTGTGTTGCACATGACCTTGGAGGAACTCCTCCAATGATTATTCAGTTTTCCTAAATTTCTTATTTTCTACAGGGAAGAATTTCGATTAATCTCTTAATATTTATAATTATTGAGGGAGTTTACTCAAGGCCATAACAAACATGATCATCTTCTAGAGCAATATAATTGTCATAACTGAAACCTAATGAGAATTGCCTGGAAATGACTCGACTGGAGAAATACGGTATTGAAAAAATTAATACTTGTTTGAAGTAAATGGCTATTTGGTAGAAATAATTTTTTTTCTCAGTGCAAGATCACACATGAAAAAATTTAATAGAAAATTCTAGTACTTCCCCTAAGGAATTTTATTGAATTTCTATTGGAACTCAATACGAATCTTCCTAATATTTTATTGGAATTCTGTTTGTTTTGTTAAGAGACATTTTTCTATAAACAAATATTAATTTAAAAATGCGAGGAGACGGATAATTTTGTATAGAATTGGCGCAAAACCAAATAGAATTTTTCAATAGAATTCTGGTAGTTTCAATAGAAATTCAATAGAACTCTATAAGAATTCCCTTAAAATATCATTTGTTTTTTGCACCATTTCCATAGATTATGCAACTTTACCGTGTCATTTTATTAAGATATTTGATAGAAAATAGACAATGGATTTTTACTTTTCTATAGAAATTCTTGGGCATAAATTTCCTTTTTTTTTCTGTATTTTTATTTGGTTCTCATAATAAAATCCAAGACAAAAAACTTGAAAAAATTATGGCCAAGAATTCTCTTAGAAAAAATCCCAACACAATAAGTTGTATAGAAAAACAGCATCTATAAACATTTTTGTATAAACAAATATCTATCTAAAAACACGGTGGGACGTTACAGATTTTTTTATCGAATTCGCGCTAAAAACAAATAGAATCTTCCAATAGAACCCCGATAGAATTTCTTAAAGAAAGCTCTAATTTTTTGTATTCAATATTTTCAGACATGTGATCTGCTTAAGAATTTTTCGTCTCTCAGTGCCCAACATTGTGTAAAAATAAAAAAAATGATACCAATGAACTAAACTCTTATAAATTGTCATTTTTCACAGATATCTCGAGGAAATCGGAAGTCTCCACGGGCCCTAGACTGGAGCCATTCAGTCCAGGCCAGGTTTACAATGCCAGTAAGGCACAGCAGGTGCACGTGTTGCCTGCAGCTCCATCAGAATCCAATTGATGATTCGAACAATCACCGACTATCAACAATTTCCATTAGTTATCATGTTTTTTATGTTGCTTTTGCGTTTCTTGTGGTGACAAATCGTTGTGCCATCAGAAATCTCTAACTAAGTGGGGAAACAATTCTTCTGTCGAAGAATAAAAAAAAAGAAATTTTCAAAAGTGAATAGTCTCCCTGGAAATACTTACACGTATGAAAAAATTTTATTGAATTAATAAATCCAAAAATTTAGTAGAAAACCCAGCGAATTCGCTAGAAAATTCTAGTGAAATTCCATAGGAATTCTAGGGTTCTCCATAGGATTTCTATTGGAATTCTATTAAAAAATTCTATTTGTTTTTTACGCTGATTCTGTTGGATATTCGATAAGAAAAAGTCGATAGATTTCGAATTTCTGTTTAAATTTTTCTATTGAGATTTTTCTATACGAATGCCTGGGTATCAATTTTCTAAATTTTCACCTCTCGGATTCTGTAATTCAAAACAAAACAAAATCCAACGGAAAATTTAGTGCCCAATAATTCTAATAGAAAAAATGTCAAGAGAAAAATTCGAACAGAAATTCAAAATATATTGACTTTTTCATCAAACATGTAATAGAATCAGCGCAAAAAACAAGTAGAATTTTTCAATATAATTCCAATAGAAATCCTATAGAAACGCTATAGAATTCCAATAGAATTTCCTAGCGAATTCGCAAAATTTACTACTGAATTTTTTCATGCGTGTATCCATCGGGCAGAATCATTATTTTCCTCAAGTGAACATGTGAATTTAGTCATCTCTCAACGAATCAAAAACTATGTACTTCTCCTCATGACAGGGCTTCCACGAGCCTGAACCCGTGTACATACGAAACAAAATACTCGATAGGTTTACGGTTGTGCATGAACTGTATAAATCATAATCACCAAGTTTCTGTTCGAAACTCCAATGTTTGTACTCAGATCAATCCAGTGGACGGGGGAATTTCGAGGGGTAAGGGGTAATTTTTGTGTATCTGTAAATTAACCGAGTTGGAGAGAAGTGTATCCTCGTGTTTGAAACAAAATGGCTTGTACATATTTATACATAGAGTGAGGTTCAATCAGAAGTGAATACTAGTGGACGATTGATATTGGTTCGCAATTTAATAAAGACGGTAATAGATGCATTATTGATTTGTTTTTTCTTCAACTCCAATCACTGTTAATTTCCAACTGAAATTTACCCAACAATTTTAAGTTTTCTTTCTCTCTAATAAAATGAATAATCATTCATTGTCAAATTAATTTGAGCACAAAAGTGTGATCCAATTAATTACATTGCACGTTATTACATTGTTTTTCCTTCATTTTCCACTTATAATAAATTTTCGAATGAAATAGTCAATCAGTCATTGTTTTCATAAATTAATTTGATCAAAAAGGTGTGATCCAATTAATAAAAGCGGTAACAGGTACATTATCAAATTGTCTTTTCTTCATTTCCAATTATTGTTAATTGCCCACTGCGATTTCCGAAAGGAAATAACATTGGAGTGAAATGATTTGCCTTTAAAATTCTCTCGTTGGACATTTGAAGCAAAAATATCTCAGCAGTTCTCGTTCTTTCGAATAAAATGACCATTCATCATTCTTAATGATTCTTAATTAATTTGAAGAAAAAACTGTAATCCAAGGTGTTCGAGCTGAACTTGACGTATTTTTATTAATAAAAAATTAAGATGTATTTGATAAGAGCTAATAAATTGGCATTGGTTGTTGGGTGAGGAGTAGTCCGAATCGTCTCTTTAACGTTATCCTCTCCCTGGAGTACTTGTCCTCGGGTGAGAATCGAGCTGAAACCATAAATCAATGCAAAAGCTTTTCTTTTTGCTGACTATGCATACGAAAAAATTTCACAGGAAAACTTAGTGAATTCGATAGAAAAATTCCAATAGAAATTATTCCATACAAGAAATCAGTGGATTTCATCTTTCTATGGGAAGTCCTCAATATGAATTTCTCAAATTTTTCTTGTCCTTTCATTAAAAATGAAACAAGAAAATTAGAAAATTAGAGCTGAGGAATTTCTATAGAAAAAAATCACAACGGAATAAATTGTATTGTAAATTGTATCGAACATTTCTATAGAAAATACTTCAATAGAATAAATTATGTAGAAAAATTGAATTGGAATATTTTCCATTGGACCCTTCGATTGAAAAAAATATGCAGATCAGCTTCACCGTTTTCCAATGGAAATTGTTCAAAAACTAATAGAAAGTTCAACAGAAATCCAATAGAATTTTCTACGCTGTTTCAGGTCTTTCTATGACATTTTTTCGTGCGTGTGAAGAAGTGAGATTTGCTTGGGAAATTACCTGGATGTGCTGACAGCGTGGGCTTGCCATCCGGAGCAACTTTCTGCAAGAGTAAACAAGGAGAAATTGAGTGTCGTATAACCTCTCTGGGCAACGTTCACTGTACAACAGGAAGATTAGTGAATATTTACCTTCAGCGTGTACACACGCGCGCCCTTCTCATTCAAATAGTACATGAGATACATCTCTCAGGGTTTATCTTCGCTAAAAGGAGTTGATTTTGTATTTTTTCACAACAGAACGCAGCGAGATCCTCACGTGTTGGGTTTGTTTGCGAGAATGTTCAATATGAAATCGACAATCGATACTTTATATCGATTTTTTACGCGTCGAAATGTCGGAGGAATCGATAACATTCGCTCGATACATCGATATTTTTTTGTTTTTGAAAATTTTTTTTCATGTCTTTTTTCCATTTTTTTTCAATTCTCAAATGCAAACGATTTTTTCAATTTTTTTATGAATGAATGATATTTTTATATCGATATTTAGGGGCCGATATGTATATTGGCATATCGATTATTTCGCATGTGACATTTTCTAAACTTCGAGATATCGATATTTGATTCAAAAATTTCGACCGATTTACATTTTCAAAATTTTTAATTATTTTATTGAATCATTTTTTATTTTGCAAGAGTCCGGAAAAATTCATAATTTATTCATCTCCTTTAGAGAAATCATTCTTTTTCCTTGAAAATTATGAAAATTTCCCGACAACTATTCGTGGAAATCTAATTTATCATATTGTAAATAGACTTATGTGATAAAAGCCGCATAGCTATTATTATTGTAAAGATCGAGTGGATACATCTAATAAATAAATAACAGTTTATTAAAGAATTGGGGACGAAATAAATACAAAACGAGATATAAAAAGAGATGAGACGTCCGCGGAATAGGAATCAAGATAAAAGAATAATGAGACACGGACGAAAAAATTTAATAGAAAAACCTATCGAATTCATTAGAAAATTCAATTGAATTTCTATTGAACTGTTCTATTAGTTTTAAGCTCGTGTGGTATTCGGGGGATTATTTTTCCAATCCAAATGTCGGGCAATATAATTGGACCATGAGACGAAACTCACAATTGAGAAACGAAAATTGTATAATTAACACAACAGCATTCAATGTGTGTGTCAGCACTCAATGTGTAGTTTCTCTCATCACAAAAATTAGTAAATTGATGCCAAATTGTCTTCTTCGTTTTCTCCGTATTGACGGGAATATTCCCCTTCACTTTTTCATCAATGGTTTTCAGGGGAATGAACTCCGAATCTACTCATTTCGAATAAAAATCCTCGGATTACCGCAATTGAATTCAATCTGTCAGTTTGACGAGGGGTTAATTCGACTACATGATGTTTTGTTTTTTATATAGGAACTACCAGAGAAAATTATCAAAAAATTATCAGTTGAAAACCCTGTAGCTTGTACCACGTGATCTCGAATGGGCCAATTATATCGCCCGATATTTGGGTTGGAAAAATAATCAGTATAAAAAGTCGATAGAATTCAATTTTTCTGTATAATTTATTCTATTGAGATATTTTCTATAGAATTTCCTCGGCTCAAATTTTCAGTTTTTTCGTTTGATTTTCTTGATGAGAAGAAAAGAAAAATAAAATGAAAAAAACTTAGAAAATTTGAGTCGAGCAAATTCTACAGAAAATCTATGAAAAGAATAAGTTATATAGAAAAATCGAATTCTGTTGACTTTTTCTATTGAATGTTTTCTATTGAATATGTCAATAGAATCAGCCAAAAACTAATAGAAAATTTAATAGAATTTTCTAACGAATTCGATAGGTTTTTCTATCAACTTTTTTCGTGCGTGGAAAGAAAGAGACGATCGTGGAAAAGGCCAAATACGCACTACTCCTCTCTTGAAAAGTTGTCGCCCTGACAGCGCGTCTGTTAAAGGCAATGGTAGTGAAATTTCAGTTAATTAATAATTGGAATGGTATTTCAATTATCTGGGGCCTTCAATCCAACTTTCTTCCAAAAACCCAGATGGAAAATAACAGAAAGAGAGAAGGTTCGACTTGAAATGATTCATTTGCTCTTGATGCAAGGTTCTTCTTCCTACTGAGCTACAGTTGTCTCTCAAGGTTCCTCCAGAGGCATGGAAGGAAGTCGAGGATTCGGACTGAAAAAAAATGTTAGGAACAGCAAAAATCAATTGTTCAAATTAATCCGAAAACGTTGGAAAGGAATAGAAATCTATTCAAGTATTTACATTAAGTATTAATTGTTGGCAACTATTCCCAGATAACACATTGACATGCCCAATCTTTTTGGAGATAAATGATTAAAAGCAGGGAAATAGGGGATAAATACATAAAGGAAATAATCTTCCCGAGGAAAAATTAATAAAAAGAAGTAAATCTTCCTGAGAATCAATGAATAAAGAAAACGAATCATCTGAGAATAGTTGTAGCCACCAACCAATATCAGGATAATTATAATGATACAAATACCTGTATTGTGTCATTATTTTGTTGGAAGCAGTAAGCCGGGATATGAATGACCTTCGGCTTGGCACAAGCAGATCCCCCAATCTGAACAACTACTTCGTTTAATTTATTTTCTGAATAAAGAAGGAAAAAAAGGTTGAAAAAATATCTTCCACTGAAATCTGAGCAAATTTCATTCACACTAGAAAACAAATGAATGCTACAGCCCCTTTATCAAAAATTACCATTTAATGACAATTAACAAAGACAAATAATCGAAAAAATAGCCATATACACATTAACAATTAAGACAACGCCTCCTTCGCCCCCGGAGTGAATACTTTGATTTGACGATCCATAAGTTTATAAAGATAAGTCATTCTCTCTGGCCAGTGGTGTTTTTTTCGGATAGAGTCCATCCTCCATACGACCGTGAGCTTCCCAGAGATGTCATTAGCATGACCAGTACTGAGAGGCTCCACCATGATGTTAAGATGAGCCATACGTCTGAGCCCAATAACAATGATATCAGGCTGGCAAGAGTCTGTGTTCGTTCTGTACGTGTGGGTCATTATGCAGACCGACATTTTTGGCTCGAACTGCATCAAAGACCTCAAGTACTTGACGTACGTCCAGACATCAGTGAGACTCAAATTCATGTCAAACAGGTGACTCAGATCGTCAATAATGACTGTTACAGACTCTCGAACCTTGGCAGCCTCGAAATACTTCGCCTTGAGGGCCACGAAGAGGTGACGAACCAAGTGCTCGTCCAGTTTCATGGCATCTGGAATGACATTGTCCTCCATTATCCTACGAAAGTTCTCCGATAATTCTGGTTTAGAGGCGTCCACTGCATCGTGACCCAACTCCTCGATGTTCTGCATTATTGTCTTCATGGGCTCGACGACTGTCACTTCCCCCCTCTCTCTGAGAACGTTCAAATTGTACCCCAGTTTCATTCCAACATTGTGGTAATGACCGAAGGTGTTGTGGAAGAGCACCAGGCAGATGCCCTGGCCCTTCTCCAGGGCGTGTGACAGCACTGTGTTGATGAGGAAGTTTGCGTCACTTCCATGCTGCTCCTCTATCATCACCATTCTCCCTCGGAGGTCCACTTGGTCTATCCCGATTGCACGACAAACTGAATCAGTCATTTTATTCTCCTAAAATCAAAATTCATCAGCGAGGATTTCAGGTAATTGAAGATAACCTCAAATGGTAAATGTTTCACGACGTGGTTTTTCGTGGGAAGGTACTCACGTGTAATGTTTCTTCTTAATAAATAATTATCAAACAAGCTTGGGTTTTTAAATGTTAAGGCAGTCCTTTTTCTCGGGGTATTGGCAGTTTTGGTTAGCGAAAATTTCCGAATACTCGGGGGAATTCAAAACTCACGTGTTTACAAATCTTGTGGCGCTATCTGATAATTGGGGAGAGGATGAGTCACTGGTAAAACAGGATTTATTTTGCTGCAGGTATCGCGTATGAAAAAGTTTTAATAAAATTTTGTTATTTTTTTTTATTTTCATTTTTTTCTCAAAATATCACGCATGAAGAACCTAGAGAATTCCTTGGAGAAATTCTATTGGATTTCTATTGAACATTTATTAGTTTTTGGCCGATTCTATTGAAATGTTCAATAGAAAATATTCTATAGTAAAAGTCTAAGGAATTCGATTTTTCTGTATAATATATTCTATTGAGATATTTTATATTTTCTACAGAATCTCCTCGACTCAAATTTTCTAAAAAATTTTGTTTGATTTTCTTGATGAGAAGAAAAAGAAAATAGAATGAAAGAAGCTTGGGAAATTTGAGCCGAGGAAATTCTGTAGAGAATATCTCAATAGAATATATTGTATAGAAAAATCGAATTCCTTTGACTTTTTCCATAGAATATTTTCTATTGAACATTTCAATAGAATCGGCCACAAACTAATAAATATGTTCAACAAAAATCCAATAGAATTTTTTAACGAAATTGGTAGGTTTTTCTATAAAATTTTTGCCTGAATTCCATTGGAGTTCTATGTTGAAACTCAATTGGAAAATTTTAGTAGTTTTTTTATGTCAATTGTATGAGAGATTATGCAATTTTACCCTGTTATTTTGTTACGAGATATTTGATGGAAAAAAGTCAATAGATTTTTATTTTTTTATAGAAATTCTTGGACACAAATTGCCCAACTTCTTTCCTGATCAAAAATTCTAATAGACATAATGCCAATAGAATGACATATTGTACGGAAGAGTCAAAATCCGTATATTTTGTTCTATGAATAAAGAATCTAAAGATCCATTGTTTCATATGGAAAATCAGAATTTATATACTTTTTTCTGTGAACGAATATCCATTGTTAAACGCACGTGAAAGTTAAATAATTTTTAATGGTATTGACGCAAAAAAATCAATTCTCTAGTAGACTTTCAATAGAATTATCATAGATTTCCACTAGTAATTCAATGGTGTTCCTTAGATAAAGTGCTAGGATTTTCTATTAATTTTTTCCGTATGTGATCTTTTATATTATAAATCTATTGCCCATTCTTTGGCCGCGATTCACGCAAAAACAACTGAATGGATTTCAATGGTGTTTTTATTATTAGTTTAGTATGCACCGTAGAAACTTCTAGAAAATTTCACAAAAATTCTAGCTTCTGGAAAAAGTTTTCTAGTTTCTGGAAAATTCTAGGATATTCTCGAGTTTTCGAGAATTATTTGAGATTTCTACACTCTCGGGGTATTATAGAAAGTTCGAGAAAATACTTTGGTTTTACAGAAAATTTCAGGAACTTCTCGGGTTTTCTAAAAAAATCATTGAGGTGTTTTTTTCTTAATTGCAGGAATTCTTAAAAATCTTGGTAGGTAACATTTTTAAATCTATGCAGGGGAGGGTGGGGTGAAATGGACAGTTTCGACTTTTTTAAAATGATTCACAACTCAGAAACAAATTTATCAATTGAGCTCAGTTTAGGCTTGTCACAAAGGGACAAAATTGTTCTTTGCAGTGAAGAAAAAATAATCAAATTTTATCAACATTTCAACCCCTCATTAACATTTCTAAAAAAGTCAAAAGTGTCCGTTTTACCCCAACCTCCCCTATTCATATTTATAAAACCTTCGTAATTTTCTTTGTTTTCAAAAATGAAAAAATTAATGGACAAACATAACATTTTTCAATTTATGTATTTATATTTATGAACCCTTTGTATTTTTTTTTTTTCAAAAATGAAAAAAATTGATGGGTAAATGAGTATATTTCAGAGTGGAATGCCCCCTAAACAAGTTTTTAACCAAAAATCTCCCGAAAATGCCACAATTTCTCTCATGTCACCCATTTACTCTGTTTTACCACGAGAAATATGCTGTCCCTGACAACAAACCACGTGGCCGTGACACGATGCGCGCGTTCCTCGTCTCCCCTCCCCCCCCAACCGACCAGGTATATCAAATATATACTCTCGATATGCACTCAAATCAGTATCAGGCGGACAGCGACCAGCGCATCGCCACCGTGTGCACCACCAAGCGAGCACCATTCACGAGTGTAAATATCAAATAACTCGATAAACCTTACGTTCTCTCAATGTGATTCCAAGTTTTAGTCGATCATGAGCACTCAGCGGCATGTTCACCCGTCAGTTTGAATTTTTCCTTCAGTTTGAGTGCACGATTATGCACCTGACGTGATAATGCAAGTTCATGACGTTCGTTCACCTTGCCCTTTCGTTTCTTATTTACATTAACTCATTCGTTCAAAGTCTGCACTGAAATTTCAATGAACTTATCACGATTTTCCGGATAATTTTCATGACTTTGCTCTGAACTTTCCCCCTATCGACTTGATTTTTCATTTTAAAATTCTATTTTGCTACTAAAAACTCAGGATTTATGCAGTTGTTTGGGATGAGGCGATGGTTTTTCGAATTTTAAGTGAATTGATTATGCAATTACTCACGATTCAGCTGAATAACTAGAGCATCTGATTTTCACATTGATTGTATCGATTTGTGTAGCCTGTAGAGGAATAGATAATTGAAAATGGACTCGAAAGACTCAAAAAAACTCGCACGATGGTACTTCGGCGGTGTTGCTTCGTCCGGAGCTGCCTGTGTTACTCATCCATTAGATTTACTGAAGGTATTTAAATTAATTACTGACAACAGCCACATTAATTTATTCAAGTACGTTATTTGTCGTTTGGCAGTCACGAAATAATTTCATTTGGATGTGTGTAATTAACGAATTCGAATAAGAAAATCTGTTCGATTTTTACTGAGAATTCTACGATTTTTACTCGATTAGAAGATCTCGAATAGCAAATATTTCATTCTTCGATTGAGACATTTTCTATAGGAATCCCTCGACATGAATTTTTCAAGTTTTTTTCTCTTTTTATTAGGGAATCAAATGAAAAACTTGGAGAATTCGAGCCGAGGAAGTTCTATAGGAAAGATCTCGATGGAATAAGTTGTATAAAAAATTGAATTCTATGGAGTTTCTATAGAATATTTTCCATTGAACATTTCTGTTGAAAATAAACGCGCAAATGAGCTGCAGAATTTTTCAATAGAATCGAACAAAAATTAATAAAAAACGTTCAATACAAATCTAACAGAGTTTATTAGATCGTTTGCACGTATGAAAAAATTTAATAGAAAACCTCAGTGAAGTCGCTAGAAAATTTTATTGAAATTTTCTAATCTAATTTTTTTGTTTGATTAAAAAAAATTGGAATTTTCATGGTGAGGAATTCCTATAGAAAATATCTCAATAAAAGAAATTGTATAGATGAAATTCGGCTCATTTTTTCAATAAAATAATTTCTCTTCAAGATTTTCTATAAAAAAAATGTGCAGTAAAAATTCAGTAGCGAAGCGGTAAAACGGTTTAACTCGACTTAACTCATCTGAGTTATTGAGGGATATCTCCGAGTCTAAAGGAGATAACGAAATTTTTGTAGTGACCTTTTTTATAGAGTGAATTGCGTGCTATAGACAAGGTCATACTAAAAATTTTGCTATCTGTCTTAGATTCTGAAATATTCATCGAAAACTGGCAAGTAGCCAAAATCAACTTGAACCGTTTTACCAATTCGGTTCTGAATTGTCGAAAATAGTAGAGAAGATCTCGATGGAATAAGTGGTATAAAAAATGGAATTCTCTGGAGTTTTCTATAGAATATTTAACAATAGAATTTTACAATAGAATCAACCAAAAACTAATAGAACGTTCAATATAAATCTAATAGAATTTATTAGCTCGTTTGCACGTGCGAAAAAATTTAATAGAAAACTTTACTGAATTCGCTAGAAAATGTTATTGAAATTCTCTAGAAATTCTATGGGGATTCTATTAAAATTCTAGGGAATTCTTGTTGAAATTCTATTTCTTTTTTGCTCTGATTCTATTAGACATTCGATAGGAAAAAATCAACAGATTTTGATTTTTCTGTTTGTATTTTTTTCTTGAGATTTTTTCTGTTAAAATCATTAGGCACGGATTTTCGAAGTTTTTTCTGCTATATTTTTTATTGTCTTCCATTACAGGATTCGAGTGAGAAAAATTTGAAAAGAAAAATTCCTAAATCCTGCCCAAGTATTCTTACAAAAAAAATTCTAAGAGAATATTCATATAGAAAAATCGAAATCTATTGACTTTTGCTTATCAAATATCTTAAAGAATCAGCGCAAAAAAATAGAATTTCAACGAACATTCCCAAGAATTTTAATAGAATCCCAATAGAATTTTCTAGCGAATTCGTTAAGTTTTTCTACCGGATTTTTTCATATGTGTGAATATATATTGTCACATTGAATTTTTATTTTCTCGTCGGCAAAAATTTGACTCTGTATGCAATTGAACTAGATTATGATATGAATTCTTTTACATTTTACATTATTATTTTATTATTTTACATTTTTACATTTTTAATAAGAATTTAATGTGATGGTTTCGATGATAAATACTCATGAAACTTTACTCCCCAGAATATTTAGAATGCTCTGAACTCATTAAACTATTAATTCCCACAAACTAGATATGTAAATCTGGTTATTCAAATATTTTTTCCGTTTAGCCCTTGAAATTTAAGGATTTTGGTAGAGTTACCTTCCCAAAATATTTGGAAAGTATCTCAAAATCCGCTAGACTCACGAAATATAAAAAAAACGATGTTTTTAAAAATAATTCTTCTCAACTCTTGCTCTCAGAGAGAATCTTAAAATTAACTACGCATTTTAGGTCTCAATACAAAAAAAAATTGAAAGAAATTCTTGAAATTCATTGATTTTGGTAGAATTACATTCCCAGATAATTTTTTAAACATTTCTCAAAACATGCTCGATTTGTCAAAAATTAGAAAAAAAATATGTTATTAAAAGTGAATTGCTCTCAACTCTTCTTTTCAGAGAATATTTAGAATTTTGTGAACTCGTTAGAGTATCAATTTCTCCAAAAATAGACATGAAAATATGTCGATTCAAACATTCTTTATATAACTCATCAACTAACGTTACGTAACACGAATCCAGAATTCGGCACCACTGCATGGTCAACGAAAAATACTATTCCATAGAACAAAAAAATAGTCAGCGACACAATTGATGCTAATGCTGTTTATTCTAGGTTCAACTGCAAACGCAACAAGAGGGCAAAGTGTCAATCATCAAGCACACGTTGAAAATTATAAAGAAACAAGGATTTTTAGCACTTTACAATGGCCTCAGTGCTTCCCTACTGCGTCAGGGTACTTACTCGACGACGAGATTTGCAGTTTACGAGGTTTTTTGTGTTTATTGAATTTTCCTGAGGAGAGGTTTCATTATTTAACACTAGAAATTTTCGATCAGGTAGTGAAGCAAGGGATTGAGAAGCCTGGAGAGGCTTTGCCATTTTATAAGAAATTGTTGATCGCCGGATCGGCTGGTGCTGTTGGAGGAATCTTCGGGACACCTGGGGATCTTATTAATGTGAGAATGCAAAATGATATCAAATTGCCACCTGAACAAAGGAGAAAGTGAGTTGGATATGAATTTTGTTGAGAGAGAATTCAAATTTCCATGGAATTTTTTGATTTTTTAATTCTAATACCTCAGAATCTGCATTGCTAAAATTTTTTATCCAATGACAGTTGAATTTCTTGAAATTTAAAGGAATTTCATAATTGAGAATTCTCTGTTTCATGAAAAATTTTATGAAAGCAGTTTATTTTAGGTCAATTCACTTATTATTAATTATTTATCTATCGTTTCCATTCAATTGCTTCATTGCATTTTCAATAAAATTTGAAATTTAAGAATTCTTTTTCCTTTGAATTAAATGCAACGCCCTCTTAAAATTACTTCTAAACTTTCCACGAAATTTCAGTTTAGAGACTTCAAATATCAACAGAATTTCTCATTTTTCTTTTCTAATATCTCAGAATCTACATTGCTAAAATTTGTTATCCAATGACAGTTGAATTCCTTGAAATTTAAAGGAATTTCGTAATTGAGAATTCACAGTTTCATAAGGAAATTGATGAAAGCTGTTCATTTTAGTTCAATTAAAGTAGTATTGGTTATTTATCTATGGTTTCCATTACTTCATTAATTCAATTATTTCAGTAAAATTTGAAATTTTATGACTTTTTTCCCTTTGAATTAAATGCAACGCTCTCTTGAAATTACTTCTAAACTTTTCACGAAATTTCAGTTCAGAGACTTTAAATATCAACAGAATTTCTCATTTTTGTTTTCTAATATCTCAGAATCTGCATTGCTAAAATTTTTTATTCAATGACAATTGTATTCCTTGAAATTTGAAGGAATTTCATAATTGAGAATTTGCAGTTTCGTGAGGAAATTGATCAAAGCAGTTCATTTTAATTCAATTAGAGTATTATTGGATATTTATCTAGTTTGCATTTAATTACTTTATTGCATTATTCATGAAATTTGAAGTTTCATAATTTTTTTGCCTTTGAATTAAGGGCAACGCTCTCCTGAAATTATTTCTGAACTTTCTACGAAATTTCAGTTTAGAGAATTCAAATATCAACAGAATTTCTCATTTTTCTTTTCTAATATCGCAGAATCTGCTTGAGAATTTGCAGTTTCGTGAAAAAATTGATGAAAGCTGTACATTTTAATTCAATGAAATTATTATTGATTTTTTATCTATTATTAACATTTAATTTGATTTTTCATGTGAAATTTTTTGACTTTTTCCTCTTAATGCAATGTCACTCTACTGAAATTACTTCTAATCTTTCCACGGAATTCCGATTTTGAAAATTCAAATATCAACAGATTTTGAAATGACCGTTGAAATCCTTGAAATTTAAAGGAATTTTATATTTGAAAATTCAGTTTCATGAGAAAATTAATGAAAACACTTCATTTTAGTTCACCTTAATTATTATCTATTATTTATCTATTATTTTTATTCAATTCTTCCATTAAATTTTCAGTCAAATTTGAAATTTCATGCCTTGTGTCCACGAAATTCAGTAGCGAAGCGGTAAAACAATTTACATTGACTTAGCTCTCAGCTGATTTGTTGAGGAATATCTCCGAATCTAAAGAAGATAGCGATATTTTCGTAATTACCTTTTTCGTAGCTCTTAATTCTCTCTACAAAAAGTTTATAACACAAATTTTGCTATCTGCCTTAGATTCCCAGATATTCATTAAAAACTGACCAATAGTCAAAATCGAATTATTTTTAAAACAATTGATCATTGCGAATTTATAAAAAACCCTTGAAAATGAATTTCAGTTACAAACATGCGTTGGATGGACTGATAAGAGTAAGTAAAGAAGAAGGTGTGTCCAAATTATTCAACGGCTGTTCGACAGCTACTGGACGAGCCATTTTAATGACAATAGGACAATTGAGTTTCTATGACCAAATTAAACAATATCTCCTGCAATCTGGGAAGTTTGAGGATGATCTGGGAACGCATTTCGTTGCCAGTCTCACGGCCGTAAGTTTCTAAATCCTTAATGGAAATGAACAAAAACGAAAAAGACAATCGAAGTCAATGAATCGATCAAAGTAATGGACTTGATTGATTCGTAATGGCTATTTGATCTGTCTAGACCGGTTGTAATAGACTCTTTCATTTATTATTTAGGGAGCCATTGCCACGACTCTCACGCAACCTCTGGACGTTCTTAAAACACGTGCTATGAACGCTAAACCTGGTGAATTCAAAAATATCGGACAGCTAATTCTGTATACTGCAAAACTCGGACCCTTGGGCTTTTTCAAGGTAAAATTATCTATTTTTGGGTCAAGGTAAAAGAGATCACGGATCAATAACTCAAGCATAAGAAGAAGAAACAAATTTTCAATTGGTATTTAAAATTATTTATTTATTTTTTATTATTTTATTATTTAATTTTCATCATTTATTCCACTGATGTTTTTAGATTAAGAGTCCTAGTAACCACAGAGACTAATACCTAAAATATCATTGATTATCATTATTTGATTTCGGTTTTTGGCTGAAATATGATCAGGGATGACCATCAATCTTTCGATACATTGATTAAGGTTTAAATCTACTGATCAAAATTCAAAAATAGTAAGATAATTGATAATCTAAATTTCCAATTGATAATTGATTGAATATTTAATGATGTGGAACTGTAAATTTTTTTTATTAGGTAAATAATACTAAATTTCTAATAAAAGATTTTCGATTATCCGAATAATGGTCAATCTTCCTGACTAAATTATGATTAATGATTAATAAATAATTCGGCATTTGAATATTTAAACTGATGATTACATCAACAACAAATTTAGGAGTAATGCTAGCCAATTGACTCCTTAATAATTTAACGGTAATTATAATTTATGGATATGGCTATCCCTGAATGTGATATGAATGAATTTGAGAACATACGAAAATCTGGACAACTGATTGAATTTAATTCTACGACATTCAATTTTAATAGAAAAATCCCGCATTTTCTATTCAATTTCTATTGTAACTCTATAAGAATTCTATTGAAAACTCTATTTGTTTTTTTAAAATTCTATTAGAAATTATGCATTGAAAAATGTCTATAGATGTTGATTTTTCTATATAACTTATTCTGTTGGAATTTTTTCAATATAAAAATTCTTGGGCATAATTTTTCTAAATTTTTTCTTCTTGGATTTTATTACGGAAAACAAATAAAAATACAATTGAAAAAACTTGGAAAAGTTATGCCCAAGAATTGCTGTAGAAAAATAAAAATCCATCGACCTCGAATTAGAATTTATTAGAATTCGAATCCATCGAATTCTAATAAAACTTTAAGAGAATTCTTATAGAATTTCAACCAAAATTCAATAGAATTCCTTATAGAAAGCGCTAGGATTTTAATTAAATTTTTTCATGCGTGAATCCACTTGACATTGAGAATTATTATTAATTTTCCAGGGTTACATACCGGCATTCGTTCGATTGGCGCCGCACACAATCCTCACGTTCGTATTCCTGGAGCGACTCCGAATTTCCTTCGGATATATCCCAAGCAACAAAACAAACTGAACAAAAAGCCTCGATAATCCCCACCTCATTGATCGTGTAAATAATTGCTTCCAGTAATCTTATTCGTTTGTAAGAATAACGAATCATTCCGTCAATGCAGTTTTTAAGGTACAATACACAAATCGAGACATTCGTAACAAACTTGACGCACGAAATATATTTCACAGAAAAACCTTGTGAATTTCCTAGAAATTTCTATTGGATTTCCATTCGTTATTGTAGATTCTATTGAAAAATTCCCCAGCAAATCTGCGCGTTTTTTTAAAATAGAAATGTTCAATGGAAAACATTCTGTAGAAAATCCTCCGCTCCAATTTTCAATTTTTTTATTTGATTTAAAAAAACTTGGAAATTTCATACAGAGGAATTCCTATTGAGAATATCGCAATAGAAAAATTTCATAGATGAAATTCTTTTGATTTTTTCAATAAAATAATTTCTATTGAACATTTTCGATAACAAAAATGTGCAGTAAAAATGGTGAAAAATAGTACAGTACTAACAGAATTGAATTGAATTTTCTATCGAAATCGCTAGGTTTTTGTATGAACGTTGAAATGATTCCATTCGTGATTCCAGACCTATTTTTTTTCGAACAAAATGGTAATATCAACTAACATATGACTTGTAAACATTCCATAAGACTATATTTTGTTACGTATATGCTGGCATATATTGCTGTTGATATACATATACAATGAAATTCCTGATGTCTAACGAGACGCACAAAGCGAGGTATTATTTTTTATGACGATAAGAACGAAGATTTCGATGATTCACAATTTTCAATGTTCTTTAATCAGTGTGAAACGGCGATGTCATCAGCGGAGGATTAATTGTGAAATTCCTAAGTGTATTGGAGATGTTGAGCAAATAAAAATCTATTTATTCTGACAGAAAAAAAAATTGAACTAGATATATAGTGATGGCGGAGTCATTGCAGGTCGATGGAGTTAACTTGATGTTACGTAATAGTAAATAGTGTTCTCATTCAAAATTGCTGAATTCAATTCATAATTTCAGTATAACACAATTACCATCTAATTTATTTTGAGATTTCACGTTAAATCAGCAATCGAAACAAATCGAGTTATTATTTTTCCTGGATTTTCCGTCATGAGATGAAGTTGCAATCAAATTTTCTTCCCAAAATATAATTATTTATACGATTTATGATGACAAGGAGAACATTTTCCTTCAAATGAACATCCGACAATAATTTTCGGAAGCCATAATCGTCCTTCAGACAAACGAAAATTACTCCAAAAGCTTTTTTTAGTCTTACAATTTTATACCAATTTTTATTACATTAAAATCGATTTTTCTGTCGAGTTTGAACTATTTAATATGATATTGTATTTTTCATAAGGACCAAAGGATTCATGTCATGTTATTTTGTTATCTAAACGAGCTTTGTAAAGAGTTGGAAACATTTACTGAATTTTCCCTAGGATAATTTATGCAATTCTTTCCGGGATTCGCTATCATCAAATCCAGTTTCAATCAAATTTTCTTCCCAAAATAAAATTATTTGTAGGAGTTATGGTGACAAGGACAACATTTTTCTTCAAATGAACATCAGATAATGAATTTCCGAAGCCATAATCGTCCTTTAGACCAATGAGAATCACTCCAAAACCAATTTTTTTGTCTTACGATTTTATACTAATTTTTGTTACATTAAAATCTATTTTTCTGTCGAGTTTTAACTACTTAAGACCCGGGTGTACTATCTTTCGAGTGTTATCTGGATTTTTTTCAACTTTCACAATTCAAAATTGTCAATTGAGTGGTACATCATGTAGAAATTCCCAAAAATTATGACAGAATGATAACAAAAACAAGCAGAGGTTCGAGCCCATTCGACAGAAGACATGTGACCGTTACTTCATCTGTTGTTTACCTTTTTTATTTTTCATTTCTACTAATTGCATTGGTAGTAGCCTTCCGAATGGATTCGTAGGAACTTCATTATTTGGATTGAAAATCGACAATTTCTATCAAATTTTGTGATTTTAAGCAGGCCATACTCTACAAAGAGAAAAATAGTGCCTGATAATTCAAAAACCATACTTTTGTTAAATTTTTGCAATAATTTCGACCATTTCGACCCATTACCTCACACCCTGTCCTTGTGACAGGCATCCATATTCGACAGGGTGTTTAGAAGAAGATATTCGACCTTCCGGTAAAATGGATTTATACAAAAAATTTAATATCTCCAGAACCACTCGGCCGATTGCGCCCATCCAAAATATGAATCTTGAATATCATGAGAGCTATGATCATACCAAATTTCAAATTGCTATTACCATTTTTCATCAAGTTATCATACGTACAAGGAGGAAGTAGCAAAAAAAACAGAAAAACGGGAATATCTCTGAATCTTTGTCTGGACGGGTATATATATTTTCATTGGTCTATATAGTGGCCACCGAGACGAGTATTTTGAAAAAGGAAAAATTGAAATCCGCGGAGCAGTTCTTGAGATATTTGACAAAACATATTTACACAAAAGGGCAAATATCTCAGGAACCGCAGGGCGGATTGCGCCGATCTAAAATACCAACCTTTATTATTGTAAGAGTTAGTACCATACCAAATTTCAACTCGCTAACCCAATTTTTTCTCAAGTTATCGTGCAAACAACAGTTTCAGCGAAAAAACGGACAAACGGCAATATTTCCGAAACTTTCCATGATCGGCATATAAGTTTTGATTGGTCTGGATAGAGGTCATCGAGCTGCGTATTTTGAAAGAAAAAAGTGTCAAATCGGTACAGTAGTTTCCGAGATATTGATGAAAAACGAAATTTAAACAACTTGATATATCTCAAGAACTACTGGGCCGATTGAGCTGAACCAGCGCGTCAAAATAGAGTTTATTCATAGCTATCAGGGACCAAAATTTCAGATTTCTATTTACCGATTTCACCGTATTTATGTTGAATTTTCGAAAAATTGTGCACCCAAAATCCAAGTTGTCACACACATACATACAGACATGACTGTAACAACATAATTTCTCCCCGTTTCATGACATTCTACAGTCGTTTACTAAAGTTCTGAAACAAAATACATAGGATGCAAGTTCAGATCGTTTCAGAACTTTAGTAAATAATTGTACATCATTTCCGATCAAAATTAGCGAATCGAAAAATCCGTCAATTACAAGGCTTCCATTCGGAAGCAAAATAGAAAAAATTCTGAACTTTTTCAAAGAGCGTTTTTAAGTGACATTCAGAATGAGTTGAAAACAGTGGAAATTACAAATATCTGATTCGCTGTGGCAAATTATCTATTAGCTGTCATTTTCCATGGTGAATAACAAAACACTAACTCCTCATGGGAAGTGGCAGCTAGGTATCTCAATTTTCAAAACAGTGGTATGTAGTCATCTGCCATTTTTATGTGATAAAAGAGTGATTAAAAAATTCTCCAAAATATTACAACTTTTTTCAAAGAGCCTTTTCCGTAATGTCTCTCTGCAGTGTGGGAAAAGATTTACGAAATCAGTCTTCCCCCTGCATGATATTGGGTGACAGGCCGCCATTTGTCACCGTAAATCAGATATATTTTTTAATTTCTTGTTATTCAACTTATTCTGTATATAAATTAAAAATGCTCTTTGAAAAAATTAAGAATTTCTTCTACTTTCTTTTGATTATTCATTCATAATTTTTCAAAACTTGTGCATGATACAGGACTCAATTGACAATTTCAGATGACGAAAGATGAAAAAAAACATCGAGATAGCGTTCGAAAGATAGTACACCCGGGCCTTAATATAATCTTATACTTTTCATGGGGCCACAAAGGCCTCACGTTACTTTTATTAAATTGTCCCTAGCACAGAATCTACACACTTGTGATGGAAATTGACTGAAAAAAATAATGTCATTCTTTCATTGACTAATTGACTAATCATCCACTTTATTGACAAACTCACTGATATTACACTAATCTATATATAAGGCGTATCAAAATGTAATTAAGTTGTACCTAGATGATTTTTATCACAACTTTGCAGCATCAAATGTGATAACATAATTTACTTCAGGATTAACACAAGATTAAGGATTATGTCATTTTTCGTAATGAATTATTATGATTTATATACAACACTATATTATGACTCGATTGTGCTTTGATTACTTGAAAAACTCGCCGAGAAAAACGATAAACATTTATTAGAACTGTAAAAATAATTCTTAATGAACACAGGACTACAAGTACGATGTAAAAATGATTCTAATAACAAAAGTATTATGCTTCAACGCAAATACTAACAATTTATTATTTAATTCTCTTTTATTCCGCTGGGGGATGTTTCTTCCACTGGTTTTTTAATCATTACTCGTGATGATGGAAAGTACGCACAAGTCAGTGGGAATATTTCACTCGAAGTCTGGTAAGTCTAAAATTTTTTCAACGAATTCAGCGACATTTGTGTCCTTCTTCGAGTGTTCTATGATGAAATCTAGTTCAAGAAGTTGACTGTAATTTGGACGGGCTGTATAGTCTTTCATTAAGCTGGAAGGGAAAATAAACTTTGGAGAAGATCAACTTTACAAGATAGCAAGATAACTCAAATGTTTAATTTTTCAAGTTTGAAAATGAGAACTCTAAAAGCTATCGATAAGTTCCTAAAAGATTGTAATATTAAGATCTAACGTTATATGTATAATAGTACGTAAGACAACAATCAGTGCTGTAACAGACATGCTAATAAAATGAAAAAACTGTTTTCGTTAAGCCAATAAATCCTGTACGGATTTCTAGAGCAATAAAAAAAAATGAGAACCAAATAATTTTGATCGCACACGTACGAACGAATTTAGTAGAAAAAACAGGCCATTCCTCTAAGGAATTCTATTCGAGTTCTATATGAATTCTATGAAATAATTTCATTTGTGTTTTGCGTCAATCCTATTAAAAATTATGTAACTTTCTTTTTCATTTCATTTAAAGCCGCATCAACTACTAGGTTCTTCGCGACTTTATAAAAATTGGTACATTAATAGTTATATCGTACATTGCAAATCATATGAGATGATGTAGGTCAGGCGAGGAGTAGGATATTCAAAAAATGCAGCCAATTTTATGAAGATTTTTTCACACATTATTGAAACCATTTAGACACCGTTTGCAAAATTTGAGAAACCCCGCAAGCAGGACAAAAACAAAAATGATTTTTAAAGTTGTTGCTTATACATGAGGTTAAATGAAGCATCGATAACTCGTGCATTTCCCCTATATTATCGACCAGTCGGCAATGTGGACAAAATACTGACATTATCGATGACCCATTTAACCTCATGTATAAGTAGCAACTTTCAAAACCATTTTTGTTGTTGCCCTGCTTCCGGGGTTTCTCAAATTTTGCAAACGGTGTCTAAATGAAGTCAATAATGTGTGAAAAAAACTGCATAAAATTGGCTGCATTTTTTTGAATATCCTACTCCTGGCCCGGTTATCCTTAAGGGGTAACAGAATGGTCTTAATGTTCTCAATTTTTCAACAAATTTCCTGTTGGAAGTTATTGATATTTTAAAGAATCGAAGCACATTAATCTCTAGGAGGTGATGATGCAGATCAATGTGCTTTGGGTTGAAAAAATATTGATAATTTTGAGCAGAAAATTTGTTTAAAAATTTCGAGCAAATGATGGCCTTCTGTTACCACTTAAGGGGAAACGGAACCCCTGGGTTTATATGAGTCTTTAGAATTGTGTTTTCTCCTGCAATTATTTTTTATTCATTGAACTACTTCATTGACTCAACAATGCGATAATTGAGTCGATAAAGTAATTTCATAGATAGAAATTAATAATTGTAGGAGAAAACACAATTCTAAGATTTGATGGAGACAAAGGGGTTCCGTCTCCCCTTAAGGATATTCATAAGTTTATTTACATTGTTTTTATCATTTAGTACTTCGGTCAACACAACTGGGAGCTTAAGTGGTTTTCTGTCACTGAATTATTTTGGGCATTCTAGTAGGACGTGTCTTACTGTCATGTTCACTTGGCAGTTCTGGCATACTGGTGGATCTTCTTTCGTCATAATAAAATTGTGAGTCAGTTTTGTATGGCCTATTCTGAGTCTGGTCATGATGACTTGATCCCGTCTGTTAACTCCGAGGTCTGGAGTTTTTTATCACTGTTAGTACGGATTTCGTGTAACTTCGTCGGGGCCAGTATATATAGACGTTGATTTTTCCATATAACTCCTTGTATTGGAATTATTTCTGTAAGAATTCTTGACCAAGATTATTCAAGTATTTTACTCTTGAATTTTATTAGGAAAATACAACGGAAAAAACTTGGAAAATTTACAGCCAAGAATTTCTATTGAAAAATCAAAATCTATTTACCTTTTTCTATTATAAATCTCTTAATAAAATGACAGGGTATGATTGCATAAGCTTCAATGGAATTTGACGCAAAGAACAAATAGTTTTTTTAACAGAGTTTCAATAGGGATTCAAGAGAATTCTTATGAGCTTCCAATAAAAATTCAATAGAATTTCCTAAAGGAAATGCTGGGTTTTTTTATTAATTTTTTTATACGTAATTTTTTTCAATAATAAAATATGAAATATTTCTATTTCTCGAATAATTTTCATTACAATGACAAGATTTGAAAAAAAAGAACAAATTCTCACCATTATAATCACAAATAAATAGAAGATTTAAGGCCCGGGTGTACTATCTTTCGAACGTTATTTCGATGTTTTTTTTCATCTTTCGTCATCTGAAATTGTCAATTAAGTCCTGCATCATGCAGAAGTTTTGAAAAATTATGAATGAATGATCAAAAAAAAGGAGAAAAAATTCTTAATTTTTTCAATCGGCATTTTTAACTTATATTCAGAATAAGTTGAATAACAACAAATTGAAAAATGTATCTAATTTACGGTGACAAATGGCGGCCTGTCACCCGCAGGGGGGAAAACTGATTTCGTAAATCTTTTCCCACACTGCAGAGAGACATTACGGAAAAGGTTCTTTGAAAAAAGTTGTAATATTTTGGAGAATTTTTTAATCACACTTTTATCACAAAAATGGCAGACAACTACATACCACTGTTTTGAAAATTGAGATACCTAACTGTCACTTCCCATGAGGAGTTAGTGTTTTGTTATCCACCATGGAAAATGACAGCTAATAGATAATTTACCACAGCGAATCAGATATTTGTAATTTCCACTTTTTTCAACTCATTCTGAATCTCAATTAAAAACGCTCTTTGAAAAAGTTCAGAATTTTTTCAATTTTTTTGTTATCATTCTATCATAATTTTTGGAAATTTCTACATGATGTACCACTCAATTGACAATTTTGGATTACGAAAGATTAAAAAAATCCAGATAACATTCGAAAGATAGTACACCCGGGCCTTAATTCGTTTGCCAATCCGTTGAATTTTTTAATGAGAAGATATTGAATGATATTTACGTACCACTTGGTGATGAGGTTTTCGAAGGCTGGAGAAAACTTGCCTGGGGGAAGTTTCGGAGGATCGTCCTTGACAACTTGTTTTAACTGTTCGAAAGGTGTGCCCCACGACTCGTAAGGGAATTTTCCAGTCGCTAGTTCAACGAGGGAAATGCCTAGTGACCAGACATCTGATCGAATATCGTACTGGGAAGGATTGCCTGATGGGTCTATCCTCTCTGGCTGCAATTTGTAATCAAAAGAATTATTATGCAAGTGATCAGCTTAAATAACAATTAAGAATCAGTAGCGAAGCGGTAAAACGGTTTTTCAATGGGATATTTTCGTACATGAATAATCATTAATTACTCAATTTTATTGAGATGATTCACTTACAGCCATGTAGGGCTTACAACCCGCATCAATGGTTTTAGCGACAGAATCAACGAGATATCCAGAGATTCCAAAATCACAGATTTTGACTTCACCCTTACGATTTATCAAAATGTTACTGGGCTTGACGTCCCTATGTATTACCCTCAGTTGAGAGTATAGATAGTGAAGGGCACTAACTACCTGAAATTATTCAAGATAATTCAGCAACAATTGACGAAAATTTGCTCAATTCAAAATAAAAGGTTCTCCCTTATATAACAAAAAGGGATTAAAGTTGTAGAACATTGGAGTATTTTCATTTTCTCCTGAATTTATTCAAAACCTTATTCAGTATGAACATCAATTGATGAATTGAACTTACTGAAAAAGCTATTTTTCCTAGAATATCCTCAGGTATTGAGCATCCATTTTTGTAGGCCTTTGTATAAAATTTATCTAGACTCATATCCATCACTTCCATGCATATCCAGACATCGCCTTCTCGAAACAATGCTCCGTAGAATTGTACTGTATATGGACAATCTGAACTTCTCATTGAAATATCCAAGTCCATCAACAGTCTTTTTTGTTCCTGTGTATTGACTGTTGCTGTGATTCTCTTTAAACAAGAACAAACAAAGTTGAAAGATTGATGAGGAGTTAAGTGAATTATTTTTGACGTCACAGGTGAAATATTCTGGTGATTAAATTAAAAATGTTGTTTGATTTTGTTTTCTTTTGAATCAAATAAATGGAGTAAACTACCCTGGAGAATAGTGCAGATATTTTTGATTACTTTTGGTGGTGACGCTACACTAGCAGCTGGAAGAGTTTTTGGAAATGTTTAGAGAGATGATTTGAGATGTTTCTGACATGTCAGAGAGAACAAACAAACAAACATATATGACGAACAGCTGGAGAATTCCCAAAAATCCTCGTACCCTTAATCTTTCATCACATTAGAAAATTACTTGTCAATATCTTCATAACTTGACAGCTCTGATTCTCTTCCAACAAGAACTAACAAAGAGTTTAAAGGTTGATGACGAGTTGATTAAGCAAATTATTTTTTATGTCACAGGTGCAACATTCTGGTCATTTAATTCAAAGTGTTGATTGATTTTGTTTTCTTTTGTGTCAAATAAATGGATTAAATTTCATTTTAGAGATGTTTAATGGGAACTATTGAAAAAATGTCAGCGGGAAGAACGAAACAACGCCACCAGCAGCTGGAGAATTCCCAAAAATCCTCGTAGTAAAAAATTAATAATCCCCACATTCAAAAACTACTCGTCAATATCTTCATACCTTCACAGCCATTATCGTGCCACTCTGCTTGTGTTTCATCTTATCAACCACTCCATAAGCACCTCTGCCCAGTACACACAGAGTTTCAAGATCATCAGCCTCAACAATGAATGTTTTTTCACCTATTGTTATAGTGGTTCGTTTGTCGAGGTTTCTGGGTGGTGTTCTGTGGCAAAAACATCATTATGACAACAATAATCATTACCATAATTACCATTAATTAAAATGATTTAAGTCGACTTAGCTCTTAGCTGAGTTTTCGAGGAATATCTCCAAATCTAAAGTAGATAGCGAAATTTTCCTGAATATCTTTTTTTGAGCTCTCAATGTGTTCTACCGAAAAGGTCATGACGAAAATTTTGCTATCTGCCTTGGATTGCGAGATATTCCTTGAAAACTGACAAGTAGTCAAAATCGACTTGAACCGTTTACCACTTCGCTACTGAAATAATGATTCAGAAGTACTTACACAGGCACAGGGGCTTCCTCCGACACTTGGAGCTTCAAATTTCTCTTCCCTTTGCGCAGTGCCATTTCTGTTATTTATAATTTCAAGGGTTTTACATTCAACGTAACAATCAACAGCAATAATGGACTCATTAGTCAGTCATTTCCACAATCACTTGAACAATCGTAGACTTTTTTTACACCTGGAGAAGAAACAAGCACTTTGAGGTTACTTCAAGTACTCAACTGTTATGAGCTCCAGTTCTCTCTGATGAAGAAATGAATTTTAGTGCATAGAGATGTTGTGACATCAACAGTCTCACAGGTACTCAAGCTATTTTGATGATTGCTGTACATTGGATTCTGAGTTAACCTCGGGCACAAATAAATTCAACGGTTCCGTCGCCCATATATGATAATTTCTGCCTCAGCCCCTAACTAAACAGACGGATTTGAGAATTGTACAGTGTTTCAGAGAAGTTTTCGGTCGTCTGATGTTTTTGGAGTGTTGCGGTGACATGGGACTGCAACTTCAGGGGGGTGACCACGTTTTGGAGGCGGTGGTACGGCGAGGAAGCATAGCACATGTGTGAATTTAGCCGGAAACCAAGGGACAGCAGTGAATTTGAAATGCAACAAAAATATTCGACATCAGTTATTTTTTAGCAATTTCCATGAAATTAGAAAAAGTGCTTTTTTGCAAACGTCCATACGATAATACACCTTTTCATTCTGGAAATCTAGGGGAAATATTTATTACGTTCCTGGAACTGGAAGATGTTCCAGAAAAATGATAAATGCTGATAAATATTGTCATTTAAGATGAAGATAGATAGATAGATAGATTTATTACATATATGCGAATTACAAAATTCAAAATGCAATGGGGTCTGGGAAATATATAACATGTGTACATATCAAATGCTTAGGTCTAATTAAAAATTGAAAGCTGAGCATACCAGAGTTGAAAAAAAAGCAAAGGGCAAATAGAAAAAAAATAAAATAAATAAAAGTTTAAGATCCTTGAATACAGGTTGAATATGATTCGAAAATACAGGAAATGAAGACAAAAATGTCTCTTAAACAACTGATGTTATTGGAAAAATAAATTTAAGATGTATACATTTGAGCCCTCCAAAATAATGATTTATATGTAAATTCGATAAGTGCCCGAAAATTTAGTGAATTACAATTTTCGAAGACCCTTTTTCGGGGATAATTTATAAATTATTTTTTCACCTTGATAATAATTTTTTTACTATTCAAATAATTTTATTTCTATTCTATTTCTTTTTTCCTAATTATTTATAGATTATTTTTATAGATTTATTACATATATGCGAATTACAAAATTCAAAATGCAAGGGGGTCTGGGAAATATATAACATGTGTACATATCAAATGCTTAGGTCTAATAAAAAATTGAAAGCTGAGCATACCAGAGTTGAAAAAAAGCAGAGGAAATAGAAAAATAAAAATAAATAAGTAAAAGTATAAGATCCTTGAATACAGGTTGAACATGATTCGAAAATACAAGAAATGAAGACAAAAATGTCTCTTACACAACTGATGTTATTGGAAAAATAAATTTAAGATGTATACATTTGAGCCCTCAAAAATGATGATTTATATGTGAATTCAGTAAGTGCCCGAAAATTTAGTGAATTACAATTTTTGAAGACCTTTTTTTGAGAATAATTTATAAATTGTTAATTTTTCATCTTGATAATAATTTTTTTACTATTCAAATAATTTTATTTCTATTCTATTTCTTTTTTACTAATTATTTATTACATTATTTTTCGATAAGATAGTATCTACTGAACATTTTCTATTAACAAAACTGATAGAATTTCTACTAGAAGTTCAATGGAAATCCCATAGAATTTTTTGTCGGAACTTGGAGAGTACTTTTCTGCAAACTTCCATAGGATAATTGGAAATTACAATGTTCGAAGACTTTTTTCTATGAATAATTTGTAAATCATTAATGTTCAATCTTGATAATAACTTTTTTCACATGAATTAATTTCCATTTTGTTCACAAATTATTTTTTAGATTTATTTTCTATCAGATCTCTGATGAATCAAACCCAGAGTTAACTCTGGGTTCATGGAAATTTCCCAGAGTTTCTCTCTTTCTTCGCTGGGTTTGGTCTATCAGGGGTAGTTCCTTGTGGAAATTCTCTATAAAAAAACGCGCAGTAAAGCTTCGAAATTCTTTAATAAAATCGATAAAAAACTAATAGAATTTCTCGATGGACGTTTAATAGAAATCAAATGGAATTTTCTATCGGAAATTCGCGAGTCTTCTTTGCAAAACATCCATAAGATCATTAGGAATTCCAATTTTCGAAGGCCTTCTTTCGTGAATAATTTATAAATCGTTGATTTCCTTCCTGATACTATTTTTTTTCAATTCAAAGAATTTTCATTATTTATTCTATTTCATTTACAAATAATTTATTTACTTGATTAAATAATAATTTAATCAAATTGACTAAATAATAATTTATTTGATTAAATTATTATTTATTTGATTTTTTTAATAAAATAGTTTCTATTGGACACGCTCTATAAAAAAAACGCGCAGTAAAGCTTCGAGATTCTCCAATAGAATCCGTCAAAAACTGATAGAATTTCCCCAAGAAGTTCAATAGAAATCGAACAGAATAATTAGTGATGAAGTTAGTCACCCATTTCACTTTAAACCCACTCATCCTCAATTCTGAACAAAAAAGTTATCTCTCGTTACAAAAAATTATCAGTCAGTGCATCGAAATTGAGGACAAGTCCAGTAGCAATAAATTAACAACAATCCTGAGGATATCACCGCCACTTGAGCAGTCGATCATATTTATTATTCCCTCATTCATCATGTTTAGTATTTGTTAATTCAATTAATTCGCTCTCATCAATACATTAATTTATTAATTCTCTGTAATGAGGGAGAACGAAAAACCGTTGAGTCTTTTCAAATCGCAGCGCCAGCGCCAGTGTAACACTTGCGGCAGTCCCCACAACAGCCGACAAGACGAGAAAAAAAATCTCTCCTCTTCCATGTATAAAATGGCAGATTTGCTCCAACAGATATCAGACATAAAGTAATCGAAACTAGTAGTGAAACAGTGTCCAGGTGATTGGATAAAAGCACAAAGCCCGTATTTCCGATGATAGTTTATTCCCCTTTTTTATTGTGAACGATTTGCAGACTGAAATGACGAAATGTCAGTGATTTTTCGGGAAACATAGATGTCATTTTTTTATTGGTAAACAATTATTCTAAGTGGTTTGTCGTTCAATACTGAAGGAACTTCGTAATTTCTGTGGCTCCAGTTTCTCTGGGACATGTCTCAGGACTCACTCCAGGTAATAAAAAAAAATCGAGAATTTTTCCGGGATTTTGGAGTTTTTTAATGATTTTTGTTGACGGAGAGTGTCTTGATGAATTTAGGAGTGATGGGAGATTGTGGTGGACGTTGAGAATATTGAAAAAGGGATCATGGCTCCGAGGAGGGCTGAGGAGGTGCCGATGAAGCGAATCGCTGCTCCAGGATGTCGTCTACCTACTCGTCTACCCATCGGCGAAATATTGACTGATATCACTCAGAAAGACTGGAAGCTCGGGCCGCGCCTGGGGTGCGGAGGCTTTGGAGACATTTATCTTGGTAATTTTGACATTTCAAGTTAATTGACTTTCTTGATGTGGGAGAATCAATAGTTAAAGGAGGATGTAGTCTAAATGATGTGAAAAGAAAAATGAATTTACATCAGAATTTTTTAATCGAAGAAATGATCGATTGAGTTTTTAGATAATTTTTTTAATTTTAATGGAGGCCTGTGTTATTAGGGGAGGTTGGGGTAAAACGGACACTTTTGACTTTTTTTCAAATGTTAATGAGGGGTTGAAATGTTGATGAAATTTAATAATTTTTTTTTCAATACAAAGAACAATTATTTCCCTTTGTGACGAGCCTAAACTGCGCTCAATTGATAAATTTGTTTCTGAGTTATGAATAATTTTTAAAAAGTCTAAAGTATTCATTTTACCCCACCCTCCCCTATACTTTTATTTTTCGGGTGTTAGTGAAGAGAGTTTTTAATGACAATTTTGATATCTCTTTTGGATTCAGAGATATTTTGTTGACTCGTATTCTTTTGTCATTTTGTGGCTGAAATTAATTGCGGATTTATCTTGAGTGATGAAAATTTTCAATGACCCTGAAGTTTGCAGACAAAAATCTTCAATGAGAAAATTTCAAATTTCAATTTGTCGGCTGTGACGAAATCCAATCGTGATGGCCGCTGAATATGTAAATAAATAAATTAGGGGTTGATTTCTTCAAAATTTAACTATGGAAAACCATTGACACGGCATATCTCACTCCGGAATTATTTTATTGGAAAAAAACATGGTCACGATTTTCATTCTACGAAATTTCGACGTGATTTTTGTCCTTTTTGTTCTGGTCCTATCGGTTAACGTTGAATCCGCTGTAGAACACTAAATCTTTGGCAAGCTCCATTATTCATCCAAATGATCCGATCGAAAAAAGAAGAACCATCACGCTTGAAGAAATGATAAATCTCCTCGTGATGTTTCTTGTTTTTTATAATAAATGTTTCATTAATGATATATGCAATGTTTTTCACGAGAGAAAACATCAACAGAGGATATCTACGAGGAAGATACGTAGATATTTCGTAGACTTTCGCCAGTCTCGTCTCGGTCTCGAAAAATATCCGAATTTTCAGTATCGTCTCGGTCTCGGTTAAGAGAATATCGTCTCGGTCTCGTGAGTGTAAAACTTAGAAAATAGGAAAAATCATTTTTCTTCAAAAAGTCACAAAAAGATGGTCAAACTTCATCAAAGGTCACAGGAGGATGGTCAAATTTCACGGGGGTCACGAGAGTAACAACGGGCTGGTCAAATTTCACGAGAGTCAAACATTACGAGGGTCTCAACGGGATGGTCAAACATCACGAGGGTCATGTAGGTCACAAGGAAATCCCCAAACTTCACCAGGGACATGTGGGTCACAAGGAAATGGTTAAATTTCACGAGGGTCAAAAATTACAAGGGTCACAAAGGGATGGTCAAACTTCACGGCCGTCACGAGAGTCACAAGGGTGTCACATTCAACACTCGTGAAATTTAGTCATTGCGTTGTAAATCTTACGAGAATATTTCTTCGCCATTTCCTCGCAAAATACACTTTGTTAAACGATTAGATATAAGAAATTTGGTTCCATGACTATTTAACGCAAAACAAATTCAACACACAATTTAAACACGTTACCTCAACACAAGGCTAACTCAACACGCAACAATTCAACACAAAACCAACTCAACACATAAGCAATTCAACACAGGACAAATTCCTCACGACATGAATTCAACAATACATTTACTCAATACATAATCAATGAGTTTATTTGCTTCTTCATAAAAAATTCATAGGTAGATTAATCACTACAAAATTCGTATAGTAAATAGAAAACTTCTGCAACAATTCAATTCTTTGATAGTGGATATCGATTACAATTTAACGTTGTGGGCAAGTAAAAGGCCTCGCTCCTGTTTACAAATTCCCGTAGAATCAAAATATGTGACGCTGCCCGAAATGTACGTACTAAATGAAGTTCGTGTTAAAAAAACTATGTGTTGACAAAACAATGTGTTCAATACACTATATGTTGACTTAACAATGTGTTGAATTGACTGTGTGATGAAAAAATTTGTGTTTAATAGGCTATGTATTGAGTTGATGTGTTGTGTTGAATTTGCATAGTGTTAAATAGTCCTGCCACCAGAAATTCAGCGTCATGACTATAGCATCGATTGTAGATCCCTGAGAATAATAATTAGAAGCAAAGCAACGAATATCACGTAACAATTGGGAGAGAATGTGAAGTGTGATTTTTTTTCCTTTCAACATCATTGTTCGTATAGTAGATATCCGATGTTTAACGTATTTATTTTCGTAATTCTACTATTTTTCATGGAAAGAACGAAGAGAAATTGAAAAAAAAATCACGTTGAGGTTTTATTGCATTCCAACGTTTCATTTGTTTTTTGTCCTAATCTACTTATCTTCCTCGTAGATATCCTTTGTTGATGTATTCCCTCGTGAAAAACATTGCATATATCATTAATGAAACATTTATTACAAAAAACAAGAAACATCACGAGAAGATTTATAATTTTTTCAAACGTGATGCTTTTTCTTTTTTCGATCGGATCATTTGGATGAATACTGAAGCTTGCCAAAGATTTAGTGTTCTACAGCGGATTTAACGTTGACCGATAAGACTAGAAAAAAAAGGATAAAAATCACGTCGAAATTTCGTAGAATGAAAATCGTGACCATGTTTTTTTTCCAATAAAATAACTCCGAGGTGAGATATGCCGTGTCAATGGTTTTCAATAGTTAAATTTCGAAGAAATCAACTCGTAATTTATTTACTCACATATTTAGCCACCATCACGATTAGATTTCGTCACGCCCGACAAATTGGAACTTGAAATTTTCTAATTGTTCAATTTCCTCACCAGATATGCTCTGTTGAAGATTTTTGTCTGCAAACTTCAGGGTCATAATTTTCAGACGTTTTGGAGACATTTATCTTGGTAATTTTGACATTTCAAGTTAATTGACTCTCTTGATGTAGGAGAATCAATAGGTAAAGGAGGATGTAGTCTACATGATGTGAAAAGAAAGATGAATTTGCATCAGAATTTTTTACTCGAAGAAATGACCGATTGGGACGATTGCATTCAGATGAGGTTTTGAGCAGATTCCATTCGTTTTTAGACAATTTATTTTTCAATTTTAATTGATGCCTGTATTATTATACTTTCATTTTTCGAACGTTAATAAAGAGAATTTTTAATGACAATTTTGATATTTGTTTTATCTTAGAAGAAATTTTTTAAGATGGTCAAAATTCTCGGAAAATATGGTTTCGGGCATTTTATTCCACAATCAAAATAATTCACTTTCAAAAGTTTTTAAAACAATTCATCGGTCATTCTAGTGGTTTATTAGAAAGGATTTTTCAGGTTTTTGTGACTGTTAATATGAATAATCTTCTTTTCTACTTCATTATATTTTTATCCGGATATTTCTCGAAAATCTCATATTGAACATCCTTTACTTTTATTTTTCGTAGTTCTCATTCGGAGAATTGCCCAAGAAAATCGCAATCCCCAATGAAAGGAGACAATTGGAGAAGGAGTAGGGCAAAATGAGCACACTGAGTTTTTTTAATGTCACTATTTCATTGGATTGTTAACAAAATAGATGACAATCCTAAATTCTTTTTTGAGGAATATCTCCGAATCCAAGAGAGATAACGAAATTTTCGTAATAACATTTTTTGTCCAGCGAATTGAGAACTACAAAAAACATTACGACAAAAATTTGGCTATCCCCCTTGGATTCCGAGATATTCATTGAAAATTGGCTGACAGGAAAAATCGACTTGAACCGTTTTACCGCTTTGGTACTGAATTCGTTTTTGCGTTATGAAGATCGAAAAAAACGTCAAAGGTGACCATGCGAGAGTGTCCCTCCCTCCCCAAAAAAAATCACAATCGGTCTTAAAATTCTCTTGACTCAATCCCTCTAAAACTGCAAAAACCTCATTCCAGCCTCAGACGAGACCCACAAGACTGTAACCCAGGACGCCAAATACGTGATAAAAATCGAGCCCCACTGCAACGGTCCCCTCTTCGTGGAGATGAATTTCTACATAAGAGCAGCCCGCCAGCACCTCATAAACAAATGGTGTGAGAGCCAGCAGCTCTCGCGAATAGGAGTCCCCAGTTACGAGGGCTCGGGCTCGCACACCTACAAAGGCGAGCGTTTTCGATTCCTCGTGATCCCGCGTTATGGCATTGACGTTGGTCAGTTATTCCACAACTACGGTAGAAAGTTACCAACAAAATTGGTGAACAATCTAGCAGTGCAGATGCTGGACGCCCTGGAGTACATTCACAGTCACGGTTACGCTCACGCGGACGTCAAGAGTTCGAACATTGTCCTGGAGAATGCGCCCACAATTCCGGAGAATCCGAGAGCCTACCTGGTGGACTATGGCCTGGCCTATCGTTTTCGAACGACAGCTGGCATGCACAAGCCCTTCGTTCACGACGAGAGAAGGGCGCACGAGGGAACACTGGAGTTCACATCGAGGGACGCACATCATGGCACTCACTCGAGACGAGGGGACATGGAGACCCTGGGGTACAATATTTTGCAGTGGCTGTGTGGCAAACTCCCCTGGGAGAGGGACCAAGGTGGAATGTCCCCCAGCAGTGATCCTGATCACGTTCACACACAAAAGGAATTATTCCTATCAGATATAACGCATTTCATGAGTGTCTGCTTTCCAGACAGAAAGAAACCCCCCGCAGCTATAAAATCGTACATGAAGTACATCTCAACGCTGGATTTTCAAGCCAAACCGAATTACTCGTACTTGAGGAGTTTGTTTAAACCGAGGGGAAAGATGGAGAGGGTCAGCTGCTCGTTGGGATCACCTCTGGGGAAACGACTGGTGGCTGATGAGAATATCGACTACTTGAGGCCCAAGAAGATGCCATATCTCAGGGAGAGGAGACCCTGCAAGCCTGTTAACTGCGAGGGGAGGATCACCAGGAATCATCAGGTGCCTGTTGAGATCGAAAAGTTCAGCTGGGAGGAGGTGCTTGCTAGGCATCCGGATAAAATGGCCAAGAGCAGTTTGGTGCAGACTCTTGAGGATGATGTGCTCAATGGCTTGACACCACCTCCTTCACCTCCACCACCCTCTTTGCCTACTTATGCTATGCTGCAGGTGATGAAGAGGATGAAGGATAGGCAGGCAGGGACTTACAGACAGAAACCTAAATCCAATGAGTAAGATTTTTTTTATTGTAATTTTTCGTACTACTCCACGCCATTAAGATTTAAGATTTTAAGGTCAAGATTTTGCTATTTTATTGTAGTGAGAACTTTTTGAAGAGGCAGAGTACTTCTCGACTTTGTCGAGGTTTTTTTAAAATAGTTTTTACTCGAAAATTGAGGGGGAGAGCAGCTCACTATCAAATTTACAATTCATTTTATTCATTTTTTAAATTAAGAATTTTTCAAGTTTTTTACGCTAATATTTTTTGAAACATTACGGAATCCATTTGTTTATTTGAACGTATTTATTTCAACAGTTTTTTAAAATAATTATCAAGGGAATTGTTTCATTGGAACATAAAGACTCCCAGAATTCCAACTTTTTTTACTTGTTTTTGATCAAAGAATCTTGTGAAAATCAGGATTAAAATAGAAAGTCTCAGATCAAGTTTTTTTTTCTGCCGCAAATTACCTTCAAATTAATTTTAGTAATTTTTAAAAGTGTGGATTTTACAAGTTTTCAAAATTCGAAATTATAATTTCCAGAATTCGAAATTTTTGAGACTTTTTTACTTGTTTTTGTTCAATGAATCTAGGGATCTTTTGATTCGAATCAGAATCAAAATTGAAAGTCTCACACCATTGTTTTTTTCCCTGTGAGAAATTACCTTGAGATTGATTTATTTTGATTAATTTTTTAAATTGTGGATTTTACGTTTTCAACACTTATATTTTTGGGAACAATACGAGAACCCAAATCTAATGAGTAGGATTTTTTCATTCATTTATTTGATTATATCCAGAATTTTGTTTGGCAACAGAATATTTGTTTGATAATTATCAAGGGAATTGTTTCATTTGAACATGAAAAATCCTAGAATTGGAACTTCTTCGAGACCTTTTCACACGTTTTTAATCACCGAATCCAGAGCAAGAACAGTCCACTATAAAAAACCAAAATTTCTCAGATCATTTATTTAATGATTTTTTAATTTTTCAAATTATGAAATTGTGTAAGTTGTCCTTGTCCCTAAATTATCTTAATTTTTTTTCAACTTTTCTTTTTTTTATTGAAGACTAAACGTAGTAGAGAAATTTCTCAAGCAGATTTGTAATTGGGCTGAAATAATTTATTAAACTGTGTCAATTTTACTCCAGATCAAACCCGAAGCATTTAAAATATTTTTTCAACCAAAAAATGTTTGATAATATTTTTGAATTGTCATCTCCTCTTTGCAAATCCACTAATGTCCCAAATTATTTATTCAACAGAGAGCTGAAGGCCAAGTGGATGACACCAGCCATGGAAGAAGTTGCGCAATTGAAGAAGAAAGTTCAATCGGTAATGTCAATGCCAAGAAAGACCATTTCTCCTCGACTGACACGTTCACGTGTTGCTCGGTTAAATCGTAAATAGTGAAGGGGGGAAGAAAAAAATTTCACCTCCACATCTCAATTCACAGGAAAAGGTTAATAAACGTGAGGAAATAATCGGCCTTGAATATTCTCATTACTTACTTTGCAAATAGCAAATGGCAAACAATATTGTATTACCTAGTATTTTTACTATTAATGAATTTATATAGTCGATTCCAGTCAGGTATCATCTCTCTTTTGACGATTATGATGTAAGAAATCATTTGAGTTTAATCCTCATGAGATGAATATTTTGAGTCTCGCCAATTTTATAAGACTGCGTTATTTTCACTGAATTTTTATCGGCGGTAGTTCAGGGGAAATGTGAAACGGTACATCGCCTCTTTGTCCAGCATTCATTTTCTATAGATTCTTTGAATAATTCAAGAGTGAAGGTCAGTTTTTTCATAACAATTATGAATTTAAGAGAATACGTATGGGGAATTTTTTTTGTAGTCATCTATTTTCTGCAGAAATAAAGTGAGATCTTCACAGAAAATTTATCTCTACGTGTTACTGACTTACCCCATTTCGCCGCTTCATCACTGAATTAATTAATCTTCCATCTCAGTTTCAAACGAAAGAACAAAATCATGAAATTTGTATAGATTATTTGTAAGTATGCTTCAATTCACTTCATCCATTAATCAGCGTAATTCCGATTGTAATCCCGATTGAATTGTAATTTTTGACGTAAATCAAGCAACCGCTTATCGAAATAGATTATTTTTTCTATTTTCTACTTGTCACAGTCACGTTTTTTCGTTGTCGAGGGCGATTTTCACGTTTTATAACATCGGAAGTTTTTTGAATCAACGAAATACCTTTCTGTTGATCACCAGGCAGGAATTGTTTCGTTTGAATAATTCAGCAGTGAAGATCAGTTCTTTGAATATATTCAGCAAAGTAAGGGAATACGTATGGGGAACTTTTTTATAGACATCTTTTTTCTGCAGAAATAAAGTGAGATCTTCACAGAAAATGGATCTCTACGTGTTTTTGACTTACCCCATTTCACCACTTCACTACTGAATTAATTAATCTTCCACCTCAGTTCCAAACGAAAGAACAAAATCATTAAATTTGTACAGATTATTTGTAAGTACACTTTAATTCACTTAGTCCATCAATCAGCGTAACCCCGGTTGAATTTTAATTCGTACGTCTTTTGACGCGAATGAAGCGAATAATTATCGAATTACATTATTTTTTCTATTTTCACAGTCACGTTTTTTCGTTATCGAGGGCAATTTTTACATTTTATCACATCAAAAATTTTTGCATCGCAGGAATTGTTTCATTTGAATAATTCAGTAGTGAAGATCAGTTCTTTGAATATATTCAGGAATGTTGGGAATACGTATGGAGAATTTTTTATCGTCATCTTTTTTTCTGCAGAAATAAAGTGAGATCTTCACAGAAAATTGATCTCTACGTGTCATTGACTTATCCCATTTCACCACTTCACCACTGAATTAATTCATCTTCCATCTCAGTTCCAAACGAAAGAACAAAATCATTAAATTTGTATAGATTATTTGTAAGTACACTTTAATTCACTTAGTTCATTAATCAGCGTAAACCCGATTGAATTGTGATTTGTACATTTTATAACGTGAATCAAGGGAATCATTATTAAAATAGATTATTTTTTCTATTTTTAATGTTTCATAGCCACGCTTTTTTGTTATCGAGGGTATTTTTTTTATATTTAATATGGCAGATTTTATCACCGAGTGAGCTATTGTTTCCTTATATTCCGCATTATTATTTTCAAATGCTCCACGGCTTCACCGTATTGTACACTACGAAATAACCCAGCTTGCGGCTTTACCGTGAGAAGAATTAGTACATAATGAAGTGAATGATTTTTAATGCGAATAAGCAGGTGTGGAGTTCCACGTTAAAGATATCTTCCAGTGTACGGAGATAAGACGAAGTACATACAGACGGCTTTCGTCGTTAATTCAGCGTGAATATATCGATATCCAATTGTAGAAAAATATTTAAGTGAAACTCGTTACTCATGAATTCTGTAATATTCATATTGAGTGAATCACTGTCATTTATGTAAATATATAGCCGTCATGTATTGAATCTGATTTTTATTTCATTATTTACCAACAAATTACCCATAGAATATTCACAATTTTTCACATTCTTTTAAATATTATGCGTTGTAGATATCGAGGGCCCTGAAATGGAATTTAGCATTTTTTTTGTGTTATTGTCGACATTATTATTTTTTTTTAGAATTTGATGAACCTCAAAATGAAATGAAATAAATATAAATGAATTGATGAAAAAATGAAATGGAAAAAACGTATTGTTTATTTTTTATAGAAAGTAAAAAATATTTTAGACTTGCGCACAGAACGCAAAGGGCTTTAAAAATGGCGGCGCCTCTACTCCGTATTTTCAAACATTTCTTAAAATTATTTATCCTCTTCAAATCACCCTCAACTCGTTTCATCCGGTTCCTAAAACAGAAACAAATTATTTAAGCCAGCTTTCAAATTTTTCCACTACCTTTTGGCTGAGAATTCATGGTGCAATGTTTTTCCTGCAATTCAGCAGTTCTTTTTCATACTCTCGAGGTTTCTTGATATTATTTCATAGAAAGTACAGAATGTTCTTTCATAAAATAATGATATTAAAAAATAATTTAAAAAACCATAAATAAAAGAAAAACAAGAATGAAATAATTTCTTAAATCAATAAAGGGTTGTTTATTCCTTATGAAAATTACAAAATACTTTGGCCCTGCGCATTAGGACGTATTACACCTTCCACAGGTACTGGAAAACCTTTTGGAAATCTGTCTTGCGCACGGACCGCAAAGGGCTTTGAAGATGGCGGTCCCCCACCTCGTATGTTTAACCATTTAAAAAAATGATGTATCCTTTTCAAATCACCCTCAACTCTTTTTATCCGGTACCTATAAAAGGAACAAATTATTTAAGCCAGCTTTCAGATTCTTCCACCCCCTTTTGGCTGGGAATTCATGGCGCAAAGATCTCCCCGCATTCCAGTACCTTCTTTAATACTCCCAAGGCCTCTCAATATTATTTAATAAAAGCTGCGGGATATTCTCTTATGAAACAATAATATAAAAAAATAAAAAAATAGAAATAAAATGAGATAAATAAGAATAAGAGAAAAAAATGAAATGAAATATTATATATTAATGAAAGAAATTATTTCGACCGGTATATTCATACTCTGTATTATCCCCAGGGCTGTTTTACTCGGTCAAACTTCAGATGTTTTAAGGTTTTAAGGAGTCCGCGTACCTTGAAATTTTTTAATTTATGCATTGTTAATTATTTAATTGTTTCCCTCGTATAGAGGCTCGGAACGCTATAGATTCAACCATTCTCATTTATCAAGTTTGTCAATTAAATTGCGTGCGAAAAATTTGAAAAAAATCATGAATACTCAGCATCATTAAAATTACATTTTGCACAGAATTATTATTTTTTTTAACATTTGGTGTTCATAAATAAATAATTGAAACTGTTCAAACCTTCCGAAACCTTATTGTTTTAGGCATGAAATCGATTTCTGGTAAAATTTTGAATACAAATAAATTACTTACGATCCCGAACAAATGATTTTTGTGGTGGAAAATTCATTGTTTATAAATTATTTATACAAAATGCCCGTAATTTTCAAAAATTGCAATTATAAAATTATTTCATCAATGCTTCCTCCAAAAGTAAACTTTCTATTTTTTTTCAAATTTTTCAAATTCAGACCTGCAAAGTTTAAATAATAAAATAATTGTAAAATGTCCGGAAAGTTACGGTCAAATGAAAGATCTGAAAATCATGCATTTCACTGGAGAAAAAATAGCCAAAGTACTTGGATATCCTATCTAGGATTTGACCGACTCAAATAGCCCTGATAATACAGAAATAAAATATTGTTTATTTTTTATAAAAATTGCAAAATACTTTAGCCCTGCGCATTGGGACGTATTACACTTTCCACGTGTGTTGAAAAACCTTTTGTAAATCTGTCTCGATGCGCATAGAGGCATAACACACTGACTTTCCACGATATCCTGGCGACTGTCGAGAGTCGCAGCCGCCAGTCGGTCAGTCGGTGCCGTGCGCTCCCCCCGAACACATGGTATTTCTCCTCCGGCCGCTCTCACGTTCTCTCAAATTTCCGTGAATGTGTATTAATAGTCCCTCAACTCATTCAAATGCACCTATTAGTCCCCCATAGAGTCGACAAATCACCTAAACACCGATGTAGCATTCGCAGTTATTCAGTGTAATGAACCCACCGATTACTTAACAAACAAGTTTGTGCATCAAACGATTTGCTGAGAAATACAATGGCTAGTGAGGTGACTGCAGCGAGTGCAAGCAGTGCAGCCGACTCCGATGGATCCGTTAGTTGGGAGGATTTTTTCGGTGAGACACTACCTAGACCGATCACAGGATTTATCAAAAATATTTATTCAAGCTATTTGTTTGTCAATGCAAACGAGAAAGCGAAAATGAGTCGGGGTAAACCGGTTGAAGGGTCTTCTGGAGAAGACAGAACAGAACTAATTTAAAACTGGAAAGTGTAATAAAAACGTTCGGTTGGATGGGAAAAAATTCTGCCGGATGCGGTGACTAGCCTTCGTACGGAGATACATCCCCTATTTCATGCGCACACATGAGGATGCAACAGCATCTTGCGATCTCAATTCAATTTACTGAATTCGGGGGGAGAGGTTCACGTATGAAAAAATTCAACAGAAAAACTTAACGAATTCGTTAGAAAATTCCAAGTATTGGAATTCTATTGGGATTCTATTCAAATTCTAGGGAATTCTCGGTAAAATTCAATTTTTTTGCGCTGATTCTATGAATTATTTGATGAGAAGAAGTTAATAGGGGAAGTTAGTTGGGGTAAAACGGACACTTTTGACTTTTTTTAAAATGTTAATGAGGGGTTGAAATGTTGATAAAATTTAATAATTTCTTTTTCCAATACAAAAAACAATTCGTTCCCTTTGTGACGAGCCTAAACTGAGCTCAATTGATCAATTTGTTTCTGAGTTATGAATAATTTTAAAAAAGTCTAAAGTGTCCATTTTACCCCACCCTCCCCTATATTTCGATTTTTCTATATGAATTCTCCTGGAATTTTTTCTGAAATAAAAATGTAACAATAATTTCAAAAAAATAATTAATTAATAATAATAATTAATTAGTTAATCATTAATTAATTAATTAATTTTTTTTTTAATAGAAAAAATCTCAAGAGAAACATGCTTTGAGATTCTAGTTTATCCTTCATTTTTTTCATCAACTTATTACATATATTAGTTTATTGTTCATTGGCAGACGTGCCCCCTTAACATTCTGGTCATTCGTATCTCAAAATACAACGTCTACACAAATTGGAATTGTAAAACTGTAAAAGGTGAAAAAACCATAAAGTTGGAAATAAATCAGTAACGAAGTGGTAAAAGGAGATATGTTAATTTTAAGTATTGACCAGTTTTCAATCAATAGCTCGGAATCTATGGGAGATAGCAAAATTTTTGTTATAACCTTTTTTGTGGAGGTATTTGAGTGCTACAACAACTGTGATTACGAAAATTTCGCTATCTCCCTTAGATTCAGAAATATTCCTCAAAAACTCAACTGGGAGATGAGTCGACTTATCTCCGTTTACCACTTCACTGCTGAAATAATATTGAATCTCTTAAGAGAAACATTCAAACAGAAAAATTCAAATTTATTTACTTTTTTCTATCAAATATCTAATAGAATCTAAAAGCGCAAAAAATAAATAGAATTTCAACGAGAGTTCCCTAGAATTTTAATAGAATCATCATAGAATTTCTAGAGAATTTGCTGAGGTTTTCTATTGAATTTTATCATAAGTGTTGTCTGGGTGGGCGATGTTACATGTGCGAAAAAATTATATGGGAAAATATAGAGAGATAACATAGTAATTGTAACACCAATGGGAATAAGTTCTATTCTATAGAGAATCCGCGGGAAACACTATTGGATTTTTATTTTTCTATCAGTTTTTGGTCGATTTCTACTGAAAAATTCCGCTGCTAATCTGCGATTTTCCTTTCAATAGGAGTTTTTGATGGAAATCATAGGAAAAGTCAATAGAATTCGGTTTTTTTGTGCAACTTATTCTATTGAGGGATTTTCTACAGAACTGCATCGGCTCAATTTTTTTGAGCTTATTTGCTTGATTTTTTTAATGAAAAGAAAAAAAAATTGAGTGGGAAAACTTGTAAAATTTGTGTCGAGGAATTTCTATAAAAAAAGATCTATAGAAAGATGAAATTCTACCGAATTTTTCTATAAAATAGTTTCTTTTGGGCATTTATTACTTAAAAAACACGCTGTAAAGCTGTAGAATTCTTCAATAAAATTCTGTGAAATTTTTATTAAGCTTTTTATCAGTTTTTGGTCGATTTCTATTGAAAAATTCCACTGCTTATCTGTGGTTTTTCTTTCAACAGAAATTTTTAATGGAAATCAGGAAAAATCAGTAGAAGTCGGTTTTTTTGTACAACTTATTCTATTGAGATATTTTCTATACAACTGCGTTTCAAATTTTCTGAGTTTATTTGTTTAATTTTTTTGATGAAGAGAGGAAAAATTGAGTTTGAAAACTTGGAAAATTCATGTCAAGAAATTTCTACAGAAAATGTCTTAAAAGTCGTATAGAAACATGATATTCTACTAGAATTCTACAAGTTTTCTATAAAATAGTTTCTATTTTTAAAAACACGCAGTAAAGCTGCAGAATTAATCGATAAAAAATCCTATCCTATTTTTTATTGAGCTTTCTATTAGTTTTTGGTCGATTTCTATTGAAAAATTCCACTACTTATCTGCGGTTTTTCTTTCAACAGAAATTTTTGATGGAAATCAGGAAAAATCAGTAGAAGTCGGTTTTTTTGTACAACTTATTCTATTGAGATATTTTCTATAGAACTCCGTTTCAAATTTTCTGAGTTTATTTGTTTAATTTTTTTGATGAAGAGAGGAAAAATTGAGTTTGAAAATTCATGTCAAGAAATTTCTACAGAAAATGTCTTAAAAGTCGTATAGAAAGATGAAATTCTACTAAAGTTTTCTATAAAATAGTTTCTATTTTTAAAAACATGCAGTTAAGCTGCAGGATTAATCGATAAAAAATCCTATCCTATTTTTTATTGAGCTTTCTATTAGTTTTTGGTCGATTTCTATTGGAAAATTCCTCTGCTTATCTGCGATTTTGTTTAATAGAAATTTTCAGTGGAAATTATTCCATAGGAAAAATTAACAGAATTCGGTTTTTCTGTACAACTTATTCTATTGACATATTTTCTATAGCAATGCCAAATTGAGAAATTTTCTACAAAAATGTGAATTTAATTCTACTAATTTAATTTATAAACTCATTTCTATTGGAAATTTTCTATAAATCAAAACACCCAATAAAGCTGTGGAATTATTTCCTAGAATCGTCCAAAAACTAATACTTTTCAATAGAAATTCCATACAATTATAATTTCCCATCAAACTCATTAGGTTTTTCTGTTAAATTTTTTCGTGCGCATAAAAATTTTTCCCTTCGGGGAAATGCTTGATTTGTAATAAACGATGGCTCTCGGTGATATCGTATCTCTTATTTTTTTGGTCGTAATCTTTTTCTGTTATCGAGAGATTCTACGCTGGAGTTTAATGGCTGGTCGTATATAGCTTTCAGAGCTTCACGCCTTTTATAAACATCTACGGTTTTTTTGGACGTTTTATGGGGTTGAATAATTTGTCTGGCGTGAGGGGTCAATTACCTATTAATATTTTTTGCTCGAGTTGTGATGAAGGGCTCCAATGTAGAGAGAAAAGTCGGTTGAAATTGTTTGGGATTGTCTCAATCGTGTGACGCATTGAGACTTTTCTGAATTTTAACTTGATTTTTTTTTTAATTGAAAATGGAATTTTTTCCTGAGGTTTTTGAGAAACTATCGTCGGACTTTTGAATGAATTATTGCATTCTCCACTCGAATTTTGGTAAAAAATGCTGAACCACAAATTTTTTTCTCTTTAAACGTCGATTAAAACCCCATTTTTAATATTTTTGGTGTCAAATTACGATTAAAAAATACGAAATAGAATTATATTTTCGATCAATTCTATAACTTCAATTTTTATTGTCTAAGGAAATTGGAGACTGCGACTCCATCCACTGAACATTGAATAAATCAGCTGATTTGTCAATACAAATACACGTTGAAAATTTCCTGTGAATTATTGTTAACAATTTCAAGATTTTTCACTTGAAATTTCAGAAGTAATTTTCTATGTATATTCAACAACTCTTCACTTAATATCGTCACGTAATATATGGATAAACTGATAATTTTTTAATTGTAATTTTTATTAATTTTCAATTCAATGTTTTACTAAATTTTCGTTTTTCCTTAATAATTTCTCTTCATAAATAAATTATGGAACTTGCTTTCAGAATGATCAATCATTTGTCTGGATTTGCTTGAATTACCACAATTTTCAATAAATCACGTCATTTGTCAGTACCAATAGTCGTGAAAATTTCATGTGAATCAGTCGTTGAAAATTTCAATATTTTTCACTTGAAATTTCCGGAGGACTCCCTAACAATGTCTATTCAACAACTCTTCCCTTAAAAATTTAACATTACATTAAAGAAGGGAATTTTATAGCGTTCCACATCTTTGTGACGTCATAGGAATGATTGGAAGAGGTTTGGATGAGGTAGGAGGGGAATCGGGATTATTCTCAATATGAATAACCAGAAAATTTTTACTGAAAAAAAATGGATAGTCCAGACCGGGATTTGACGCCGGGACTTTTCGATTATGCATCGGATGCTCTTCCAACTTGTGGACAACGCGATAATTTTGATGATTGTTATTTTTATTTAAATGCAAGTCTGTAAAATATTCGGTTTTTTAAAAATGTTTCTTCTCATAAATAAATTTTGGAACTTCCAGAATGATCAATCATTTATAATAATCACAATTTTCAATAATTTTCCTTTCAATTCAATTTTGTAAAATATTAGTTTTTTTCAAATATTTTCTACTCACACATAAAAATTAAACTGCCAGAATGATCAATCATTTGTGATAACCACAATTTTCAATAATTTTTATTTTCCTAGAACCTCGGGAATTGCAATTCCACTGAACATGTGAAGTGGAAAATTTCATGTGAATCAGTCGTTGAACCTTTCAATATTTTTCACTCGAAATTTCCGGAGGTATGTTAAACAAACTATTCACTTAATAATTTCCACGGATTCGTCGCCTGAACTTGTGGACAAACCGATAGATTTCGATGATTGTTATTTTTATTCAAATTCATTTCTGTAAAATATTATTTGTTTTCTAATATTTTCTTCTCATAAATAAATATTA